GTGGAGGGAGGAGTAGGGAAGGCCGACAAGCAGGGCATTTGCATAGTCAAGCCTGGAGGTGATGAAGGCATGAACAAGAGTTTCAGTGGCCTGAGGGGTGAGGTAGTGGCGGAGTCGGGCGATGTTACGGAGGTGAGAGTTGAGGGTCGAACAAGACACCTGGGTTCCTGACTGGCTTGGTGAGTTGAAATGTGCAACCATGGAGGTGGATGCTGGCAGAGCCTGAGGTGCTGAGGCGCTGGCGCAAGCCAATCAGGAGGGGCTCAGTCTTGTTCCTTCTTCAGTTGAACCTGTCTAGTGATCTTATAATTAAACTTGCTGGCTCTATTTTTGTTCAGTCTGCTTCACATCCCCCACTTGCTCTGCCCCCATCATCACTAGCTGAGTATTTAGCTGCTCTATACTCACTCCCTTGAACTCCATCCTGGACTCCCTCCACCTTTCCCCCCTCCCTTTCCACCTTAAAACCTATCTCTTTGCTTAGGCTTTCAGCCACCTCCCCCCTCTTTTTCTCAGCTCCCCCTTTCCCTACTCTGTTACGTTAAGTGTTTAAGCCATTCTCCTGACATGAAAGCGCCATATAAATGTAAATTATTATTGGTGTTTCTCAAAGATATCATGCCATTCTTCAATCTTTTGAAATATTTTGTTGTGCAATGTGTTGCTATTAGGAAATACATGGGCATTCTGTGTTTACATGAGTGATAACAAACAACATTTTATTTTCGCTCCAAAGGTTTAAAATGCGTTGTTCTTGCATTTTGTGCTAGCGAATATACAATGCTTGATACTTATATATCTGACCACATCTTTCAAAGAGTTTCAAGAGCTAACAGAACAATGATTAAGGGGAGTCCTGTAGCTTAGTGGTTAGAGCACTTGCCTCACAAGGGAGAGGATATGGGTTAGATTCCCGGGCAGGGTGAAATGTTGGGCAAGTTTTCTTACTCCACATGCCTCTGTTTACTTAGCTGTAGATAGGAACCCATTTTGGGTTCCATCGATTCGCGGATCGCTTTTCCGGGGGTAATAATCCCTTCCAAAAAAAAATAATAATAATAATTTGGTCACTCAATCCACGTCTGTTTGTGGGACACTGCTATACACAATCGGCTGCCATGTTTCACCCACAAAATATAGTCAATTCACTTTCCAGTATATTCTGTGAAGCGGTTTGAGAAGTTTCAAAGACATGATGAGGCACTGTATCAAATGCAAGGATTATTATTGTTATTATTGTTATTAGACTCCGATCATTTAAAAAAAAAGCAAGAATAATTTACACTTATCTAGCCCTTTCATATTGGGAGAAGATCTCCCAGCACTTTAGAAAGAATGAGTGGGGAGCCTGAGAAGGGAAGGAGCTGGGGTAGGAGGAGGGAATATGCACGAAAGCACAGACAAAGAGATATGAGATAGGCTCCAGGGGGAGATTTGAAAGCAGAAAGAGAAGTGGCGAGGTGGAGAGATGTTGGGAGAGAGATCAGTGGGAGGGAGCAAGGTAGCTGAAGGTGCAGCAGAGAGGGACACGGGGTGGGGGTTGAGGTAAGAGTTATAACAGAGCATTTGAATGTGAGGACAAAAATTTTAAAGACATTGGTTCTCTGATATGGTCCAAATTGTAGCAATTTAAAAGAAATCCTGAAGAAAAATCATACAGACTTATTATATTGTTATATCAAATGCAAGAAGTAGTAATTTTTTATTGAGAGTAAGGGGATAAAAACTTTTCTCTTTGCACCATTAGAAAAATATTGAAAGATTATTTTGGGGTTGGAGGCAGATGTATTTAGAGGGGAAAATGTAATAATAGCATAAAATAAAACTCACATAATCACATAGTCAAGTTGTGGTTTGTAATAGAAAAGCCTGTGGCCATGTTAACTACAACTATTTTTTTAACAATCTCATAACTCTGCATTACTTGTAACTGGCATTTAAACACCATTATTTAGTGGTGAGAATCTATGTATCTTTGGTGTGTGATAAATATGTATCAGCTGTAAATCAGATAGTGTTTCATGTGTGAAGACGTACAGTGTTTATAATCTAAAGTGTTAAGTTAAGTGGAATAAGGGCAAATTTGCATTGCTGACTTGTCACTCATTTTATTGTGCTTTGTATTCTTTAAATTCATAGTGTCTTGTGAGGTCATTGAAAAAGTACCGGAGCAAAATAACTTTCAGAAACCTAACAGTGATGTTAGTTACAGTTTGTTACCCTGTATTAGTTACTGTATCTAGTTTCTGATATTACATTACTGAAAGGTGATGTGTGGAATTTTCTGGTTTAATATTGCATAAGAAAGCCCTGCTTTCTGCCATTTAACACCTTTTCCTCTGTGTATTGCCTGCTCTCGAAAGCCTCTTCCTTAACGGGGATGTGTACAGTGCTGAATCCTACAACAATGACAACTTGCATTTATATAGGGCTTTTTTCGTGTTAAGAAAATGCATCTGAAGTGGGAACGTATGCTGGGGTGGAGGAGCAAACGGCAGTCATAGAGATAAGCATCAGCTGTATGATGCCTTCAGCTCCCCTCTCGACTCTCTTCCCCCTCCTCGCTCCCTCCCTTCCCTCCCCCCACCCTGACCATTTCCCCCCTCCTTGCTCCCTCCCTTCCCTCACCCTGACCATTTCCCCCCTGCTCGGGTCATGACCCAACTGTGCAGCGCCTTGGGACGTCCTCCTGACGTGAAAGGCGCTTTATAAATGGAATCTTGTTGTTGTTGTTGTTGTATAGAGCATTAGTCAGATTCCATCCAGAGACTGCATTCAGTTTTGGGCACCACACTTCAGGAAAGATATATTGGCCCTGGAGGGGGTGCAGCGCAGTTTCATCAGACTGTTACTAGGCCTAAAAAGATTAAGTTACGAGGAAAGATTGTGGAAACTTGGATTGTATTCCCTTGAGTTTAGAAGATTAAGGGGTGATTTGATTGAGGTATTTAAGATGATAAAGGGATTTGATAGGGTAGATACAGAGAAGCTATTTCCTCTGGTGGGGAAATCCAAAAGGGGCATAGTCTTAAAATTAGAACCAGGCCATTTAAGAGTGAAATCAGGAAGCATTTTTTCACTCAAAGGGTGGTAGAGATCTGATTCTCTCCCCCAAAAGGCCGTGGATGCTGGATCCATCCACACCTTCAAAAGTGAGCTTGATAGATTTTTGGCAGGTCAAGGAATTAAGGGATATGGGGAGAAAGCGGGAATTTGGAATTGAAAGGATTAATTGAGGTACAGATCAGCTCTGATCTAATTAAACAGCCGAACAGGCTCAAAGGGCTGAATGGCCTCCTCCTCTTCCCATGTTCCTACCCACTACACTACGGGGCTCCAAGCAGGATGTTGAGGATTGGACATCAAGGCCATTGAGGATTGGGCATCAGGAAAATTGAGATTAGCCACCAAAAGCATGTACCTGAGGGAGAATAAAGAAAGACATTGGAAGAGCTTTATTAAATTGTTCATTTTGAGGGGGTGTGTTCACTCTTGACTATGTAGGATTTGCACAAAGAGTATTTGATAAGACAATGTTTCTTGTTTGTTCCCATGGGAACATAGAACAATAAAATTCAACTGCTCTCTGTGCATTAGGATGGGAAGGAGAAAAATCTGCCACTGGGTTTCAGTGTGATGTTGATGTAATGGTTATTGAAAAGGTTAATCCTGATAGATCCCTGGTGTTGAAAGTTCTGTGTATGGTTTCAGTGGAGGTCATGGTTCACACATGTGTGATGTATAGGTTTTCATTGAAGTCCAAAGTTACTTCTGGGCAATAGGGAGAGTACTAAGTTTTCCATTAGAGCTATAAAAGGACTTAAACTCAGCACCATCACGAGAAGAATGAAATTATATTTTTTCACACTGAGGGTTAGTATGGGCGGTTAACAAGGGCATGGTTTTGCCCACAAAATATATAGTGAATCCACTTTACAGTATATTCTGTGAAGCGCTTTGAGAAGTCTCGGAGACATGATAAGACGCTAGATCAAATGCAAGGATTATTATGCTACCTTTGGGAATTGAAGCTAAGATCATAAAAAACATTTAAGGGGGAACTTGATAAATAATCGAAGAAAAACAGAACAAAAGCATATGGTGTATAATAAGCATGGAGTTGGGATTAGACCTAGTTAACTTCAGTTCAGGAAATGCTGCAAACAGCATCGACTTAATGGGCTAAATGGTGTTCCAGTGCTGTAATTTCTCTGGTTCTATGTCAGTGTAGGTGAGAGGTGCTGATGAAAAGCTTACTGTTACTGACTCAGGATATGTCACCATCGTAATATGAAATATGAAACGGCAAAAGCATGGTGCACACAGTCATTGAGACTGAAGCCCAGATCAGCTTTCAGGTCACATGATGTCCTAATAATAAATGTATCTGTCATGATATGAAAGCCCTAGCAGACAGGGTGGCCTTCGCTAAATAAGCAGTGGCAAGTTTACCAGTGCTCTGCAATGGTTAAGATGGCAGTACTTCAATGCCACTCTGGGGTCCCAAAGCCTTGGCACTTCCCAACCTGTGCTTCAACTCCCTGGGATAGTCTGTGAACAGTGTTGATCCCTCTGGGAAAAGAGTGTGGTGTGCATTCCATACCAGACAAAGAGAAATTTATATGTGGAACTCTTCGTAGCTTGGTTTGAAGCTACCTAATCCTAACCCTTTTAAATACGGGTTCCTGCTTGTGTCGGGCACCCGACTGATCCTTAAAAAATCCATATCTGTATAATTGTGCCCCCCACCGCCAAGCTCACTTGCACCCTCCCCACCCCACCCACCACAGACAGCTTGGGATGCCACTCAGGTGTGTGAAGTGCTTTGAGACATCCTCATGACATGAAAGGCTCCATGTAAATTGTTTTTTCTATTTTCTAAAAAATAATTCATTACATACACAGAATCCTTGGAGTGGGAAGATGCTTTTATATCTTAAAAATCTTCAAAGAATTTTCCCGTGACCTGAGTGAGAGATTTCGGTACCTGTGATGTGTACGTGAATTGCTGAGCAAGGGGACTGAACCGCAGTCATGGGATGTGGGACGTCAATCAACACTAAGAGACAGGCCAAGAAATCTGAGAAAGGTGAGTACATGGAGTTAAGGTTCTGTGCCTCCAGTCATATACACCATCTGAAATATTAAGGCAATAATCTTAAGGCTGAAACCATGTGAATTTAAAGCGGTACTTTTAACAGTACAATGGCTGGTGATTCATACGACTGCTTTTGTAACACTAAAGAGAATCTGTAACCAGGTTCTTTGACTCAATGAGTTTACCCAGCTACAATTGACCTCAGGATTGGCCTTTCGGTGCAAGAGTGTAAAAGTGATCTCTGATCGGAAGTGTATGTGTTTGCCTTGTGAGGACAGTGGCAGCTCATCTGTGCCGTCCCCATGGCCTGCACACACTCACTCTCTATAAATAAGCTTATTCAGCAACCACCAGTGGCCAAAGGTGCAACGATACAATACTTCAGGTAAGGGGAGAAAACACCACAGACGGAGAAATACAGTAGACAAAAAAATCTCCATTTTATCTTTCTAACTTTATTTCTGCTTTTCTCCTCTCAGTACAAGGCAGTTTGCCACTGGCTTTAACTCATTTCCCTTTTCCCTCTTCACTGAAGTCTAACTTTACACCCTTTCAAATGATTATGTTCAGTTACTCCTCACACAGACAAGTTGACTCACACTTCGCGTGCCTTTGCAGGTAAGAATTTGACCTGTCTGTCTTTGTCTAATGTGAATCATCTTCTTGCAGTTTAAAACAAGAGTGACATTTCAAACAAATCTGCATCATATTTCTCTGTATTCTTCTTTACAATAAATTGGTATCATTTTTCTGTTTTAATTAATTTTTCCTCCCTTTTAAAAATGCATCAGCCTCTCCCCTTTTCCCAAGACACTCATACTGCTTCTCATGATAGCAGAAATTAACCTGCTCCCAGACATCTGGTAATTGCACCTACTAACTAGTTAGCAGATGGTATGTTCTACCCTTCCTCTGCAGTATTCTCAAGCCCTTTTCTGTGGCAAATACCCTCCACTCTACCAATAAGAATAATAACAACAACTTGCATTCATATAGCACCCTTCATGCCGGATGGCGTCTTGAAACGTTTATTATTATTTTAATAATAATCCTTGCATTTGATATAGCAGCTTATCACATCTTCCAACTGTACTCCTTGTTCCTCACTCCCTCCGTTCTCATCATGGGACATGTGAATACAACAAAAAGTGCAAGCTCAGAAAAGGCTTGTTTCAGCAATCCTTACAACAACAACAACAACAGCAACTTGAATGTATATGTTGTCTTTCACGCGATGTAGTGTCATGGTTAACAAGGGCATAGATTAACGCTGAGCCATAGGCAAGGTTGAAGAGGAAAGTCTTTTGGCGTGATCTGAAGGTCGGCAGAGCGGAGAGGCAGAGGGATTGATCAATACCATCGGGGTTCTGGTGGGTTGACTCAGCACTTTAACATTTTGAGGTTAATAATATGCTCTCCTGGAAAGAGGTAATCAGTGTCACTCTGGCAGTTGAGCTGATAAAAACATGTAGGCTTTTAGAAATCCAAGGCAAACTTGGAGTACTGACATGTTCTCAACACTTTAAGGCGGTTTGGACAAGTCACATGCTGTACAGAATAACAAATTCACAATCATCTTAGCACAAAAAAATCTAAGATTTCCTCACAGATAATTGTACGTAATATAACCAAGTATCAGGGACAACATTCGGAAATGTAAGGCTTCGAGAGTGACTGTCAGTTTTATAATGTGAACTTGATGAAATGAGACTTATCAATTTTAACTATCAATCAATAAATTCAACTGCACATCATCCTTGTGAAGGATCAGGTGAAACCTTGAGCTTTGTGAGCCAATGATGCCAAATGCCTTGTCTCCCTTTGAGATGTGGTATCGACAGATTATAGATTTTAATGTTTTAAACACTTCAGAACAAAAGAGTAGATTTTTATAGAACATTGGGAATATCAGGATTGAAATACTGTATGATAAAAGTAATAATAATCCTTGCATTTGAACTAGCGCTTATCCCGTCGCCAACAATATTTTTTGCCCACAATTCATATTATCGATTGATATTTTCTCAACCATTTACCTTCTGAATATATATTTTTTAAAGTTTTAGAATAAGTGGCACTTATTCAGTCTCTGTGATATAATTGAGCAATCAATCACTGAGCAGCTCTACAGCATCTTCCAGTGGAAGGAAGGAAGGATAATCAGAGAGGAAGAGTCCTCCCTGGTTGATCTCTTTCAACATCTGGTGGCTGAATAGTGAGGTGCAGGAACAAATCTGGTAGCAGCCTACTTTCTCTCTTTCTTCCAAGCACCAAGTCAAGTAAAATTGGATTAATATAGTAAAAATGGGATCTTACCTGAATAATCCACAAAAATAAAGCACAACACCACACGTTCTGCAAAGGTTACAAAGTGGAACTTTTTAAAAAAATATAAAGTTGAATACGTGATGTCCGAGAAAGCTGATCACAGCTATAGCGTCACTCTAGCATTTAATATCAGGCTTCATTAATTGAATGTGTGTCCTTATGATTAATAGTGCAGCAATGTGGAGAATCCAGGCTGCAGCAAAGGGAAGGCAGAGGTTTGATAAGATCAAGGATTCTCCTGCTCTGTCACCTTTGCATAGTGGCATGACTGAGATTACAAAGATTACAAAGAATGTATAGCACAGAAACAAGCCACTCAGGCCAACCAGTCTGTGCTGGAGTTTATACTTTACAGAAGTCTTCAGCCATTTCTTAACCCATTCCATTCCCCACGCAACCACCCACCATCTCTGCTCGGCTGGCTCTGGCCTCCTGCATGTTCCTTGTCCCCTTCGTTCCACCATTGACGACTGTGCTTTCAGCCACTACAACCCAAAACTCTGGAACTCTCATCCTCAAATCCTCCACCCTTCTTCATTTTCCGATCATACCTTAAGACCTTCCTCTTCCACCGTACCTACGGTCACCTCCCCGAGCTCAGCGTCAGGCTCCACCACTGTTAAGCACTCCAATACACTACACTGCCTGAAGGGTGCTATGCAAATGCAAATTGTTGTTGTTGTGTCCTTTAGGAACGTTAGCTGACTGTTCTATATGAAGAATACATAATTTAAGAGCAGCTTCATTCTTAGTGTTGTCCGTGTAATCCCACAGCGTACCAGTCTGTTGCATGGCACATTGCAGTCCAATCCACTGTTCCAATCTGCTTGGCATCAACATACAGCATTTTAGCATCTTGTCAAATCCAAGTAAAGCCACTAACAGCAAACACTCCCATTTAACATTGAGGAGGCGTTCATAGATAAGCCATTGCAATGCTCATTCTATCTGAAAAGATATACAACAACAAATTTTCAACAGTTGATAGCACAGTAAATAATACCAAACCACCCAAACTATGTGCCAGTGATGTATTTCTGTTTAATTTCTCTGTAGCTATTAAGTCAGCCATACTTATTCAACGGTGGTACCGTCGCTTTTTGGCACGAATGGAGATGAAACGTCGCTACGCCTGGAGCATCTTTCAGTCCATTGAGTATTCTGGAGAACAAGATCAACTGCAGGTGAATTTCATTCAGATTAAATGTGCAACAATGTTTGCACATTTATATTGCTTTGACAATATCGATGATATTTAAATATCACCGCCTTCAACAGTCAGTCAGATCCTACCTTTTGATACAACAATTTACATTTATACAGCGCCTTTCATATCAAGAGGAAATTTCAAAGCACTTTACACAGCTAACTGGGAGCCCGAGCTGATGGGGAGGAGAAAGGTGACTGAGATCAAGATAATAATAATACTTACATTTGGTATAGCACCTTTGACATGTGGAGAATGCTCTAAAGTGCTTCACAGGATATATTATAAAGGGGAGTGACTGTGTTTTATGGGCGAAACAATGAGGAAAATAAGCACTTTACAGTTGAGGACTTTTATTTTCCGTTTATTTTCCATTATTAAAATCAAAGGGTGAAAGGCCAAAGTAGGCCCAAGGTCTTGTGACAATCCAGCAATTTTAGAAGCATAATTGAGAAAAGAAAGGTAGTACTTTTAGTACTCCACTGATTCGGGACTTCAACCGGCTCAATATGGCTCAGGGAATCCCATGGGAAGGAATCTGAGTTTACCAGTGTAGTGCCTAATAGCTTCCTCGATCAGTGTCCCACAGAGTCCACGAGGGACATCTGTCTCTTAAGCTTGGTTCTTGACATTAATTCAGAAGGTGTGAAAGTAGTTCAAACACGTGACCTTAGCTCCAAAACTTCAGCAAGAAGATAGTCAAGGAAGAAGCTAAAACCCAAAGGGTTTGGAAATGAGAATGAAGAGATTGTAAATGCATCAAAATGGTTACTATTTTTCACAGAAATTTTTGCCAGGGTGAACCCAACTTTGAAAATGTATTACATGAGACTTAATTACAAGCTTAATTTTCAATGAATTAATAATTTTGCTGGTAGAAATAACATCGCAAGATTAGTTTGGAAGAAGAAGGTCCTTCGGCCAATCTGATCTCATCCCTCCAGAATACCCGCCCTGTCACAGTATCAATGAGTCCAGTGTTAAATAAAAGTGAGCTTGACTTTGGACCAGCACTGGGCATGTTGAATGTCTGGTTTTTTCCACTATTGTGAGCTGAAAGATTTGGTTGCTTACACAAAATTGTTTAAGGAGGCAGATGCTGTAATATAGTCAAAGCATTATATTCTAGTTTTTGTTTGTAAGTTTTCGCTGAAGGGTTAGAATTTTGTGCGCTCAATAATGAATGGCTTGGAAATGTGCTATCAACTGAGGCAAGTGCATATAGATCGTTCTGTGAAAACAATTTAGAGTTTGTTCACAAAAGTGACTGGGGTGTTGGTGCCATTCGGTGCCTGGTTTTAATGTTAACACTTTCTAATTTGCACTTTATTTGTTTTTACAGACCTGCTTTGCCAACTGTTCAATCCAGCAGGGGACATGGCTGAAAACACAGAGATAGAAGAAGTACCAGAATATGAAAGGATTGAAATTCCGGATTCATATACTGGACCACGACTGTCTTTTCCTCTTACGCCTGTGGATGGCAATATTTTGCTTAAAGCATTTAAACATCAACAAGTGAGACAATTTGCCATCATAAGCAAATTAAAGCTTATTTATTATCAGTTCAGATGTGGGCACACTGTGAATATAAATGGGAATGGTGGGGGGATTCTGTGGAGGGAAGGAGGCCAGGGTTGAACAGTGATAATGGGCATTGAATAAGTAGTCTGGAGTTTTGGCTCCATTATGTTAGAAGATTAGTGAGTATCTTGTACTGTAAGTTGGCCCACGAGATAGAGTGGGTGGGGAGAATTTCATGAGGTTAGAAGATGTTTTTTATCGTAGGATGAAGACCATTACCCAGAGACCAATGAGAGAGGTCAACACTTTAACATGAGGGTCCTCTTGAAAATGAAGATTTTTTTAAAAAAATGCTTCTCTGCTAATCTTGTATCGCAGTAAAACGACTGTGTTTTGAAGTTTGACCTCAAGTTGCTAACTGTGATCCTTGGCTCCTTGTTTCAGCAGCTTCATCCTCGCTACGTCTTGCAGCTTCTGCATGAGACCAAGAAGTTCTTGAAACAGATTCCAAACATCACCCACTTGTCAACACACTTCTCCAAGGAGGTAACAGTTTGCGGTGAGGCTTGTCCAAATCCAAAGCTGTCCATTCCAAAATGCTAATGTAGACACATGCTAGATAAATGCCTTTGGAGATATAGTTTGGCAAATAAGGAAATAAACTACACTAATTAAATATTATCCTTTAGTTAAGAAGGCCTATCAGTACCTTCATGTTTGCTAAGGCTATTGAACTTTTTGTTCTGCACGTATAATAAGAATGAATACAGCAACTTCATTCTTTACAGCATGTGATGGTGAGATTGAGTAACTTGGGTGAGCAGATCAATACTGCCACACTTTCTCAAGTGAAGGAAGGTAATTAAAGTGTAAACTAAGAAATAACCACTAGAAGAGTCATAAAAAAGCCAGTGCAGATACAGTGGGCCGAATGGCCTTTTTCTGTGCTGTAAATTTCTATGGTACTATGAATTAAATCAAGAAATGGTGGTTACATGACTTATTGAGTTATCAAAGTCTACCAATTTTAGAAGAAAGATTTAAAGTCCTGGGAAAAAGGAGATGATTCATTGAGGTTTGATGCCAAAACAAGGACAATCGAGGAAGGAAGAGGGTGTAGAATGGAAGTGTTTGAAGGAATAAGAGAGAAAAATTCAGGCAAACAATGACCACAGTGGTATTGAGTGGAAGCTGTTGATAGGGAAATTACAGGACAAACATTTATGGGTTCATTATACACTCTATTGTGGTTGTTTTGGAACACAATAGTCAGGGGCTCAGGCATGGATAGTTACTTCTCTCTCAGCCAGGGATAGTACAATAAGTGCAGGTCTAACATTCTGTCAATCATCTTGATGTTTCTGACCTTTTGTATTCCCAAGCCCAGACGTATTGATGGAGAATGAAAAATAGGGCAAAACTGGACCAATGATAATTAAACAATTTTTTTTCTACTGAATGATATCTAAAAATATAAAAATCATAGATTTTTATATTTTCAGACATCTAAAGGTTTTTAAAAAGTATGTACTCTTAGCTTGACTAGTCATTGTCCAGTGTTTACATCGGGATCTAATGTTAAAAACCCATGTAGAAAATTTGTGGGTTGTGGAAAGGTATATAAATTCCTTTAACATGTAATTAACAAAGAATTTCAGAATTAAAGTATCCATTGGTACAAGACTCAAGGCCAGAATGACCTCCTTCTACACTGTAAACTTCTATGTTTTATAATTATAGAATTTAGGGCTCCTTTAATTCCCTTCATCCATATGTGTTTGCACATGGTTAACGTAACTATAAGTTTCCAAATTAGATTGTATAGTTTATACTGGAATGTGTGACAAAACATAGCAGGATAGGATCAGGACTTTATATTTCACAATTTTTTTCAGGAGATTTACATGGGAAACTGGACGACCTTTTGTTAATTTTCTACAAGGTAAGAAAATCACAGTAATCAATGAAATAATACTTTTCAAAAAAAAACTTTGCTACAACTTTCCACCCTCATCTCTGAAAGTGACTGGCTCATGCTAGGGTGAAATTTCCTGGGCACCAGCCACCTTCCAATACTTTGCCCAAGTGGCCACTCTTCATGTGTTGATGGTAGTGAGTTGACATGTTCGCACAATCTTATTTAATGTATGCAAATAAACGAATGTGATAAGCCACTACGCCAGTACATCCCGAAACTCTGGAACACCCTTCCTCCATCCCTCCACCTTGCCCCTTGCTTCCCCATTTTCAGGTCGCGCCCGAAAACCTTCCTGTTCGACCGCGCCTACAGTCACTTTACACCCCCCACCCGCACCCCACCGGCTCGGCGTCATGCTCTGCCACTGTCAAGCGTTCTGAGACACTATCCTGCATGATTCTATAAATGCAAGTTGTAGTTGTTTGATAGTGTATGACATTTGTTCGTAAATTTATTACATTAAATGCAACTTTTGGGAAAGAGACTTACCTGAAATTGACAAGCTCCCTCCCTCCACTATGTCAGTGTAATCAGAGGACTACCTGCCTGGCTGCCCTCAATTCTTATTTTTAATTATTATTTTTTAATGATAAAACATTTTTTTTATTATTATAATATTGATTGTCATTTTATCGACAATTTGAAGGATCAAGGCACACATTGTTCATCACCAGCAAAGTTGAAAAGAAATATCTGAAGAAATAATGTTTTTTTGATGCCAAGCTTGACATTCAATAGCTATTTGGTTGCATGAGGAAGAGAAGACTGGATGAGTTTGTTTCAGTTTCTCATTCCCACCTGGACTGTTGATTTCTTTCTACAGAATGGTCTTCCTACACCTGAAAAACCCTACGTATTTAATGGGGATTTTGTTGACAGAGGAAAAAATTCCATGGAAATTATAATAATTTTGTTTGCATTTCTTCTGATCTATCCAAATGATTTACATCTAAACAGAGGAAATCACGAGGATCATATTATGAATTTAAGGTAAATATGGTATTTGAGGTTCCTGTCATCAAGGTAAAGGACTCCAGAATCATTCAATATACTGTTTCACTTAAAGTATGGTAAGTAATCAGTCACAATACCTGATTACTCCCAAGAGATTTGTAGTACTCTTTTTTTAAAACCTGAATAGATATGATTAATTATATGGTACAGCAATAAATATACAGCAGGTGCATATTTTCTGCTTCCACCTATATATAAATTAGAATAATATCAGTAAAGGTTACAATGTTTTAAGCCTTGGGTTGTGTTACTTTACGCCAGCATAAAGGCTACAATGTAATAGTGCACCTTCCTGGGAAACGGTCTCTTTCTTTCACACCTGGATCACTGGCAAATGTGGAGTCCTGTAGCTAAGTGGTTAGAGCGCTCGCCTCGCAAGCGTTCAATTCCCGGCAGGGCAAAACGTTGGGCAAGTTTCCTTATTCCACACACCCCTGTTTACCTAGCAGCAAGCAGGAACTCAGTTGTTAGTTGATTGGCGAAACTCTTTTCCAGGGGTAATAATCCCTTCAAAATACTAAATAAATAAAAATAATAATAATTTGATCGCTCAATCCATGACTGTTTGTGGGACACTGCTGTGTGCAATTGGCTGCCGCGATTCGCCCACAAAATATACAGTCAGTTCACTTTACAGTATATTCTGTGAAGCACTTTGAGGCGTCTAGAAGACATGATAAGGCATTATATTGAATGCAAGTATTATTATCATTATTTTCTTGGGAGAGGCAATTCTAGAGATGAGTACTGCTGTAAAATCAAGCCATTAGAGGGGTTTCTCGCCAGAGTTGCTAACTCACTAGCACCAACAACTTCTTTCGTCTTTTTAAAAAAAAATTATGTTTAATAAGTGAATGCAAAGACATTCAAATAAATTTGCCATTTATGGTTGGGCATTACTGAATCAGGAAATAATGTACTGGTTGCCTACAGATTTTGCACTAGACATAGCTTGCTGAAAAAGCAAAACAATCATTACAAATGCCGTGTCTACAATTATACCCATAGTGATGGTGTCCTTCAATTGGACAATAATGCCTAGCAGTTATTTTCAGAACAATGTTTCTTGCAGAATTATTTTTTTTGCTCAGTGTAACTAACATTGCCTGTTATTCTGAATTGTTTCAGATACGGTTTTAAGAAAGAGGTTGTGCAAAAGTATAAGGTAAGGAGTTTTCATTTTGTAAAGATATTAGGGGCAGAAATTCAGGTGACTATCACCAAGGAATGGGTTAAGGAATACCTGTGAATTGGTTCATGTTACTTAAATATCTCTTGTGTTCCTTAATATGAGACCATCTGTACTCCCTGCGTTGTTCCTCTGTTCCAACCCAAACATTCCTCCCAAACTGGTGTTGGCTGCTTGCTGGTTTAAAAAAATAGGAAATTTGTATATAGTCTGGCATTATCAAGCACAAAAAGTTCAGTCAAAGTCCATTATCCAATGGATCATTGATTAATAGATACAATGCCCTCTAGCCTACCGTATTCCTCATATGGACCTTCTTAATCTAGATTGTGTGTCAGTCTGTCTCATTTGCTAGAGCTCTTGTCTCTGAATCAGAAGGTTGTGGGTTCAAGCTCATGTTGCGACTTAGAACTCATATACTCTAAGATGAGACTCCAATGCAGTGCTTGAGGTTTGTTGAATCGTCTGAGGTGCTATGCTTCGTATGAGGTGTTAAACCAAGGCACAAATGCCTGTTCAAATGGACATTAAATATTCCATGGCACTGTTCAAAAAGGGAAGCGACTTTCTTCCAGTTTCCTGGCTAAAAGAAATTGATCATTTGTTTCATGGCTGTTTGTGGTAAATTACAGTGCACAATTTGGCTGTTGCATTTGCCCACAAAACAGTCAATCCACTTTATAGTATATCCTGTGAAGCGCTTTGAGACATCCTCCCAATATGAAAGGCGCTATGCCAAATGTAAGAATTGCTGTTATCCAGTGGTGGGGTACTTTGTCAGAGTGAATCATGCTAAATTCACTTATTAAAACATCATCAAATATTACAATCAAACCACTTGATAATTATCAACTTGACTATGAGTATGAACTCCCTTCAACATTGGCACATTAGTTTGACCCGAAGCGGGTCTGAAACACTGGGAGAAAGGTATATCAGTGCTGGTTTACAAGATACCAGTTTAACTCAACATTGGGGATGGATTGGTAACTGTCAAATAGTTTGTTTGCAATCCTTTGGCAATATGGGATATCACTGGTGATATTTATCACAACACAAGTAATTTTTTACCTGTGTTTCTGATAATGATCCTTGCATTTGTTATAGCACCTTATCATACACGCAAGATGTTGCTGTAACATGTCAGGATGTCTCAAAGCATTTCACAGGATTTTCCGGTGAAGTATAATTGATGGAGAATTTGTAGGCAAACCCAGCAGTCTTTTTGCCTACAGCAGATTATATCTGTTGCAGTAAACAGTTTAGATTTTCAAAATAAGAAACCAGATTAGTTGTCACCATTCAATGGTCCTACTCTACAAATTCAGAGGGGTATAAATACTATTTTTTTAAGGCCATAGTACTAAAATGGAAGGACTGTGTGCATTCATCAGAATTCAATCCCAGAGCCTTATGTCACTAGTCCCTTGTAGCTCACCTACTAAGCTATCTGGAAAGTTGTTTGATGAAGCCTCCAGCTCCATGTACCTGCAGTCAGTAAGTCTTTTGATATAAGATGAGTTAATCATGTATACCAGACTATGTTCTAAAATTATGATTTTGTTTAGTTTCATAGCCGAAGGATTCTACAACTGATACAAGAGGTTTTTAGTTGGCTGCCATTAGCAACAATAATTGACCATAAGGTGCTGGTTCTCCATGGAGGTATCTCTGATGCAACAGATTTGGATATTCTGGCTTCGATAGAGAGGTGCAAGGTAAGTACTGATGTTAATTTAAACCCCATGGCACAGTATTGTCCTTATGAAATAACATGCAAGTTCCAGTCAAGACAATGTGTGATTGTATGAGACCCAATGAATCAGGGATCTTCCCATTCTATAGCACCTCAGAGGAACTGAAAAGAATATTCAATATTTCCCTTGTACAGTATTTTTTTTAGTAAAACTGCAATGTGTTCCCTGGAACTCAGTTTCTCTTTTGTAATTATAGTTGATGTGATGCCTGTTGCCTATTGTTCTCATGTTATCCTGCTTTTGAAAGTCACAGAAAAGATTGAGGTGAAGAGAACCCTTTGGTTGATTTTAATCTCACCTTCCAGAATACCCAGCCTTATCATCTTCCCATTACAGCATCAATCTGTTTTTAAATGAGTCCAATGTTCTAGCAACCACCCTTCCTGGTTCCACGTGTTGATTATAGTTGAATTAAGAAGCGATTCCTGGTGTTGCCCTCAAATTGCCCTTCACAAACATGTAACGTCTTGTCCTGCTATCTATGTGTACCTTACTTAAGTATTGTTCTTTCACAATCCCAATTCTTTCACAATTCACAACTACCTCCATGACGTCCCTTCTGAGGTATCCTCCCCCCCATCCCCGTAAGGCCATAAAGCCCTAGCTGATCTAATTGTTTCTTATGAAACACTCTTATAATACTGGGCATCTGCTTTGTTACTTTCCATTGCATTGCCAAAACATTGTGATTGACAGCACGAATAACCTATCCTGAAACTTTGAGACATCAATAATATTATCTGACCCTGAAGAGAAGGTGCTGGCTAACCACTGAAATCAAGCATATTTCATTGAATTTTGTGTAAGGCTATATATGTTAAACTTACAATGGACTGAGTGTTTAATTACCTATTTCTAATTTTACAGTTAAAGTCAGCACTCCGGCCACCAAAAGCATGTTTGGAAAGAAAGGATGAAAAGTGCCTTGGAAGATCTGGCCTTGAGGAACAATATTCACAGCTATTGGACAGCAATGGGAATGTGCAAGAACCACTGAAAGTACGCAGAACTTCAAGAAACAATGCATTCTGCTTAGAGAGGCAGACATCTGGGTCATCAGTTTCATCATCTTCCCCATTGTCTAGTCACTACTTAAATGAATTGCTCCCAAGTCATTTGAATCAGAAACAAAAGCAACTATTGGATGGCAATGAGCGAGAGAGGCTCCAACACAATGAGTACTGCTCCACTACTATCTTGGAAGTGTCCCACCTGGACTGTGAAGTGCCGATCCCCAAAAAGGCAACCAGAGTAGATGGCGATTGGAAGCAGGTGAGTGTAGAATGCACTTTGACCTTTTGCTTTTACTCTTGAACATCTAGTTATAAAAATACTTTTTTAAAAAAAAGTAATAGTGACAGTGAATCTCAAAAGTGAAGTTTTGTTTTGGGGGGAAAAAAGCAATATTACCAGCAAATAGAACCATCAAACAAACAAGCAAACAAAAATAAAAATGTAAATATTTATTAAATACAAGGAAGATGAAGGATAACATTAGAAATATCCGTTGACTTCATTCTGGTAGAAGAAGTTGAAATGGAGCTCTCACAAGTCAGTTTGATAGACTTCTGGGTACGGGAAGGAATTGACATATGGATTATTCAGACTCTTTATTACAGAATACTGCCCTTTATACCCCATAATCTTTTTTGGAAACAAGATGATGTGCATGTTGTGAGTAAGTGACAATTGTAATGATAAAGAAGTAGTCAATAGTAAACACAATGATGTCTGTTGATGAATTTATTTTGGAGATGTGGCAACTTCTGTGATCTTGGAAACAACAACATGGATGATTAACACATATGTATAAATCATCTCTCTGTAGATTGTAGACATTCTTTGGAGCGACCCGAAAAGTCTAAATGGTTGTTTCCCAAACAGTTTCCGAGGGGGAGGATGTTACTTTGGACCAGACATCACAGAAAGAATGCTAAAAAAGTACAACTTGAAGCTTCTGATAAGATCCCATGAATGCAAACAGGATGGCTATGAACTGTGCCATAATGGGAAGGTAAAGCTGAGCTTTTCCTCTGCACGTGTAAGACAATCTCTTGCACAGTAGCTTTGTTGCTGGTTAAAAAAAATGTGAGAAGAAAGAGCAGATGAATTGGCAAAGAGTTAAATGGAATGAATCTTTTTAATGCAGGTGATCACTATTTTTTCTGCTTCCAATTACTATGAAGAGTGCAGCAATCGAGGGGCTTACATCAAGCTCGGACCTGATCTGGTGCCTCGTTTCGTCCAGTATCAAGTCAGCAAATATACAAGAAAGATGACGCTCCGACAAAGGTGTGTGCAACAGGAAAATAAACACACGTTTCTCTTCCGAGAAAAGAGATAAAACGATTGTCTGATTTTTATTGAAACTTTTTTCAGGTCGTGAGCAAAATTGGAAATGTGAAAAGCTGTGACATTAGCATTAAGCCAGAAAACCTGTTGTTTAATAACAGGAATAATGGTGCCTTTAAGGTTCTTGACAATACTTTTAAAAAGGTAAGGAAAAGAAACTTGAGCGGCAGATATTCTGTTATATGGCGAGGCACAAATCTCAAGACAGCACGGTTTTGAATAAGGCCAGTCAGCAAAATGCCAGCTGGTTTGCTTGCTCCTCTCTGTTTGGACTTGGGATTCACAGTTTGCCTCTCACAAATCTCACAATCCGATGGTCGCAAACCAGAGGTTACAATTAACGCAACAAATCTGTCTGTGAAGATTACATTTTCACACTTGCCTCAATCTTCTCTTCCTTCCTCAACCAGTTAAACACACTTTATTTTGTATGCATTCTTCTTTTAAATCTTGGTGTTGAGGAGATTTTCACTAATCTAGTGGAGGTATTTGGGAAAAGTGAGCGCCCTTTAGTGTTATCTCCTTTTCCTGTGTACTGTAACCTTTACAGACCTCCAGTCTGAATGATTTTGTTTTTTTTATTTGAAGAGTGGGCGTGGTTGAAGCTTCTGCTCTGAAGTCTCTGCAGGAAAAGCTCTACGCTCACAGGTCAGAGGTTATTGCGGCCTTCAAACAATTTGATGAGAATAACACAGGTAAAAGCAAAGTTGACCTTTCAATTGCAGCCTGATTGCACTAATAATAAGATTGAATGGGGTAAATGGGGTGAGGTGGGGGGGTATAATACTGTACTAAACTGGACAAAGAAGAGGGAAGACCAAAAAATGGAGAAAATATAAGGAAAGAAGTGACAGTAGAACTTATTAAGTACTATTCCTGATGAAGCTCTGCAGCTCGTGTACTCTCACCCACCAGGCTCCGTGACCCCATCACTCCCACCCTCGCATGACTCCACTGGCTCCCCATCCCCCAGAGGATCGAGTTCAAGATCCTCGTCCTCACCTTTAAGGTCATCCATGGCCTTGCCCCCTCCTACCTCTCTGACCTGCTGACTCCCTACGAGCCTGCCCACTCCCTCCGTTCAGCGGGCTCCAGTCTGCTCCATGTCTCCCGTCCGACCCGCCCTACCATCGGTGGCCGGGCTTTCAGCCTCTCTGCCCCCACACTCTGGAACTCCATCCCACGGTCCCTTTGCCTCGCTTCCTCCCTCGCCTCCTTCAAGGCCGGTCTCAAGACCCTTCTCTTCGACTGTGTCTTTGGTCTCCCTCCCACCTCTCTGCCTTCCCTCACCCCTCCACCACCCCTCCCCCATGCTCAGGCCCCGACACCTGATTGTTCAGCGCTTTGGAACATCCTCCCGACGTGAAAGGCGCTCTGTAAATGTAATTTTGTTGTTTTTGTTGTTGAAGCGCTCCGGGACACTACCCACATGAAAGGAGTTATATAATTGCAAGTTGTTGTTGTTTTAGTAGTTATTACTGCATTATTATGAGCTGATAACATGCATATAGATGAACCCTAGAAATAGAGTTTCTATTGAGCCGCCAGCATTCTGAGAATTAAATTGATGTAATGACATAATTTGCAACAGAAAAATCATAACGATGGATCTTAAAGAATAGAAATCTCAGCATAGGAGGTCATTTAGCCCATCATGCCTATACTCCTAAATACCGTATATCCTGTGAAACGCTTTGAGACATCCTCCTGATGTGAAAGGCGCTATATTAAATGTAATATTACTCCAATTCCACTCTCCTTTTTTCCCCAACCATTTTATATCTTCATTCTTCAAGACTTTTCTTCAAAAGCCACTTGCTTTCAACTCCTAGAAAAAGAGTCATCCATCTTCCCTTTGAATAATAGCATGCAATTGTTTAGCTTTCAAATGTTCACATTAAATCAGTAAAATATTCAGCTGATGATGCTGTTGAATGCTCTTCACATGCGAATTCTGGAACAATGATCGTGTAATAATGCTCCAGTGTCAACGGCATACTGTTTGATTTGATTGTTTAGTTAAAAATAGATATTTTGCTATGAAAAAGAAGATGAGTGAAATTGGAATTCAGACCTAGGAGTCTTTTCCATCATAATAATCTTTGTTAATGTGAGTTTTTACTACGAATAATAATAATATTATATTATTATTAATAATAATAATCCCTCAAGAAAAATAACAATAGTAAATTGGTCACTTCAATCCGCAATTGGCTGCCATGTTTCGCCCACAAATATACAGTCAATTCACTTTACAGTGTGTTCTGTGAAGCGCTTTGGGACGTCCTCCCGACGTGAAAAGCGCTATATCAAATGCAAGGATTATTATTATTATTAAGGATAATAATAATAATGATAAGAGATTTCAAAAACAATTTTTAAGTGCCTATTACGCTGGCATGGCTAGCTGTGCCACAGAGCAGTTGGAAATCTTTCCTTTGCAGAATTTTATTTTTATGTTGACACAACACCACTTTAACATATAAAAAATCCCAGCCAAATTCACAGAATTATAGATCATGAATATCTCAGCCATTTGGCTCATTGTGCCTGTAACTTTTCACTATCTTCTCCATCTAGCTGTCTACTCCAACTAGCTACCTACTCTAATCCCATTTCTTGGCTCTTTTAGTTGCTCTTTTACATCTTCATTAAGAGTGCATTCCCTTTAAAATTAATGTGATTAAATCATATGCAATAGCATTCCACATCATGTCCTCCTTGAGATCTCCACACATAGGTGTACTTCCCAATCACAGAATAGGAATGAGCTGTGTGAACTTTGTTGATTTTCTCCTCCTTAACCCTGGATGCTATAGCACTTCTACTGCTGACTGAGCACCTGATTGAACTCAGCTAACACAGTACAGACCAGGAATTAATCCTACCAGCCTTCCTGCTCTGAATAGTTCATCTCATCAGATAATAATAATAATCCTTGCATTTGACATAGCGCCTTATCACGTTGAATATACTGTAAAGTGTAGTGACTGTGTGTGCAAGATGTGCCCTTGCCACCTGAATCTTTGAAGGAACCAAGGTGCTTGGTTTAAAAATAAAACAGGTGTGTACAGAGATGACTGATAAAATATTCCTTTTAAAATATTCCCCCAAAAACAAACACGCAGGGAAGATTACGACAAGTGAGTGGGCGACAGCAGTGGAATCTGTGCTTCACTTAGACCTCCCTTGGAGGACCCTTCGCCCTCGGATGGTCCGATTAGCTGATGATGGTAATGTACAATACCTCTCGAGCTTCGAAGACCTTCAGATTGAACAGCCCATGAAAGACGTAAGATTATGTTGCGAAATTATAGGTTTGCAAGATTCTAATTCAACAAGTAATTATATGTAACAACTCATCCTTGGGGGAAATACTAAACTAACCGTACACATTGTTTGCAGTAATTTTACTGGGTGTCTGAACTGAATAAGAACTAAATTGCATATAATTATTCTTGCAATCAGAATCTTGTAAAACCATTAACAGTTTGCGACATGCTCAGACTGAATTACAAATGATATCCTTGTTCACAGTTCAAAGCTCAAAACGCATAATTGTGCACCCTAGTATTTGTCTAGTTGAAATGTATGTTACGTTATAATGAAGCAGTGTAGTCTGCCTTTGAACTAGAAATGTGTCCGTTTGTCGACAACTGCAACATTAGTCTCAATCCCAAATTGAGGCGATGAACATCAAAAGCCTTGGGGATTGAGGTGGTGGAAAACAGATTTGAGATTTGACACTGACGCTAAACTCATGGACAATTGGACACTTTTCCAGTTCAAAGGGATAATGGATCCTGTGAGGTTTAATGAGTATTCCGGACTTTTGCTTCATTACCTTTTGGGATCAGGGAATATTTATACAACCCTTCTCATCAGGGGAAATAAATGAGTGGAATAGACCGGTTAGATTGTATGTGGTCTGTGAAAAGAGCAATCATAGGCCAAAATGCCAAGCTCATTCTATGCTATTTCCTGTTCTTGTTCTTATTACTTTAAAGCAGTCAGGGCAGTGATGTGCTGAGCAGCCCCACCAATCTCGATATTATCTTTTGTCTGGGTGTAGTGATGGATGCCATAGTCATCTTATGAGATATGTCACTGTATTTAGCAATATCGTGGAAACAGGGAACATTTATCAAAAGTGAATTATATAAAAATATACATCCACAGTAATGATAATCTATCATTCAAATGAAAAAAGATTGAATTGTGTTGACCAATTATCATTGTAACCCAGCAGGCTCAGCCAAGCTTAATAGAATCCATGTACAGGCATCGAGCAGACCTGGAGATAATTTTTGGCATGATTGATAAAGATCATTCAGGTAATTCTTTTCTTGGATTATATTTGCTATTGATATATGTATTAAAAAAATATTTAAGAGCTTCTCAATGGTTGTGTTGGTAAAGTTGATGCTGGATAGACAATTGGAGGAGAAACAAATTGTATCCAAAATTGTTCTCCCTAAATGATGAAATTTGGATTCATTTAAAAATGTTGTGCCAATAAATGGCAACATCAATCATTACCTTTTATGCTTGATTGGAACAAGGTAAAGCAGCAGCTAGAGTTATACTTCTTGCACCACATCTAATTGATTGGGAACATTAAAACTAACACAGGTGTTAGAGTTCTGCACAGAGCAACGATAAATAATTATAATAATAATAATCATTGCATTTGATGTATTGGCTTGCCAAAGAGTCTCAAAGCACTTCAAAGGAATTACTGTAAAGTGCATTCACTGTGTATTTGTAGGTGAACTAAACACATGTTCAGAAATGTGATATTGGGTGTTAGGTATTTTTAATGTTATTATAAAACCAGATACAAAACTTGTTGTTTAATAACAGTAATAATGAAGCCTTTAAAGTTCTTGAGCTGGTTAGGATTACTTAAAAGGTTTTAATGGAGTAATTTAGAGTGGAGTCTGAGATTGATTTGCACCCATTGGTTTTAAAGGGTAGTTGGTTTTAAAGGGTAGCACTGTGAATTAATAGAGTTAAATATGCAGTAAAATTATCTGACAGCATAATGGCGAAAACAATACTGTACGCCATAGATATTTCAGTAACATGAAAATGGTTTACATATATGTTACTTACAAATCATGAAAAAGGCAGTAAGTATCCTCTTATACGGGCAATAGAATGAAACAGATGAGAACTACGAAAGTAGTAACTATGGCAACATTTTGCAACTACAAAAGAGGCTATTTATTTTAGGATTATTGTGAGTCATAGGATCCCAATTATTAAAGCAAAATATTATTGGAATAAGTCGCCTGATTCTTGCACCTGACACTTTTGTTGGAAGTCAGTGTGAATGCATTAGAGAGACTTGTCTCGATGCAGTTCCCCCTATGTGTTTTTAATAAATGCATTTATTAATTTATTTATGAGTTGAGTACTTACAATACTTACAGCACTTCCACACCTAATACTTGCACCACATGCCAGCTTTCTTTAATAACATTTGGGTCTTCTCTTCCAAACATAGTGATGGAGACACACAGCTCTCAACCTGCCAGATGACCTTGAAAGCCAAAAAATACCAGTTGGCACTGCTTCTTTAAAACTCCTCTGGGCTAAGATCCAGGGCTGCTCCTGCCACAGTTGTTTCATGTTAAAGATCTTCAGCTGAGATATTTTAAACATCTGTTTTGTCTAAAGACCACTCCACTAATGTTCCAAGTCTGAAATTATTGCAGGTAGTTTTTGAGCGTGCTTCTAATAATCACTGAGCAAAAAAAAACTTTTAGGGAACAATGTCCAAAACAAAAATGTCCTTTTGAGAGTTTGCATTGAAGTTTTTGACCAAAACGAGATATCTTTCTGTGTGATAGAACATTGAACCAAAATTGTGTCAACCGTACATTATGTCAACCGTACACTGGTCAGCCTTCCGCTTCATCCCAATGTAATGAATGTATCATGATGTACTTACAAATAACTAATTACACTTTAATGATGAGTAAAATTACATTTGAATATTAAATTGTAATATAAATGAATATAAAATAAATATAAAATGTTATTATTATTATAAGCACAAGCAAGCAAATACAAAATCTTTAAGAATAAAAAAAACTATTCAAAAGCATTCAGTGAAAGAGCAGGGAATTGGGATTAGAGTACGTAAATGCCACGGAGGAGCGAGGACTAGAATAACTTTGTTGGGCTGGATGGCCTCCTTCTGTGTTGTGATTTCTATGATTCAATGCGGCATTAGCATCAGTCAATACACAATATTGAATAAGATTTTGTCATTTTCTGCAGGGATGATCTCCATTGAAGAATTCCGCCAGACCTGGAAACTTTTCAGTTCACATTTGCACATAAACACCAACGATCAGTCCATTGACGACTTTGCCCGGAGCATTGACTTCAACAAGGACGGCAACATAGATTTCAATGAATTTCTAGAGGCATTCCGTTTGGTATATAAGTGTGACCAAAAGGATAATAACTAATATTATAAAGAGAAATCATATACAAAGTGTGAATATTAGTCATGTTTGTTTTGCATAGAGTACATCACTCTTTAAGGCTAAGGAAAGCTAAAGAAAAATAACTTGTCTGTGATGTACATATTCTTGTAATAAATGGGGAGCTAGCAATCAAATATGTTTCATTTCTTTCTGAAGTTATTTGTTTTGCTTGTTTGCTCATTGATGCAGAGACCAACTGCAGGATAAGAGAATATTGAAGCCTAATTAATAGATTAAAAGCCATGTGTAGTATGTACAGAGGGAACTACTGTAATAATATAACTAAAAACCAATGAAAAAGTTTACCTGTCCATTGGTTAATCACATCATTAAAAGCATCTTATGAGTTAGCCCAACACGCAAATTTTACACGAGTTGTTCACACAAATGCCAAATTAGATCCCACTGTCCACATTTTCTCTTGACATTTTTCAGTGATATTGGCTGAATGCACTGTAAAGAATATACTTCTGTGATAGATTCTGAGCTCAGAGAAGTGTTAGTACTGCAACAAAGTTTCATTGCTTTCCAACGCTCTCTATCCTCATGTTCTCTTCAAGACAGTTTTATGCTGTGCATTCAGGATCAATTGAGTTGAGACTCATCACAAAGCTGACGACATCAGAGCAAATACTAAACTCCTTTGCCTTGAGTGAATCCATTGCCACCAGAGTGATTTCACATAATGTACTTGCTTATAGCACTATTTACAGAATATATATATATATATATAACATATATATATATATATGCCAATGCTGGCCTTCAATAATGGTCACTTCACTTCACAGTAATTACCTGTAAAGCACTTTGAGATGTTTTGAAACGACAAGGTGCTATAAAAAATACATTATTATTCCTCCTTTCACTCAGGATAGGTTTTTCACATATTACAGTAATGGGTACCGAAAATCCAGATGGATCAGGCAATGCTGATCACACTTAATTAGAAGGTGTTACACGAACCTGAAAGAAACTATAAACACAATCGGAAATAATGAATAGAAAGATTAATAGGCGCTGCAACCAAGGGATCCAGTGAATTGCAGTGCTGAGAAAGCAAAAATTAGGTGGTGTGATTTAACACATAGGTTAAGTGGGCATCTCTTTCTGACAGAGAAATTGACTTTGTTGAAACCAAAGGGAACTATATAACATTTAAAAATAAAATATATTACAAAGGAAAGTCAAGATTAGGACTGCAAGGAATTAAATTCTTATTTTAAATACTGACTTTTGGTGAATCACCGAAGAAGGTAGAAATTTAGAACTTGTGTATAACATAAAAATAATAATGATAACACTACATTTGCTAGTTCACCTTTCACATCGGGAGGATGTCCCAAAGCGCTTCACAAGATATACAGTAACGTGGCATGACTGTGTGGATACTGTGGGTGAACACAGCAACCAATTTGTACATAGAAATGTCCCACAGTCATACAATGAATGTCCATTTTTTTCTTTGCTGCATTAATGAGTTATTCCAGTTGCAATATAAATCTGGTTTGCTGGTAATGTAATGTAACTTGTTGTCAGTTCCTCTTGTAGACTGGTTCAGTGTTAACCCTTTAAGTGGAGGCTCTATTTAAAATCCAAAATTCAGTTACACTGACATGGTTATCCCTGTACTGTTTGTTCTTTCATTATCCCTCAGTTATAAAGCAGTGCAAACATGTAGCACCAGTGATACTGTCAGCTCTGAACTACCCTATGCTCAGTCAAAACTGGGCAGTAGATGTGCACTCAAATACTTGTGCATAGCTCTTCTCACTGGTATCTGAATACTGGTGAATATTTAAATACATTTTCTCATAGAGTGTGTGTTGGGGTACTGCTGGCAGTTAACCATCTAAAGGAGCACAGTTTGCCATTGAGAGTACTGCCTGGCAAGTTTGGTTTTCATTAGCTCCTAGAGCTAATGTGACATCCCCTTCCTATGGTAGAGTGACTAAAGCAGGAAGCCAGATTTATATTTGCTGTGCCAAGTCGCTGTTGTTGAACTTAGAGGGAATTTTCCACTTGTACTTGGCATCCATAATGTGGAACTCTCAGTCTGGTTGGATACTCTTAAGCATGAGTGATGGTAGATTTATGCATGTATTAGACAGCTGGCCGATCAAAAATATGTGAGCTGTATTAGAGAGTTCTATTCGTGTGCAGAGCTTCACTACATAGGCCTGAAGACCAGTTTTTTTTATAATTGTTGTATTTTTATTCAATATTATTAAATAGCCAGGAGTGTGACCAACTTTTTATTAACAACACAGAGTAACAACAGTTCACAGAGGTCCAACAAGCAGGAGATCAGGCAACACCTTGCTCTTCTTTCGTTTAGCTTCAAATGAGATGTTTAATACCCATCTGAACAGGCAGATGGAGCCTCAGGGTTTTAGCCTGAAATTCCATTTAGTTTTATCACACAAACACCATTTTGTCTTAACAATTAAAATTATGCAGAATTATAGAAAACTCTTAAATTGAGTGTTATTTTAGAACCCGGGACTGTGAAAATTGACTTCCAAATTAAGTCTGAATTGAAGAATTTTCCACAGTTCTGCAAATAAATATTTTAAATATTACTACAAAATGGTCTTACAGGCAGAAAGTTGGTTAGAATCTCAGGCCTAGATTTGCCTGAAGGTCAACACATCCATTAATGCAGCCATCCAAGTATTCCAGCTAGACTATGCGTCCAGGCTAATATATCAACTATATCAATTTTGTTTTTGATTACATTTGCCTTTCCCCTCTTTCAGTTAATACTACTTAGTGTTATCTTCTATGTTCTTCTTTCTGATAGTAACATTCTCTGGCCGTTTCTATTTTAATCTGTTGTTTGTCTTTGCCCATTTCTCTCTTATTTTGTGTCTGTATTTGCCTCGTTCACTCTCTCTCTCTTTCTCCTTTTCCCTGTTGATGGTCTGCATTGCACTGAAATCTAGCAACTTCTCTGAATTTGGTGGAAAAGTTAAAGATCACTTTGCTCCCAGCCTCAGTTACGTAATAAAGCCTCGGGATCTTCAATCGACGAGAAGGATGGTACTTGCGTAGATAAGTATGACCATAGGAGGTTCCTAAAAAAACATGCGACCCAGGGGGGAGAGTGCTGGGAGGTGCTGGGCATGTTTTCTTTTATTGCACAGACACATCTGCACAGACCAAAAGCAGCTGTGTGAAGGTCGCTGCGGTTTGAACCTTGAAGGTTTAGATCTGCAAGCAGAAAGGAGGCAAGCGATCTCCAGGCGTGTTGACCCTTTACAGAGTGCTCCTGATGTCCTGCAAATACGTACAAACTCTTCTTCGGATTTTGTTTCAACAGAAAATCCTCCATCTCTAAGAATTTGCTCTATTATTCGGGTCTCAAATTTCCCTGATGGGGTCAATCCGAATTGTGTTGATTTTTATCTTTTTCTTCTTTGACAGGGGTAAGTCCTCTTTGTTTTAATCTGCACGTTTTTAAAAGCTGCTTAAGATCAGGATAACAATGTTTGCCAACACAGCTGAAAAGTACCCTCCTAAAATGTTGAAACTACATTAAACCTTTTTTTACGCATCAGCCAGAAGCGAGGAGGATAATACATTTTTCATGAACATATGATAACCCTATTTCTGACATATATGTCCGTTAAAAGCAATATTNAAAAAACAACTCTTAGACGTAAAAGACTTCCTGATCTTGGGACAGTGGTTGAGAGAATTTGTTCCACAGATTTTAACATTGATGGAGATATCTAGGGAAATAGAGATATTCCACCTGAGTCTAGATTTACCCTATTTATGTAGAATTTCAGGCTAACCAGAATTTGGCAAGTTCTTACTATACAACCTTGATTTTTAAGATGGTTTTCTGTAAGTACTTTTTAAGAAGTTCAAAAACACAGTCTCAAAGGTAAAATTGAATTCAACAATTTGCTAAATTCAACCTATTCTGAAAAACTAAGAAAATAAAGTAAATAATAATAATAATAATAATAATAATAATCCTTGCATTTGATATAGCGCTTTTCACGTCGGGAGGACGTCCCAAAGCGCTTCACAGAATAGACTGTAAAGTGAATTGACTGTATATTTGTGGGCGAACGCGGCAGCCAATTGCGCACAGCAATGTCCCACAAACAGTCGTAGATTGAAAATGACCAATTTATTATTGTTTTTTTTTTTTGTTTTTGGAGGGATTATTATTAGGCGTGTGGAGTAAGGAAACTTGCCCAAGGTTTCGCCCTGCCTGGAATCTAGATCTAGGTAAAAAAAATTCCCTCCATTAATCTCACAATTTCTATGGGCAAATTAAATTAAACCAATATAGATGGAGGTGCAAAGAGGCTGCATCTGAGTAAGTATGTGATACAGTTCAGAGCAAAAGCTAAAGGTGTTTTGATGCCGTCAGTATGGTGGGTTACATTTGCCTAGATGGCTTGTTCAAATGGAATTTGAATTGCAGTGATTAATTAGTAAATTACTGGAATCCTGTAGCATATTGGTTAAAGCACTCGCCTCGCAAGCAACAACAAGATTCCATTTATAGAGCGCCTTTCACGCCGGGAGGGCGTCCCAAGGCGCTGGACAGTTGGGTCAAGCAAAAGGTCGGGCATTCAGCATCTCTGCCCCCACTCTGGAACCCTATCCTGCAAACCCTCTGCCTCACCCCCACTCTTGCCTCCTTCAACTCCATCTAAAGACCTCCTTCTTCAACCGTGCCTTCGACCACCCTCCATCTCCAACCCTCCTGCCCTTCACCCCTCCTGACCCCAACTCCCAGTTTGGGTCCAAAATCCCCTCACTGTCCAGTGCCCTGGGATGCCTTTCCGACACGAAGGGCGCTATATATTATAATTTGTTGTTTTTGTAAATGAGTTGATTCTTCCCCAGGGCTGCCTCTACGCACTTGCCCAGGACTGCGGCAATTATCTAATGGCCGTCTGTTTTTTCGATATGGTGGGATATACGTGACCTACTTTTGCAATCCTGGCTTTCAACGCTACGGATATCAGACTAGCAGTTGTGTGACTGGCAGGTGGACCCGAGCTCCTCCAGTATGTGCAGGTAAGTAAAGAGAGGCTGCTTTCCTCAGCCTCCATTGCCAAGTGGACTATTTTCCTTGGCTACCTCGTTCCATTTGAGATAATAAAAGTTTTAGTGTTCTTTTATTCCTAACTGCTTTCACTTTCCATTAACACTTATTTGTTTCTTTTTCTTCCTATTATCCTTCCCTTCATTCATTTTTTGTGTTTGGGCCTGAATGAAAATAAAGATTTACCAGGGTGGGCTGTCACCTAGTGGTTGTTTGGTGTTAAACCAAAACAACTGCAAAGAGTTCTAATGATAATTCAGTCTTTCTCTCCACAGCCCTTAAACACACAAAATCAAGGAATACAAATTCCAGTGAGCATTATGGCAGCACCTCTGACAATCCATGATAATAATGGGAGATCCCATTGATGGCTGATATCGCCAAAGGCAGTGGAATCTTTATTAAATAGACCTCACTAATAATAATAACCCTTGCATTTGATATAGCGCTTTTCACATCTTCTAGATGTCTGAAAGTGCTTCACAGAATAGACTGTAAAGTGAATAGACTGTATATTTGTGGGCAAAATGCAGCAGCCTATTGCGCACAGCAGGTCCCACAAACAGTTGTGGATTGAAATGACCAATTTTTCTTTGAGAGATTATTATCAGGCGTGTGGAGTAAGGAAACTTGCCCAAGGTTTCACCCTGCCGGGAATTGAACCCAGGTCTCTCGCTTGCAAAGCGAGTGTTCTAATCACTGAGCTACAGAACTTGAGGCTGACTCCCTGGACCGTGTCTCAGACATTGACTGATGATAGTACCCTGCTGAGAGCTCGGAACCTCCTTTGCCTGCACTGTAGCTCATAGAGGTTAGAACTGAGATAAGCATTGTGATTCAGCCTCCAACTGGGTACCCACAACATTTGTGAGCTACAGATCATTGTGAAATTTTCCATTGAAAACCATAGAATGTTTATCTCATTGCAGCTTCTGGATGCCCAGAACTTGGGACTATTCTGCATGGAAGCAGAACTTTGAACAAAGACAGCTCTGTTGCCAGATTCACTTGCGATTATGGATTTGAACTGTTTGGAACGCCAATGCTCTACTGCAATGGCAAAAGGTGGAATGGTACCAAACCTGGTTGCAAAGGTGGCAACAATTTCTTGACATTCACATGTTGTTTTGCTGAGGTCCAGAATTATGTGATTCAAACCTTTTTACCTGAAGAGTGTTAGACTCATGTCTATGATGGCGTGTTATATTATATGTATGATAGAGTATTAGATTCTTATCTATGATGGGAAATGGCACAGCATATTATAATATAGAAGCAGTAGGTGATTATACTACAGCTATATCTAATTACTGTATTTTTTTAAAAAAAGAATGGGCTTCACATGCAGTCTTCTTTCTCCAGAAATAATATTACACTTAATGTTCCTGCAAGCATGTAAATGTAAACTCTATAATAGTTGCAATGATATATTTGCAGCCTCCCTATATTATGGCGGATTACCAAAGTTCCACGGTAATACAACTATAACAACAACTTGCATTTATTATTAGCTGCATTTTTTGCGATTGATGAATATGCTTACATTTTTCATTTCAGAATCTGATCTGCAGTCCCAACAGGAGACACGTTTTGAAACAACTAGATCCACTTTCTTGCCGAACCGAAATAGACCATCGTCCTTGAAGAAAATATCGGAAAATCTACTTAAAAGGCGGCTTGGTGACACTGCTACACAAACTAATTTTATTAAACATGACTTCCCGCCAGGGCAAGCGTTTGATGCAGGTACAAGAAGTATACTGGGCAGAAAGAATGCCACTTTATATCACCTTGTAGTCAACAAGAATACTCGCAAAAATAGCCCAGTGAGGGAGGTGCAGGAAAAATCTAATTTGGCTGGAAAGACTCCATTTTTTACATCTAGGGAGAAGTTTTTGAACAAAGAATCAACAAAGGAAAGATTTAACCATGTACGAATTCAAACAAAACTGAAATCTCCAGCCTTGCTGCCATCAGCATCTTCTCCTTCATATTTATCATTCCCAGTAATGCCAGGACTGCCACAAATGCTTTCCATATCAGGGAATCCACCTTCCCCATTAGTACCAACAATATTGACACCCTTCTCATCACCATTGACACTATCATCATCAACATCAAACCCAATGCCAATACCTTCCACTACAACAGAGTTATTATCACTATCACCTTCATCAGGGCTACCTCTGTCTCTCAGATCTTCACTCCAAGAACTTTCAACATCATCACTACAGCCAAATCCCTCCATTGTAACAGAACTGCCCTCATCATCACCAACATCCTTCTCACCCCCAACATCTTTACTCCAACAACTTTCAACTCCTTTTCTAAGGGACTCAACCCCAACAGCACATCCATCTACCAAAATATCTTCCTTAGGGATATCGGTACCATTGTCATTCCTTGAGAAACAAATCTTGCCCTTGCGCAGTACCAGACAACCTCATCCTTTACTCAAAGTGCTGCCAATTTAGCTTCAGCCAGACCCCACCCAAATGAATGGTTCAGAAAAACAAAGAAGCTTGCAGCTGAAAAGCACAGCTCTACTGGTGGAGATGAAGGTGGCGAAACAGTTACAGAAAAATCCCAGGGGAAGCAATTATCTTCCAAATATAATCCTAAGCAACTACTGTTTCGTTGGAGTTTTCCTGAAATGGTTACAACCAATGCGGGTCATTCGAAGCCAGGAACCTCACTGGATGAAGTTGTGCTGACCCCATTAATGTCTACAGGCTCAGCAAGCAATATGTTGTCACTTTCTTCTTCCAAAGATCGGACTGATAAATATACCTTTACTACAGCAAATGAGACCAGCACCGTGCCCTCTCCTTTCTATTCACTTTTGGAGCAATATGATAAGAAGGACACTTTTCCGAATGTTAATATGGAGATATCCTTTTCCAGCGTCCCTATTGCTCCTTTTCCAGCGACTAAAATTGTGTCACCGCAAACAAGAGAAAACCATGGAGACCTCAAATTGGCAAATCCAAATCCTTGGTTAAATTCCATCACCACCACGATGTCACCAAGCACTGGCACGTCACATTCCCAAACAAACAGAGATATTACCGTGCATGATGCTAGTACAAGGAGCTTTGCCACTGGTAAAGAAAATAAATCAAAGATGGATATAAACAGACATGATAAGACTGAGCTTCCGATAAAGTCATGGGGCATGTCTACAGATCATATCCTCTCGCTGTGGGATACTTCCGGCCAAAAAATAAACAGAGGAACTAACCATCAGACTGCCAACTCATCAAAGGGAACTGAAATTGGCTTAGAACATGTAAACATGCTAACAGTGATACAAAGTGAATCAAACCTCAGGAAAGAACCACAGGCTTCCAATGCTAAAGCAATTATCCAACAACAGGACAGTCAAATCGTATTAAGTGGAAGCGATTCAGGCACCAGATCAAATGATACCAGTGATACTCCATCTAATGGACCTGGTGATAGACTAATTGCCCCAATACCCCAAAGCAACCTAGTTGAAATTGCTTTGGAGGAAATGGAAATGACACACACTTATCTAGAAGGGAGAAATGCTTGCCCCTCACCACTCATACCAGATCACGGGATATTTAATTTCCGAGGCCTGGTTGGGCCTTCACCCTCACAATACAAATACTATGTGCAGTATTCATGTAACTCTGGTTACACTTTGACCCACGGAGATCAGTTCAGCTTTTGTCAACACAATGGAGTATGGAGCGGGCAGGTGCCCACTTGTGCTGGTGAGTGTACATGGAATCCAAAAAGCCAGCCACAGTTTCTTGGGCTCCCAATTACTCTTTAAATAATAATGCTAATAATGCTTACATTTGGTATAGTGTCAGGAGGACATCTCAAAGCGCTTCACATGATATACTGTAAGATGAAGTTTGGTGGGCAAATGTGGCAGCCAATTGGTGCACAGTAACATTCCACAGATATTGGAACGTAGGAACAGGAGGAGGCCATTTTGCCCATCGTGTCTGTTGTACTGGTTCTTGGCATTCTTTTCATTCCAATGCCCTGACCTTGCACCAAAGCCTTAAACCTCTACTAGCCAATTGCCTATCTATCTCTTTTAAGCATGCCTATTGATTCTGCCTCTTCAGCTTTCTGGTGCAGAGCATTCCAAAATCTACATATCTGGATGTCCTCCTGACGTGAAAGGCGCTATATAAATGTAAAGTATATTGTATTTATAGTACCTCCACAACTCTGTGTGACAAAATGTCTCCTGACTTCAGATCTAACTGACTTGGCACTACTTTTAAGGCCATGATCGCTTACTACCGAGGGGAAGAGTTGACCACTCTCTGATTTATTAGTTCTTTTCATTATTAGAGATACCTCAATCAAATCACCCCTTAAGATCAACTTATCCTTAAGAATACTCAGTCTACCCAGCCTCTCATCATAGCTAAGCCCCTTCAGCTATGTATTGCCGAAAACGAGGGGCATAATTATAAGGTAGCCCGTAGGAAATCTAAAAGGGAGTTTAGAACAACAATAATGCAAGGATTATTATTATTATTATTACAATACTTGCATTACATAGCACCCTTCACATAGGATAACATCTTAGAGATCTTAAAGTTTAGGGGTAGCTTCTTCACCAGAGAGTGATGAGAATTTGGAACTCTTCAATAGAAGCTGTGGTTGACGCATAAAGTATAAATGTATTTAAGACAAAACCTGAGCATACGGATGGAGTATAAATACCTTAAGGACTCAGTGAGCTAAATGGCCCGTTTCTGTGCTGTGGCATTCTATGTTAATCCGTGTATTAATCTGGTGAACAGTTGCTGGATATCCTCCTAGACTGGAATATTCTATTCTCAGATTAGGTGCCCAAAGTTGAACACAATTCCCCAAATGAGGTCTGACCAGTGCTCTTTAGACTGGACCCCACCAGAATGGTTGGCATTGATCCTCAGTACAGTGCAGACTCAGTTTCACAGGACTGAAGCATGACCCAGAGCCATATGCATATTCTAAATGCTGTGCGATTGATTCAGTCACCATTCAGAAATTATCCCTTAACATATCTCAGACAGCCCAATAGGTTGCCCCAGATCTTAAAATATACTATTTTTAATGGTATTGAACCTCGGCATTTTTGTAAACTGTTTTTCATGAAAGAATCACCTTTAGTTGTCCTGCCCGTGTCTGTTATAAATGTTTCATCAAATATACAGTTTCTAGTTGGGGACCAATAACTTTTCACTTGTTTATTTTGGAGTAAAATGTCACATATGAATCCAGTTACAGGAGATATGAGAAACAAGCGGTAAAATAATAGTCTACTTTGATCATAGTAGCAGAACGTAATCCAAAGTAGTGTCTGGGTATTCATTGTTAACTTGAGCCTTGTTCTTTTTAAAGATGTGAATGAATGCATCATTGGACTGAATGACTGTCAGCAGATCTGTGTCAACACCTTTGGGTCTTACAAGTGCAACTGCCAGACAGGCTTTCTCCTTTCACATGATGGAAAGACATGTGCAGGTAGTTTATATATGGTCCTAATGATACTAAACAATAGTCAAACATATACCATTTGCAAGATTGCAGGATTTGCTAAAAAGAATCATGGAAAAATGGTGTCTTCTGATTTGTGATCGTGGCTGTTTTATTTACTTTCAAGACATTTTTCAGCTGAGAAAAAGGGCTGAAAGATTCCAACAGAAGATTGGAAAAATAAATGTCAGACTTTGCCAGTGCTCAGGATTGCAAAGTTATTCTTAATTTCAACAAATTCATTAGTGAATATGTTGGGCAATTTGTTAGGGAATACATTAGGGAATATGTTACACAGGGAATACGTTAAAGGAATATGATGTGGATTTTGTGGGATCACTGTTTATAGGATCTGTTTAAGGACCCGTTCGTTGGCTGTTGCAATTTGCCTACAAATACATAGACTTGCACTAAGCAATAATGTGCTGACAGAGATCCATATTCCTAAAGCTGTTCAGAATTTATTTTTAAAAATCTGTTTTAGAATATCTTTTCCAGTGATTCTGCAAATATTTGTTTAAGAAATAGATTTTTTAGGAATTGGGACCATTTACAAATAAGGGCTAAACTGGGAATTGGTACATCAGAGATTGAATATTCATGTATTTGGATATGACAACATAGGAATAATAGCATGATAACATTAACATGTGAGATATCTTTTTTGCAGATATTGATGAATGTATCCTTCCAGTTGGAATTGCCAGCTGTCTGTTTGGCTGCATCAACACTGCAGGGAGTTTCATGTGCCATTGCCCAGAGGGATACCAGTTGAGCACCAACAATGGGCACTGCAAAGGTGGGTGTCAGACACAACTTAAATATTATTAAATGCTCTTAAAGGGACAATTGGAAAATTGAGCAGAAGTAATGTACCAGCATTGTGCAATCGTTTGTTTATAATTTTCTTAACGTTCTGACAGGAGTTACACATTTATAGAGTTAACATTAGGGGAATTTAAAAGATTGTTGTCAATTTTGTGGTATTTCTTAATGGGATTTCTTAATTGGGAAATGTAAAACACAACTTTTTTTTGCAAATATTTTGTCTCATCATTTCAAAAAATCATTTTTTTAAAAAAAAGGTTAACTTGAATATCCCATTATCTTACTTAACCCAGACCCTAATACCTTTTAAAACAGAGTGACCAAAAAGTTGTGGTACCATTGCAATGTTTAATAAGTCTCAAAGAAATTATGATTTTTTTAGATAATAGGCTAGTAGTTATCACCCTGTAATATTTGTCAAACATTTAAACTTAACACCAGGTGGTGTCAAGAGTAGGGTTGAAGTGTGATTCACGGTGACTCAATCCCTATTTGTAATGCATTAAATCACTGTCAAAATTACAATTCGTTGCCTAAAGTGCAATATAACTGCACCAGTGTTAGTGAGCTCTGAAATTTCCCCCACCCCCTCAAAAAACTTGTGATATTTATTCATACCAAAAATGCAACTGTTTTATATAACCCAAATAATTGGATTGTTTTCACTTTCAATTTTTCTCTGCCGAACACTGGGATGTCCTCCAGCAGTGAATGGCGCTATACAAAAAGAAAGTAAGTTGTTGTTGGTGTATTACATTGAAAATGTCTGTCTCGATTCTCTTTTGAAACATGTAGATATTGATGAATGTGCAGAGAATAATGGGAGAGGCTCTTGTGCCATGGAATGCCAGAACACTCCCGGTTCCTTCAGCTGTTCTTGCTCATATGGATATAAACTAGCAGGGGATGGACACTCTTGTATCGCAGAATGTCCCTCTGGCTATAGGAAAGAGAACCACATAGAGAGACCTAACTGGCACAGAGAGATTCAACAATGTTTGGGTACGTATCTCAGGCTATCTGGGTTCTTTCTGTTTGCCATTGCATTCTCTGTCCTTCCTTCAATCAATTTTCAATATTTAAAATCAGCAGGACATACTGGATGAAATATTTCTTTGCAAGCTCCAGGCTTCAAACTACATGCTCACTTCAATGAATTGCCTGGTCAGTGATTATAACTCGCTCCAATCTCCCACTGTGCATAAACAAGGATATTAAAGAAAATGTGTTTTTCATTCCGTTTCCTCCACCCCTCCTCTCCTTTGGACGTCTTTACTCCTTTTTTCTTGCACTGAGGTCCAGTTCTATGATTGCAAGTCAGCCTCTGGAGACCCAAGTGGGCACTATTCAAGCTGAGTCTTGACAATGAATGCTGGTAGGCTACTCAAACATACAACAACAACAACAACAACAAGATTTCATTTATAGAGCGCCTTTCACGTCGGGAGGATGTCCCAAGGTGCTGGACAGTTGGGTCGGGACCCGATCAGGAGGGGAAATGGTCAGGGTGAGGGGAGGGAAGGGAGGGAGCGAGGAGGGGGTAGAGAGTCGAGAGGGGAGCTGAAGGCACGGTCAAAGAGAAAGGTCTTGAGACTGGCCTTGAAGGAGGAAAGGGAGGAGGCGACGAAGGCACTGGGGGATGGAGTTCCAGAGCCTAGGGACTGAGAGGCTGAAGGCCCGGCCACCGATGGTAGGGCGGTTGGGGCGGGGGACGTGGAGCAGACTGGAGCCAGAGGAACGGAGGGTACGGGCAAGTAAGTAGGGGGATAGTAGGTCAGAGAGGTAGGAGGGAGCAAGGCCGTGAATGGCCTTGTAGGTGAGGATGAGGATCTTGAATTCGATCCTCTGGGGGATGGGGAGCCAGTGGAGGCGAGCGAGGGTGGAAGTGATGTGGTCCCGAAGCCTGGTGCGGGACAGTACACGAGCTGCAGAGTTCTGAATGACCTGCAGCTTGTGGAGGGAGGTGCCGGGAAGGCCGGCGAGGAGAGAGTTCCCATAGTCCAGCCTTGAGGTGATAAAGGCGTGGACCAGAGTTTCAGCAGCGTGAGGGGTGAGGTAGTGCCGTAGTCTGGCGATATTTCGGAGGTGATGGAAGGCGGTGCCAGTTGTGGCGCGGATATGAGGAAGGACAGCTCAGGGTCGAACAGAACCCCGAGGTTCCTGACTGGCTTTGAGAGGTGGAGAGTGCAGCCTTGGATGCTGATGCTGTCAGCGCCTGAGGTGCGGAGGCGCTGACGTGAGCCAATCAGGAGGGCCTCAGTTTTGCGCACGTTGAGCTGAAGAAAGTTGTCTCTCATCCAGGACTCGATGTCGGACAGGCAGCTGTCAGGACATCGGTGGTTATGGAGTTGAGGGTAGAGGAGGAAAGGTAGAGTTGGGTGTCATCCGCATACATGTGGAAGTTAACCCCATGTCTGCGGATGATGTCACCAAGGGGGAGCATATAGAGGGTGAAGAGGAGGGGACCGAGGACAGAGCCCTGAGGGACACCACACGAGACAGTGCGGGGGCCAGAGGAAAAGCCGTTTGTGGAAAGAAAATGAAGACGGTGGGAGCGGTACGACCTAAATCACTCAAGGACAGGGCCTTGAAGGTTGAGGTGGGAGGACAAGCGGTGGAGGAGGATAGCGTTACTAGTGGCATTACTAGCAATTGCAGCAACCCCATTGCTCTTCTAGATAAGGGATAAGGTAACTTAGCACTTAGTTTTAGGTTTGTATGGGTTAGTGCTACAGCCATGCCTTTAACTATTAGACCACTGGGGGGGCCTCTTGATTTCAAGATCCTCATCCTCACCTACAAGGCCATTCACGGCCTTGCTCCCTCCTACCTCTCCAACCTACTATCCCCCTACCTACCAGCCCGTACCCTCCGTTCCTCTGGCTCCGGTCTGCTCCACGTCCCCCGCCCCAACCGCCCTACCATTGGTGGTCGGGCCTTCAGCCCCGAGGCTCTGGAACTCTATCCCCCAGTGCCTTCGCCTTGCTTCCTCCCTTTCCTCCTTCAAGGCCGGTCTCAAAACCTTTCTCTTTGACCGAGCCTTCAGCTCCCCTCTCGACTCTTCCCCCTTCTCGCTCCCTCCCATCCCTCCCCTCACCCTGACCATTTCCCCCCTCCTCGCTCCCTCCCCTCCCCTGACCATTTCCCCCCTGCTCGGGTCATAACCCAACTGTGCAGCGCCTTGGGACGTCCTCCTGACGTGAAAGGCGCTTTATAAATGGAATCTTGTTGTTGTTGTTGTTCTTTGTTTACACCAGGCCTCAATCTGCTCACATGCAGTTGTTATGATTCTATTCCTACAGATATTAATGAATGCCTTGATGGTTTCAGTGAACATCGTCCTTGTGAATGGAAATGCTTGAATCTTCCAGGCTCTTACCGTTGTATTTGTCCTCGTGGGTACAGGCTGAATGACGATAAGCATCACTGTGAAGGTGAGCACAGTGGTTAGTTTAATGACTGTTCTATCGCTGTCCTCCTTATTACCTTTATCATGAGTGACGACTTCTCAGGACAAAAATCTCAGGTTGCTCGAAGAAAAATATTCTGAGCCGCTCAAAATAGGAATTGCTGAAAAAATTGTCCTGTAATGCCAAAGGATTTGCCAAGAAAAAAGACTTTTCATAAAATCATAGAATATTGCAGCACAGAGAGAGACCAATTGGCCCATCATGCTCTTTGGAAGAGCTACCCACTCAGTCCCACTCCCCTCCCACTCTTTCCCCAAATCTTTGCAAATGTTTACTTTTCAATTACCTATCTAATTCCCTTTTGCAAGTTATTAATGAATCTGTTTCCACCACCCTTTCAGGCACTTTTCTTTTGACATTATTGCACCAATTTTTTATTTTTTTTCTCCTGCTCTAAAGTTTCCTCTCTTTTAACATCCTGACTCTTAGGACCACTCAGTTCATCAAACCTGATCCGCCAGTTTATTCAGTTTATTGGATTGTGTCAGATCTTTTAGCACCATTGCCCAACTGTTCTCTATATTTCTTATTACCATCCCAATGGGAATGTAATAGGTGATGTTTGCCCCTGAAACTCTGAAGCACTTTTCCTCTATCCATCTGCCTTGCTTCTTCCTTCCCCTTCTTCAGATCGTGCCTGAAGACCTTCCTCTTTGACCGTGCCTACGGTTACCTCCCCATCCCCCTGGTTTGGTATCATGCTCCACCACTGTCAAGCGCTCTGGGATGCTACCCTGTAATGAGGTGCGCTATATAAATACAAGATGTTGTCATTGTTGCCTAACCTGGCCAGAATTTCGATTTCAACAAATTGTGGCCTGGCTTGACCTGGGATATGTTTTTCTCCTCCCCGCCACCCTCCCTTCCCCCCCTCCCCCAACACCTTTCCTCCTCCGACACTCTTTCCTTCCCTACACTCTTTCCCCATCCCCACACTCTTCCCCTCTCACAACATTTTTTCACCCCCCAACACTCTTCCCCCCACACACTTTTTCCCCCTCCTGATGCTCTTCCCCCACACTCTTCCCTCCTCCCAACACTCTTTCACCCCTCAACACTCTCCCCCACCCCCCCACCCCCGACTCTACCCAAGGATTATTATTATTATAATAGAAATTCATGTTTTCTACACATCATGAAAAGTGTTTTTATTTTGAAGTAATGGTTTTCTGTTAAAATTGCAGATGTTAATGAGTGCAGCTATACGAATGGTGGCTGTTCTCACCTCTGCATCAACACTAATGGTGGATACCGGTGTGAATGTCCAGAAGGTCACTCCTTCAGTCCTTATAGCAGGAAGACTTGTCAGGCAATTGGAATATAGAGTTTTCAGTGACATTTACAGTCACATAGACATCTTCCTTCAAATCTGGAGTTCCTCGATCCACACAGTAGCTGTGTTGAAACTGTGCTACTTTCAGGGAGTTTCAGTGTCCTTTGTATTGATCCTTTGTATTGTGTAAATGGATACATTATGCAAATCTATTGGTTAGGGTTTTTCGAATGAAAATTGTTTAATTAACATGATCTTTTTCACTGCATATGGCTTACACATCGTAAAGAACTCTTTTGATAACAAATCACAACTTTGTATGTACAATAAATCAGTATTTTGTGCAATATACAGTCTATTTGTATTTTGGTGTATTGCACAAATTCCTCAATAAAAATGGAATATAATTATTCCTAATCTGTAAAGTGAACTCCTGCAATGATCCAACATTTTTTTAAGCTCAGGATCATATCTGTACTTTCTATTTGCTAACTGTACAAAGCATATCCCAATACGCTGACTTAATTTGGAGCTAAGCAGAAGCTAGGAGTACAATAGAACAGAAGACATGACTCTATTAATACCTCTGTTTTAATCTAATGTTGGACTCAAGTCATCCAACTTGACACTCCAGTGCAGCGCTGGGGGCGTGCTGCATTGTTATCGAGGTGGCGTCCCTTGGATGAGACATTAAAAATAGAGAGAAAGGAATTCATTGTTGTTTGTGGTACATTGCTGGGTGCAAATCGGCTGCTGCATTCACCTAGAAATATACAGTTACTACACTTTACAGTGAATCCCCTTAAGCGCTTTGAGATGTCCTCCTGACGTGTAAAAGGTACTATATCAAATGGAAGGATTATTATTACTTTTTAAAGAAAAAGAGGATAATTTGATAACTCTTTTCTATCAAAATCAATGAAAATGAAAAATAGTTCGCCCTGATGAAAATTTCACTTTTCGTAGAAAACGTGAATAAAATCAATTAATACAATCAAACTGAGAATGAAACCTTATGACACCAGCATGCCACAAATGAAAGCTTCTGTAAGAAAATATTTTAATTTCATATTCCTTGATTTTATTCATGTCCTTTAGTGGTACCTCGACATTGTGCACTTAAGACCCTTTCATTTTGCTTTGGATTTTAATAAATAATATAATTCTTTTCACTCTTTGAATATCCAACTGTTTTAGTATGTTCTAGCGTGCCTCAGGTACTGTAAATAGCAACACGTGCACAAAAATAACATTGCTTCAACCTCTAAGTTTCGTGTCTTCAGAGAAAATGCAGTTTTTACAGTGGTTTTGAAGGAGTTTTAAAGGGTTAAAAGCACCTATACACCTGGTTCCAGTTAAATCCAATGCATAAATTACTAACAAGCATTTTATCACAATCAATTCAACATATTCAACTTTTGTTGAAAGCCATTTATAGACTAACATTGACTACTCCAGTACACTTGCCCAACACTGAAATCAGTGAAGTCAATGCCTGGCCAGATGTTAATAAGTGCGCCTATAAGAATGGTCACTGTTCTCACCTCTGCATCAACATTCTTGGCTGCTGCTTCTTACAGTGTCACTTAATTATGAATACAAGATGCAAGTTCTTTGGTTATTATTTTTCTTAAATAACTTTTCCTTCCCCCTCCCCACCACCACTCGGTAGTGTGAATGTGGTCTATTTTGTGAGCATTGATGAAATTGAATGAAATCAATGAATGGACCTTAATGAAATTGAAAAATTGGAATATTGAATCTTGCAATATCAGAGCAATTCAGTTTAATTTTGGATTCTGAAAGACTCTAATTTTCAGTGTTAATTTAAAATGGTCGAAGACCTTTTTAGAAGCTCTAAATGAAGATCAGAATAAATTTAATTATTTTGATGAACTGAATCGGATTTAAAAAACAGAATTTACATTGCAAATGTTGTTACACCCCTGTTCAAAAAAGGGGAGAGGGAATAACCTGGCAACTACAGGTTAGTCAGCCTAACATCGGTGGTGGGGAAACTTCTAGAGACTGTAATCTGGGACAAAATAAATTTTCACTTAAAAACGTAAATTAACTAATGACAGTCAACACGGATTTGTTAAAGGCAAATCGTGTCTGACAAACTTAATTGAGTTTTTTGATGATATAACAGAGAGGATTGATGAAGGTAGTGCAATTGATGTATTGTGTATGAACTTTCAGAAGGTGTTTGATAAGGTGCCACATACTGGACTAGTTAGCAAAATTAAAGCCCATGGGATAAAAGGGACAGTGGCAGCAAGGATACAAAATTGGCTGGGAGATAGAAAACAGAGGGTAGCAGTGAATGGTTGTTTTTCAGACTGGAGGGAAGTATACAGTGGTGTCCCCTAAGGGTCGTCATTAGGTCCACTGCACTTTTTGATATATGTGAATGACTTGGACAGGTATAGAGAGCAACAATTTAAAGTTTGTAGATGACACAAAACTTGGGAATGTGGTAAACCATGAGGAGGATGGTAGCAGACTGCAGGAGGACATAGACAGACAGGTGAAATGTAGATAATTGAGAATATAAGAGGTTTGCTGTTTTGGGCTAAAGTTGTGACGTGGGAGTATTTTTGTGTAAGATTTGGGTTGTAAGTCTTTTCAGGTGAGTTCAGTTCCAAAATGTGCCTGTGGTGTTTGTTTTTTTAATAATTGGCAGTGATTGAGTTAGGAGGTAACAAGAAAATAGTTTTGACAGCTTTTGTAATGTTTCTGATTTGTGTTTTGGGTGTACAAGGTGTCTGACATCCAGAAATTTGTCCAGGAAAATGTTTTTGTTTAATTGCTGGGGGAAAGGCCAGAGAAAGTGTGTAAGTTAGAGCAATGTAATATGGCTACAACCCACACTTGGAACATAGGATTTGCTAGGCTAAAGACGACCAAGATCCATCAGTTTGCCTTCTACCATCTCTGGCAGTTGTGTCTCAAACTTGATTTCATTTGTTATGAAATAAATTAACAGTAGAATGTTCAAATCAGCAACAGGAGAGAATGCTGCTGCCAATAATGGTATGAATTTTAATGCGAACATCCAAAACAGGATTTCTATGATTCTTAGAGGCTATATTTCTGGAAGGGAAACAAATGATGTGCCTGTTTTATCAATCTGGCCCTCAGCAGCCAAAGGTTTGAGCATGCTAATGGCTCAAACTGCTTCCAATGTTTCATTACATGATTTTTGTTTCCTTGCAGGTGAAAGGGTGTGTTCTCTCTAAATGAGGAGGNAAAAAATGTTTTTTCTGTGAAGGCAACTTGAAGTGTGTCTTGTTTAGCCTTCAGGGAAGGCTAGTGATGAAAAAAGTACAAATGACCACCAAGGTGGTTGTCTTAAGTGTGGCTAGCCTCATATGGGGTGACAAAATATGAACATAAGCTAGTTTGTATTGATCAGGATATTTCAAGTTGAATGCAGAGACATATATCCCCCTCATGTCTAGCAGCTGAGATTAATGGTGGGTCCCTTGGATTTGCAAAACTGAAAAAGAAAAACATTCCTACATGAAGAAGTACAAATTAACTTGCAGCAGGAATGTGGAAGCTGCTTTTGACACCAGCCACCATGTTGGAAACCTTCACATGCTTTCAAAAAATCCACCGCATTTGTCTTGCAAACCCACAACTGAACAAGATGTTATTGCTTTTTTGTAAAGTGGAAAAATATTTGAACCCTTAAATGCCTCCCAAAGCTTCCACATACCTCCTTGCTGCCTCTCCATCCACTTGATCGTTTCCAGAGTAGCTTGCAGAGATTAATTCCCTGAATAATTAGAAATAAAATAGGCTGAATTGTGAATAATCATCCTTGTATTCCATGTCTGAGTGAATGCATGCAAAAAATGACAAGGTCTATTCCCAACATCATTTAATAGTGAACTCTACACATGAAGTTGTAGGTTAGGGCCAGCTGGGAGCTGAGCAAGGAGCGCATTTGAAAGTGAACAAAAAATATTGGAAGAAGTGAGGCAGCTCTAAATACAAGACTAGAGAACTTGTATGCCTGGAAGCTTTTTGTGCACAGGACTTGGGTAAAGATCTGTTTCAGTCAGGAGCATTAAATCACATCAGCAACAAGCTCTCGCTGCTGCACACAACAGTTTTGTCAGTATTTTGCAGGCCTGTGCCCACATTGCAGAGTAAGGGAATGTAGTCAATGACCTTAATGTTCAATTAGTGTTCTGCTGCAGTCTGAAACAAAAGATTTCCAGCATCTGCAGTATTGTGTTTTCTGCTGCAGTCTGGTGGCTGCTCAATAATTTCAAAGCTAAAGTGCACGAATAAGAATCTCCTTTGGTCAATAAAAACACTCACAACATTAATACCAGTGAGAACATGAAGGGTCACGCACCTGAATGTTCAAATAGTCTTCAGTAGGTTCCCTGGACATTTCACCAGCGATAATCGCCTTTGTTTTCACCAATTAAGAAGATGCGACAGGAAATAACCCTCCTGATTGCAATGAGATAAGAATTATAAGCAGAGCACAATTGGCTTCAGCGGCCCTGAGCTTGGGTCATTTTCCATTTCAAGCTTCACTTCAACAATAACGAGTTACATTTGTATGGTGCCCTTCACATGTGGAGGACATCCTAACACGCTGGACAATTAGGATTGGGATCAGGAGGACAGGGAGACTAGAGGTAGGAGGGTCACCAAAGGCACAGTTGAAGAGGAGAGTCTTGAGGTGGTTTTGAAGGAGGTAAGGTAGGCAATGGAACTGTAGGACAGGGGCAAAGAGATGGAGGGGCGGGACAGGCCAGAACCTACTGAGCAGAGGGAGCAAACAGGATATGAGCTATCAATTCCTGTTGCAGAATAGCTTGTTCTGCATTTCTTCAACAAATTTGGGAATTGGTTCAGAATCTGCACCAGCGGCTTCACGCGCATAAAAGCCAATTATAATTCCTGCTCCTTCATCCAAACCCACATGGCTGCATTGCCAGCTCCTAAATAATGGAAGGTGGAACTGGCCATACAGCCACGTGGATTTTAAGGAGCCTCTCTTCAACACATAAATCTTAATTTTCATTAAATTTAGAGTTTTGTGGTGTTAAGATGCTCCTATCTCTCCCTCCACAACATCAATTGTCTCAAAGCTCAATACAATTTATGAATAAAATAGCCTTTTATCCAAGAACCACTCAGTTGCTAACCCAACTCCAATAAGATGCAACAATTTACTGAGCACCTTTCCTGTCTGGGGAACATCAAAAAAACACTTCCTCTCTGAAGAATTTTAACATTGGTGCCTTCCACAAGCTTTTGTAGATACAGTTGAATGTTGCCTTTATCCATAAGGTGCTGACAGGTGGCTAGAGCTCCATGAACATTTTAATGAAGTGGTACAGCCCAAACAGGGTGGCAAACAAGGTTTGACTTGCCAGTCGATGCTATGCCAGATCAATGTCCAATTGCCTTTTAATGACATTTGTTGTGTTAATCAAGAACACATAACAGGATCACCACCTGAAAGTTATCGTCCCAGCTTGTGAGGCACCTTCGACCGCATTGGAGTGTGAGCCTGGAATCAAAGTCCCCACACAGGGATTGAATCCACAACCTCATGACCCAGAGTGCAGCGTGCCATCTACTGAGTTAATAATAAAATAATAATCTTTGCATTTGGGGCTTGAACCCACAACCTACTGACTCAGAGGCAAGAGAGCAACCACTGCGTCAGACTGACACACCTGTCACCTCTTCTACAGTTTTCTGCTGATTCAGAACAAACTATCATTTTAGTTGCAGCATCGATAGATATTTGGGGAGGACAAATTTGCAGGGCTATGGGGAAAGAGCACAGGAGTGGGACTGATTTGGACAGCTCTTTCAAAGAGCCGACAGAGACACGATGGGTCAAATGGCCTCCTTCTGTGTTGTATAATTCAATAAGATTACAAGAAAATAGCATTGGTTGAATATTCTATTAACCTACAGTATGCATCAAGTAAAAAAACATATTAAAAAATGTATTCTGAACACCATTTTGGAATGAAATAACACTAATGTCCTTTGTTACCAAACTCATTTCATCGAACTTCTGAATTTATTCACACATAAGTACAACACAGTGATTGGTGATACTAGCACACATTCTGAGTACATGTAGGCACAATATGATTCCATTAAAAGTTACTTCCTTAAGTGCATTTTATTTTCCTCATAGTTATATTGAATGTTCATTGACTTGAACAAAAAAACATTGCTTAAACCGTTACACTGGAGTCAAAATTGGGATGGGCCACAGCACAGAAAGCAACCTCTCCGCACTTATTCAAGGAGTATTGAGCTACCTCAATTTCAGTTAGACAGATATCCAATGAATAAACCTAGAGGGCTATTTTGATAGTTGAGAATGATCCCTGCTTGGGAACCCAAGAATATGGTATCCAGGACTCCTCACAGCCAGGTTAGGGCACTCCCATTATTCAGAAGTTGGAAGTGGGTATTTCAACACATAATTTAAAACCATTCATTAATGAAGGAAGAGAATATATTAAGCAGTCTGATGCCATTGGTTTATTTGCTAATGTGAATTAAATACTTGGAACAATAGATTTAAAAAGTGAGAGTTAACAGCCTAATTATTTCCAACATAAAGCTTCTCTAGTTCCATGTTGACAAGTGGCTTTCAATGATACACACACAATATTATACTGCATCCTTGGCTCACACCAAGGAAAGATTTGAGCACTTAGGCTTAAAGGAATCTTAAGCACTAAGTCACTATTTTCATAGGCTTAGCATCACTAATTTAAATACTCAGTTCACTATTCAGAAATGTACACATCAACTTCCCTGTTTGTCGGTTGCTGATGTGTACTGGAATTTTGCACTGAAACTGAGCCCTACGAGAAGCAAATATGTCAGTATGTAGGATGGTGGAAAAGGTGTCAGCTCATCCATCTTGTTCCATTTTCTAATGTGGTTTCTGGAAGCCAGTATGTGATATGTGGGTTAGCACTGGTCCACACAAACACTGTAAGCCATGCTAAAACTGTGGGTAATATAACAGGGATTGCCCTGTATTGCCCCATTAGCTCTGCCTTTATCTATACTTCCTAATTATTTTTCCAAATACGTTTCCCCTCTTCTAAGTCCAGACAATGCAAAGCCTCCTTTTTGCCCCATACAGTGTCAACTCAATTCCCATCTCATACACATTCTAGATATTCTTTTCCTTTATCCCTCACTCCACATCAGTTTAGTATTACCCATAGCAGACAGCAAAAAACAACTGAATTATAACAGACAAATTGAATTTGTCAAGCATCGCAGATGTGCAAATTGTCTATTTTGACCAGTGTGAAACTGAAACTATGGAAATATCAATAAAGCAACACTAAATAAACACATAAATGCAACTTATCAAACATACTAATAGCAAATAAGTGCTTTCAGTAATAACTATTCACCACTAAAAATAAGATATACTTGTAGTTTATGCCAACATAGGAAGTTTGACAAGGTCTGGAAGGGAACTAAATACCAACATTATTTAATGTTGTAGCTGTGTTACTGAACTATTATTTTTTTGACCACATGATTTTGCCTTCCAAACAAAAAGTTAAATATATTTTGAGTGAAGTTTTAAAGTTCCCATTCCAAGCGGTTAGACTATGCCACGATCAATAATTTAATGTGAAATTTGATATAAATCTGTTTCAAATAAATAATAAACTAAGCTCAATTTTCAATAGTGGGAAAATTTGATTAACACACATTTATCATTTCACAGACAGGGAAACACACAGTTATCATGATTATATCAACTGAACAGTCTTAAAATGATTCAGAATACAGGAATGACATCAAGACGATGTGCTGCATCATTCTATGATCTGCTTCTCAGCTTTTGCCATTATTGAACAAAACAGCCAGTAATTGGCAAGAAGTCCTGTACGTAAGTTGAAACAGCTTTAGACAAATAAGTAATGGTTCCGTAGCTGCCACTTGGTGCACTGTCATAGAACAGAATGCAAATTCCTGTGCCTGGATCCCGTTCTAAAAAGGTGTCACTTGCACCTAATGATTTCTGTAACAAAAAATAGAAGTCTTACAGAAACATTGGAACAAAACCAGTGCCACACATACATACATGCAAGCACGCACATATGGTTCTGACTTCAAAGGCAACTGCAGCATAATCTCAAAATATAAACAGCATCACAAGATCAGTGAAGGGGTGTAGGTGAAGGTCATTTGATTTGGGCTCTGAGAATATATTGGGTCAGAGACAATATCTCACAAGTTGACGTGATGTACAGGGGTTTCCCTGCAGAAAGCGCAGTTTACATTGAGAGGCACTGTTTCTGGTGGTGAGCAACAAGTAATATAACCACTGTCCTTACAGTGCTTTATCCATCCCAATGTCCTTAAGTCTGTGTCCAGGAATCTGTTGAGTAGGAATTATATTTCTAATGGACAGATATGCCGTATTTTCACTTGCCATGGTGCATTAATAGGGTAATCCTATTATATCAGCACATCACCAGATGTGATTGATAAGCAAAAAATAAACCCTTCAGTGTCTCAACATTGCAAGGAGTGACTTGCATTAAATTATGGACAAGTTCCACTGTGTGATGTGAGTTTAAACAATGGAAGAGTGGTGCTCAGATCATTCACTGTAAGCTTTGATAAAATCGGAGAGGATGGGGGTGGAATTTAAAATTTGGCTATTTTGTTGCAAAAATATACTGCACTTGCTCATCTACACCATATAAAAGAGAAGTGTGCGTAAGAATCAATACCTGATCCTGTAAGAAAAGCTCATTGGCCATATGCACTATGCGGTCCACATAGATTATGCCACCGATGCTGTTAACTTCCACGTCTGCTAATATAGTCAGAACCACGATAGCTTCAACCATTAACTGTCTGTATTCGGGCTGAGGAATGTGGTTCAAAACAGATTCCACATGAAGAGCAAATTTAATCTCATGGGATGTCATCTTAAAGGAAAGAAAGAAATGGTTCATTCAATAATAAATAATAATAATCCTTGCATTTGATATTGTGTCTCAACATGCTGAGATCCCAACATGGGTTTTAAAATGGCAATCTTCTGATTCAGATGAAAATGGTACCAATGAGTCACAGTTTTAAAAGAGGAGAGAAAACGTAGATGTAAAAAGATAATTCAAGAGGTGTTCAGCTGAGATGGAGATTGGGTTTTAAGAATTTTTAGATTACAGGAAGTTGAAATTAAACCAAATACACAAAGGTATTCACAGGCTGGAAAATGAAAATAAAAATTGCTGGGGTCATAGTTACTCCAGAGAACTTATAATTATAGTAAATATTAGTTGTTACATTTCACTTTTTGAGGTCTTGCAAAAGACTGGGCAAGAGAAGCAGGAACTGTGTCCTAATGAGAAAAAGAGTTGGAGAACAATTTATAATCTGCTGAATTTAAAATTAATTCAAAAGTGTTATTTAACTGGGAAATGAAACAAAAGGTGGGGCTGAGGAGGCAAATGGTTAAAGGAAGACTAAATGAAAATAAACATTCAAAGGCTTTCACAAGCTGGTCAAAGAGTAAGGTCTCGAGATGGACCTTGAAGGAAATAAATGAAAGGACGAGCAATAGGGACTCTGGGATTCGGTTGCAGAGAGTGGGGGCACGAAAGTATGAAAGCCTGACTGTCGATGGTGGGACGGGATGAGCAAGGGAAGAGTAGTAGGCCAGTGTATGCCAAACAGACGGAGTGTTTAAGAAGCTCACAGGGATAAGGCGGGACAAGACCAGGAAGGGATTTAAAAGTGAGGATGAGAATCTTGAGCTCAATTAACTACGTAAATCACTAAGAATTTAAAACCCCTTAAATTGAGAGAAATGTTCAAAATGTAACATGCAGACATCAAAAATTATCATCCCAAACCTGATTACTTCCAGGCAAATTATATTTTGAAATTTTAAAAGTTTGTATCAAATTCTGGTACAGTAATAACATTGTAGGTATTTGAAGTCCTATATATACAGAAGTATAGATTAGTTACTGACTTGCGACTTACTAAAAAAAACTGTATCGTGGAATGTGGGGAACCTATACACAGGACTCTACAGTACTTGGTAACCAGTGCTAAATAGTTGTTGAATTCACTAATTGCTTGTGGCTTACCTCTTTTGTGGTTGAAGAAGGAAGAACGTAGCCATCAACAGAAAGTCCATGGCACTAAAAATAAATAAAGCAGGACAATCAGTTGATTTGGATTCAGAAAATGCACAAATGGTTTCAAAATGTTTATTTATATCAAAGCGCAAAGCAATATTCTGTTTCATTCGAACGGTATCATATTAACAGCTGGATGTGATTATCACAAATGGAATATTATGCTCCCAGAGGTTTCTCGGTAATAAATTCTGATGAATTCCAACACACATGCACATAAAAGATGTCATGTAAATTGTTTTACCCAAAAGCGGGTTTCTGCAGCTACTCGGGTGGCCGACTGTGCTTTTGTCCCAGTACTCCACAGATCCCAGCATTTCAGTGACAGGGTCAGGGAGTAAGTGAACTTTTAATTCAAATAATCTCTTTACTATTTGCGTAGCTGCTCTGTGCTGCCATTGAAATACATTCTTCCTATATTGGTCAAAAGTTACACACAACCTCCACCCACATTCACAAAATAATAGTTCAATTGTGGCTTTCAAATGTCATTTTACAAGGTCTTTTTTTAAGAATAGAGAAGAAGACCTTCATTGGCTATATATACATTTATGCTTTCAGTCGACTTGTTTCCAATATCATGCATTTTATATATCAAGTTTGGGCTATAATTTCTGGAGTGGTATTAAAGTTTGTACAGCTTATCAGAACACAAAATTCATCTACTTTCCGTCAACTGTTCCGTTCAAGACTACAGAATGCAACTTTATATAAGCCTGACAGTTTCCAATTCTGAAGAAGAATGTGCAATTGACATTAATACCGATTTCTGTTTGAATGAAATCATTTTCCTTTTCACTGTCGAATGCTCACCTTCTCTAAAATATTCCACACTTTCTGATAGAAGCCCACTGGCACTCTGTTAATGGCTCCATCTAGGCGTCGTCTGCGCAGCCACTGACCCTGGCGGTCATCCCAACCCAAAGGCCCACAAACAGAACCAACAGGAGACACAGTCCTTATGGGAGAGGAAGGGCTACTGCATCTCTGCAAAAATCAGAGGAAAAGATCAAACTATAAACCAAAAAACACTACATTATTAATAGTGAGATTTGTGTTTCCTTTGAAATGCAAAAGGAAGACCTTAGAGGTTTTATAGTGTCCTTAATTTGCATCAAAATGACCTAAAGTGCTTTAAATTTACTATGAAATGTAACAATTTTTGTCGGCAAACAAAGCAGGCATTCAACACTGGTAGGATCAAAGCAAAGCAGTCATGAAGTGATTAACTGGCCAGAACTCCTTTCTCTTATAGTCTCATGGGATTTTGAATGTCCACTGAAGAACAGGTAGATGGAACCTCAATTCAACATAAAGAGGACAGTTCAGTAACCTTTAATGTTCTGTTGAGAATCATTAATGTGCACACCAACCCAAATAGGAAATTGAGGGCAGGGAAATCAATCCAAGAAGCTGCAGACCTTTTGGGAGTCATTTCATTACCATTGGTTCTCAGTTGTACACCACACTCACATAAAATTGGTCACTCGCTTACTGACTGTTTGTGAGACAATGCTGCGATCGCCTGAACAGTCACAATACTGTAAATTATTATTATTATTATTATTGTTAGATTATTATGCTGCTTTTCTAGCAATTTGCAGCTGCCCAGTTCAAAAAGTAATAGGGACCTCTCCACCAACATTGTGAAGAGTAATTTATTCCAACATTTTGATTAAAAAGTCTTGTGCACATATCCACAAACAGCATAGAGTATTTTCAACTGGGCTCATTTAAAAAAAATTATCATGGGAAGTTGGTGCAGTGGGTATATTGGAAAGCTGAGATCTAATGAGTTGAAGAACCTTCATCTGAACCTCTCTGGTGGTCAGTTGGTTCAGAAACTCTTAAGCCCTGGTGATGGGTTTCTGCATGTTTCGGACCCAAAAACCAATTAGATCAGTCAATAACAGCAGAACCCAAAACAACAACGGGCCCTTTGTAAATGAAAAAAACAGTTCATGAATAATACAACAGTGCCTTGTGTCCAATTGGAAAATTACATTCTAAAGTCAGCTTACTAGCCAGTTAGAAGAAAAAAATCATGCCCATTCAGGCAATCAGGACTGTGGTTGATAATATATGATCCTGAGGCCTCCCAACAATGCCTCACAGAAAGTGCATCGGGCATCAGCTCTTTTAAGGCAGGACCCACTGCTAGTCCTTTTTCTCAAACTGTAGTTTTACGCTATTTTTCTCTAGTCCGTGGTTAACACCCTATGGGTCTAGAATTACTCTATTTATACTGCGTTTAGAGGACCCAGAATTTGCCAAATTCTTCAATAGTTCCTGTCCATAGGAAGCAGCTCTTAATTTTGAAACAGATTATATGCTCTTGTTGATGAATACAAAACCCACTGTTTGCAGTTAGTTCTACACAGCAAATCAATTGCAGAATGGTTTACACCTGGAAAATGCATTGCAAATGATGAATTATAAATCACCAGAGAATTATACTATATTAAGTGGAATAGGAATGAAGTTAAGACATCTCAAAAAATATTTTTTAAGCAATCGCTGTTCATTACATAGCACTTTTTTTAAAAAATGGGTATACAATCTAACCCAAATCAAGAACAAAATTGCAAATGTTGGTGCTGTATCGGGGTGTGTTTAGCAACACAATCTGTCAGCAGATGGATTTTAAATAGTTTTCCAGAGCAGTATTAGTGAGTGTCTTCTACACACCACATGATAAGCATGGTTAAATGGAGCGTAACATGCATTTTGCCCTTTATGTTCCAAGAAGGTAACATTTCAACACCTGTGGCAAATTACATTATACAGTCAAGCTCAATTCATTCACGTGCACATTGAACCTTTATGTTTGATTTCAATGTTTGGTTTTAAGAAAAAAAAATGATTCTAGATCAAATTTAAACTGACAGTTTCATATATTCCTCCATCCTTATTTTTAAGGCAGTAAATTTTGAACATTTAAACAGGGTGACGCCTGAAGACACTTGAATCCCAGCACCAGCTGTTTCAATTTAGCAATATAATCATTGCTTTCATGTAAATAGTTTAGAAAACATCTGTAACATTAGAAAACCTGACTATCTTTGGCTGCTAGGAACAACTCAACAGCAGATGTTTAGTTCTCAACCTTAAGATTTTCATTCTAGTAGCGGTAGTAATGTCTACAAACATTAGTCCCATATGTGCTAGAATATTAGTTTATACTGTAACATGTATTTACCATGGATCGGGGAGAAAGAAAGCCGCTGCTTAATGAATGGACACTGAAAAAGAACTAGCGGGGGATAAAAAGAAAAACAGACATAAATAATGCCACAAAAAACAATCAAAGTAACAAGATCATGGCATGTGGTAGGAGTAATAGCTTTTAAATGAAGATAATAGTACAGTCATATTCACTAAACCAGATGGTGCCGTTCTTTTATGAGCCAGTTGGCTAAATTGTAGGAAACAATGGGTAGTTATATATGTGGCTGCAATGGTATGGAACTAGGTAACTCGCGGGGTGCCTCAAGGATCTGTACTCAGGCTAATGCTATTTACACTTAAATTATTTGCAAATCTTGACAAAAACAAAGCTAAGCTTGCTATTGATCCCATCCTGGAAGTACAGTGCAGCCCCATTTTGACACACATCTTTATGACCCAATTCAGTGTTATCGTTGTTGCAATGTGGACCACATTTTCTGCAAATGGACGCCGCCGGTTGGCTTTTGTGGTAAAATGAACAATTTCCAGCTCGTTAGGTCACTATCAACATGAAAGTTAATGAGGAAAAGTGGAGAAAGAGGAGTATGGAGAAAGAGAATAAACAGTGGGCATACAAGCTAAATATTATTCTGTAGAATACAACGCAGACCGATTTAGAGGCACTTGTGGACAGATTGATGCATGAATCTCATAATCGCAACATGGTAGCAGATAAGAGGGTAAATGAGATTAAGAGATGAATAGCTAAACAGAATGTAAACCACAGATGTGACGATTAGCTTACAAAGAAGCACAGGTTCGGTCCTATCTAGATAACTGGATGTCTACTTTGGTTTCTATATTTCTGTAAGGGCATCTTTGTATTGAAAATGGTAAAGTGAAGAGCGACTAAATAGCTTAAATTCAGTACTTGAGGTACAAAGAGAATAAGGAAGTTAAGAATATTCATATTCTGTGATGTGCAGTGACAAGAGCCTTACTATAGTGTGGAAGGCTGTCAATATATGAAGTCAGGTGTGTTGAAATAGTGATGCCTGCTCCCAAGAAGACTCAGTTGGCAAAGCACAACTGCAACACCCAACTGGTGCCCTGCCGGCAATCAGTTAACACTGTACAGAATGGGAACTTGCAATTTGTATGGCCTAGCGCTGTATTGGGTGGTGCTTTTACCCACTAGATCATCATCAAGCAGCAGGAGAGTAAACCTTTTGGAAAGAAAAGGTGGGAGATAAAGGGAAGAAAATGATTATTGAACACAATGCACGTAACAGCAGCCTCGTAAAAATATGGAGAAAAATGAGATAGAGAAAGGAAAATAGGGGATAATATAAGGGATAGACATGAAAGTTGCAAATTTCTTATAAGGATGTTGATAATAGAGAGAAGACAAAAATTGCAACTTCATATAGATTTGAAAACATCAAATTAATACCTAAAATTAACATTAATTTCCAAGAAATTTCCACTGTAAATTCCAGGATTATAGGATTTATCAATCTTCAATTAGTTGTAAATGCAATACAAAGCCCATAGCCAACCAACATACACCAAAGCTTTGCCTTGATGCATCATATTTCATATTAATTAACCTGCTAACTGAATCTCCCCACAATCCAAATTCCATTTGATGTTGCGTATCTAAAACAATTATGCCAATGCCAGTATTTCAGAGGAAAAAAAAGGGAGGAGTTGAGTTAGAAAGTTGGGAATGCAGATACAGAACAGAGTTCTATTCAAGTTAATAAAGTTCTCTGGGTTTCGATCATCTAAATCCTTCTTTTAGTGTTTAGTTGAGGATTGTTAAATGTTTGGAGCTTTTAATCAAACATGCAAAAGCATAACTTTAGAAGAGAATAAAAAGGATAACTTTAGGAGGGGATTAACTGCATGCATCACCTGATCATCAATGAAGCTTCCTGCCACACTTTTATCCATCTAAAAAAAGATTTTTTTAATATTACAAATACTGTATTTGAACAACATCTCATTGTTAAGGTTCTTCCTGCTACCAAATGGTTTTAGAAAGAGAGTGTCAAATTTATCTGCAGAGAAATTTCTCTCTCTTCAGGGATGAATTGAAACTGACCAATAAATCCATTTGATATATTGCCAGTGAGATTCCTCAGTGGAGTGTCTCATTACCAATAGAGGGGGTCCTCTCACATGGTGGGAAACTCTATCCAATCCCACCCTAGAGACTTACATTTTCTATCACTCTCTCCCAGTGCAGAACAGTGCAGGACTAGGCAGTAAAGTGAACATAAAATGGCTCCCACTCTCTGACTGTGAACAGATTGCAAACACAAATATGTTACTTTTAGGGAGAGAACTGAAGCCACAGGGGCGTGGGGGCTGGGTGCTGGGGGAGGGAGAAGCTAATGATATGTGTGTGTCTGTGCGTGTGTGAGGTAATTGAAAGCATGATCCAAAAGATAGATCTTAAGGTGGCTTTTGAAGACAGGATGGAAGGGGCAAGGCAAATGAGTTCCAGTGAACGGGGGTATAATAGCTGAAAGCTCACCTACCAATGCTGGAACAGATCAGGCAGGGAGGGACATGAAGCAGGCTGGTGTTTTCTGAGTGGATGGAGTGGCAATGTGGCCAAAAGAAGTCACAGAGGTTGGGTGGTGTGAAGCAATGGAGGGATTTAAAAACAAAAATCTTGCCACTGGAGGATTGGGAGCCAGAAGAGCTGAGTGAGATGATGGTTTCTAGATCCTGATACGGGAGAGGTCATGGCCTACAGAGTTGTGAATGGTTTGCAGCTTGTGTAGGGCGGAGCTGGGGAATCCAGTGAGGACAATCAAATAGTCAAGCCTGAAGGGAGAGGTAGTGGTGGAGGTGGGCAATGTTGTGGAAGTGAAAGAAAGCCAAGCGAGTGAGAGCCCAGATTTCAGGATAGTTAGGAGTCAAACAGGATAGTTGCAAAAGTGAAACTAAAAAAAGACCATGAAAGAAAATCTTCTAACCTCTCCCTTAATTCTTTTAGTGATAATCCAACATAATACTGCCTTTGCAAAATGTATCAACCAATGATATATCTCTCATTGTCATATGCGATCTCCCCATGATGTCTGTTTCACTCTCCAGCCTTGTTTGGCAGTTTAGAGGCTTTCAGGTATCACTGTTTCCCAGTAACCCCAGCAGGGGCTAACGTGAATGTAATTTATGAGTGACATACCTGCTTCATCTCACTCTTCAGTCTACTGATACCAGTTCTCTCAGTTTTTGTTGCTCCTGCATGATCAACTTCATGAATAGCAACAACTGGATTCCCACTGGAGTCATCAATGGAACGAACTAAAAAAATACACTGCTTTGATTGAAGTTGTAATCACGACAATGATTGAAGTTGGAATTATTTCACAACATCAGAAAAATTAGCAAAATGCATAAAAATAAGTATTTTATTTGCAATTGAGTTATAATGATTGAATTCACATTTTTTTCAAAATACCCTCAGCTAATATGAGAAAGCAAGAGTAATACTGACCACTTTTTTCTACACCGAACTCCTTTCCACTTAGAATATGATGCAGGAGATTCTTCATATAAAAAGGGCTGAGATTCATCAAATTCTCTGACGCTTCTTCCCCTGTTTAAAGAACAAATGCATCACTGAGAGAAAAACAGAAGGTTCGAGTGTGTTAAATGACTGTGAGACAGGATGAGAGTAAATATGGTCTTTACAATGGAAATGAATGCAAAGATCTACTCTCCACTCTGTATCATTATAAATTTATACCTGAGCAATTCAGACTACGAGCTAATTCCGTGGCCATCACCTGAATGATGAGTCCAATTCTTAACCTAAGCATTTCTGCAAAGAGGCTCGGTTGTGTCCTCACATACATGGCAAGATAAACCATGATTTCCTAAGAGAAAATAGACAAGCCACAGAAAAAACAGAATGTAAAACAATTGTTAGAAACTTGGTATTAACTCTGATTTAAAACATTCAGGTGTATTAAGTGACTGGGCTTTACCTGGGTAAGAACTGCCATGCTTATGTCTTGCCCACTTGCTTCGTAAATAAGCTGTGTTAGTTCATCAGGTGGCAAAGGACTAGAAAAAGAAAGGTGTAGACGTATTGTCACTTTTAAAAATAACTTTTCTATATTGTACCTCCCGAAATCCTAAACTGTTTGACAACAGTCAAAAAGGTGGGAGCCATAACCTGGTAAATAGTAACGGGAAGCCTACTCTGCTCTGATGTCATCTACTTCTGGACAAGTCAGACTGGAGTTCCCGCAGGTTGGTGTTAATCAGATTACTTTCAGGATATCATTATTTTCAAATCCAGGCGGAGATTACTACATTTAGAAATTTAATAAGATGTTTGCCAATATTATCAGTCACCATGTAATATACCCAGTCTTGAACAAAAAAGGACAGTTTTTCAATAAATAAATAATCCTTGCATTTGCTATAGCGCCTGTAAACAGTAAAACACTTTAAAGCGATTCATGAGGTACTGCCGTTGTGTGGGGACTGTACTATGTAGGTAACAAAACAAATTTGAGGACAGCAATATTCTACAAGGAAATTAATGACCAATTAATTTGGAGGGATTTGTCATAGAAGTAATGAGAAAAATATGCTCCTTTTAAATAGTAGCACAAGATCTTTAACATCCATCTGAACACGCAGGTGGGACCTTGGTTTAATGCATCATCAAAATCTACATCCTTCTGACTCAGAGATGGGTGCTACCAACTGAGCCAAGCTTAAGTCGATACAACAACAATGACATTTATAGAGCGCTTTTCATATCGGGAGGACGTCCCAAAGCATTGAACAGTCAGATGTCGGGGCCCGAGCATGGGGGAGGGGTGGTGTAGGGGTGAGGGAAGGCAGAGAGGTGGGAGGGAGACCAAAGGCACGGCCGAAGAGAAGGGTCTTGAAACTGGCCTTGAAGGAGGCAAGGGAGGAAGCGAGGTGAAGGGACCGTGGGATGGAGTTCCAGACTGTGGGGGCAAAGAGGCTGAAAGCCCGGCCACCGATGCTTAAATATTAGCTATTCAGTAGGTAAGATAAGTATAAAATAGCATACTGGAAAAAGATATTTCATTATTCAGGTCAATATAAAAGTTCTGTTATCTTAGCGCCAAGAAAAGTAATTATAATTAATATCAATTTGGAAAATGCAGAATCGTATTGTCTCGTACTTACGTTACGATGGTCCTCTCACGTGGTTCTGGGGGAAGACCCACTGTTAGTTGCTTTTGGTGTGATAACAGGTCTGTGCAGGCCTACACATGAAACACATACCACTAATGTTCAGAAAAACAACTTGGTCTTAAATGGGAAATATAAATCAATGCATGAATAAAAGTCTCATATGATGAAAATCAAAGCAGTTTAAAACAATTGTGTATGCTTCCTCTACGTTTGGTGATGGACTACTGGTATCCAAAGTGAAACGATTAAAAATATGGTTAACTGAGATGTTATTTCAACTCAGACCTAAGTAATACTTAGACATTGCAGACGTTATATTGATATTTTTCCAAGAACTGTCAAGGGATCAATTTTCATCTTATTAAAAAGCCTGTCAAGTTCTTTAATATTAAAAACACAAACATCCTTATCCTAGTTCTGAAGATGTGTTTAGCTGATCATGTGCAGAATTATAATCGACTGGAAAAATCACCTTCTACCCCTCCCACCCCCATAACCCATTGAGGGAGGACGAATATTTTTTTGAAGATTTGGATATTGACTTGTGTCAGACATGCCATTGCAGTCTGAAATTCCGAACAGGATTCTGTTTAAGCGATTTTGGTGATATCAGCCTCAAATTGGATTTCCCCATTGTAATCGAGCATCGTCCAAGTGCTACACTGATTCGACTGGAGTTTCAGACCTCGGATTGATTCAATTCCAGTCTGTTTTGTGCCAGTGATTTGAAGCCTGTGAGAATTGACTTTGTAGATTCTGGGATTGAGGCTGGTTACTGTTACATGACTTCCATGCAGTTTGTTCTACCTCTTTGGAATGGCTATTATTCCAGTCCCTAGACGTTTAAGTATATCATTCTAGATTGATGTTCTTGTACTATTCCCTCCTCCCACTCCCCAGCAAAAATAACGGCATTGGTTGTTTTACATACCTCAGCAAGGACTTCAACTTTCTTTCTCAGCATGCCTGATATATAGCGAATCAATCCCCAGTCACAGTTCTGGCCAGCCTTATTGTATAGTTCGTTCAAGAGGCTACAGACCTGCGCACCTTGCAGTCCATCCAGATTGGTATCCCAGTCAGGGCCTCTATGTTACAAGAGTGAAGAAGAATCAAATAAACACTTAAGGGAAACTTCAACCACTTCAGCTGGAGTATTTCCTTCATATGGTGAACAACAACATCAAATTGAATTTATATGGTGCCTTTCATGATGGGAGAACATCCCAAGGCACTGAGAAGTCAAGGGTTTGCACCCCTGAAGCCTTAAGACCATAGTCTTAAAATTTTAAATTGTGCAGATCTTTTTAAGAACTGTGAAAAAGCAGCTTCCAAATGAAGACTTAATTCAAAAATTTGCAAACTTCTGCATGAGAGTGGTCTTAAGGCTGAACCAAAAGATTTTTGTGCCTCCAACTGATATCCAGTAACGACTAAAAAATAACTGTGTGTGGACATTGGATGCGAACAGGATCGTGCTCAATTGTAAATAACTGCTCCAGTTAAGCAACATACCTCAGCATTGACAGAACACAAAATCAGCCACTTCAAAGAACTAACAAATCTTCATGAATAATTATTATCATTACCTTCACATAATAGTAACAGGTTACTGCACTCTAAAGTAAGTGTACTATATTGTTACCGAAGACTGAGAACAGATGTTGGCATTAGACCAGGTATAATATGGTCTGGAACAATCTGCCTGAGGTTACAAAATACTGTAAAGTACAGTAATTTTCTTTTAAAAGACACTGGCTAGATTTACTTTCATCGCAACAGCAAAAATGCTGTAGTTTTTGAAAGAGCTTCACAACCTGGTATGAAATTTGGGGAGGGAACAATTTGGCTACAGAAATACCTTGCTACTCTTGCCCCACTGAAAATAAAGTTGTTCATGAGTGATAATTCTTAATAGAATTATCCATTAGATTTGGCCCAAGCAAACTCTTCATTGAAGCAGAGTTTCTGCACATCATCATGTTGTACTTGCAATTATTGAAACGATTCCTCATTTGTGCTACTTGTTTTCTTTATTAAGTAATCCTTTTAAGAGCTACCACAAATTAAAGCTCACGCAAATAAAAATCATTTGTAGCTTGTGCTATGATCTAAACTGAGTCATCTCCAGTGATTGATTAATACTTACTTGATTACATACAAGATGTACAATATATCTGCTTGGTCTTGTAGAGTGTGACATTCCTTTAGACGTTCAACTAATGAAGCACAGTCAATATTTCCCTGGTCATCCGTGGGTAAGCTGAGATCCACTCCATTATCCTACTTGTTGAAAAAGAAATCAGTATTTTCCTGTAGAAGTTTTTAGTACTTGAAAGAGGATGCACTTCAACCTCACAAGGCACATAGTCCTCCTTCGTGAACTGCAACTACAAATCAATTTAAATACAAATCTTAAAAAGCCTGTAAAAATAATAAACAGAGATGGTGGTGAGTCCAGAGAAACAAAAACATACCTTTCATCTTCAAGATCTTTTGTACTAGTGCCTTGTAACACTGACCTTGACTTGAAGTGGTCCTTCCAATAAGTTCAGAGATTTTCGATGAGTAAGCAGAACTTTTGTAGGTAGAGACATGGCAAAACCTTCATGAAAAAATAAATGTCAGAATGAAAGTAATTGATAAGTGATACCTAACCATTAGTGCTGTGATATTAATGCCATGTTGATATATTACCCACTATGTTGCACATTTCAAGTGTCTCGTATGGATTTTAATGCTATCCACTACTCAGATAGTGTAATACTAAGGAGATTTTCTCATTCATTGTAAATTAATTTTTTCCATAACACTATTGAGGACCACATATGCATATTATAATTCTTATAGAAAAGAATGACAGTTGTTGCATTAGCAATTAACTAATTGACAGTGAAACTGAAATGTTTCTATATATAGTACTTCATTCCATTTGACTTTAATTCTAATTGTTTCATTTGTCATTTCCAAATGTCTCCCATTGGCAAAATCATTTTCAAAAATAAACTATTATAAATTTAGAAATAATTTACGCTTAAAAGCTTCATGAATGAGTTTGCTCATGAGGGCCTAATCTCTCTGTGGAATCTACATACAAGTTAGCTACTTTATGACTCCTGGCTTGCTGCAATTTTCATATCAAAAGATTAAGATGGTTGGAGCTCTGACTAAAATTACACCATTTTGAATCAAATTACCTAATTTGCCAGTTTCCAACTGTTCCCATTACCAAAACGATCTTAATAAAGTATTGCAAAGTTACAAAAGACAAACGTTTGCTTACTTGGTAAATCCAGGCCTTTTTCTTTGGCCATCATTGATATTACATCCCTTGTTGTGTGCTCAGTCTCAAATATGGAATGCGTTCCTGAATTCTGGGATGTCGGAGGCAGTCGCTTTGATACTGGAGTCGTACTTCGAAGCAGGTGATTTATATAGTGTACGAGTTCATCTTGATCATCAACTGTAAGCCAATAACAAGCTGCTTTCAGACAGCATCTCAAACAAGTATTACAAGGGGGCACAACTACATGATAGCCAGTAGCAGATCCAAACGGGAGTTTAGGAAGAACATGTTTTATGCAGAGAATGGTGAGAATGTGGAACTCACCACCGGATGCTTGGCTGAGGCAGAAAGCATCACTTTCTGCTTCAGCCACAGCTTCAATGTACTTAAAAGGAAACACAATACATCCTTAAGGGAGAAGAGAATAGCAGGGTTTTGGGAAAAGGAGAGATTGGGGTTCATGTTGAGTTGAGCTGAATGCCTATTTTTGTGCTGTACAGTTTACGGAAAATGGTACCATGTTTTATATATTATATTTTTAGAAATGGTTCAAGCTTTTTTTGTCATGGGAGTTAAAAAGTTCTGAAATGGTCAGTTTTTCTATAAATTTTGTCCACTTTGATGCTGATATCTCAAAACTACCAGAGGTAACTGGGGAAATTCCTTACACTATCACTTTGGCATTTCATTACATGAAGTACAAGCTTAACAAGAACAACCCATCCACAAACTGAATTAAGTAATGTTGAAAACTCTTACCATCATTACAATCGCATGAATCAGGCATAGAAGGAGCCTCCTCTACCTCATTACAGGGACTAAAATCGCTTTCATTTAAAGAGTCATCAAACAGTACACCATCAGATCCACGGTCCATGAAACTCAGGTGTGTGTAGCAAGAGGTGATCAGGAAGTCTGATATTTTGCCTGTTTTCACCCTAAAAGATAAATATTGTATCATGATCACAATTAATTACAAGCACCAATCCTGACACTTAAAGAAAGAACTTGCATTTTTATAATGTCTTATTACATCGAAATGTCACAAAGCGTTTTACAATAACTGCTGTCAAGTGTAGACTGTTTTTCATGCGGCAATCAATTGGCATACAGCAAGGTCACACAAACTGCCGTAAAGTGAATAACAAATTCAAATGCAGGATTATTTGCCACGACACCGGGAGGAAACTTCCTTCTCTACTTGAACAATGTCATGAGATTTTTAACGTACACCTGAACAAAAGGGAATCGGGATCTTGGTTTAACTTATTACCCAAAGCATGGCACTTCTGACAATACAGACAACCTTGGATCCTGCACTGAAGTAGCTTTATCTACCCCCAAATCATCTATCTAATCAGGAAGGAATCTAAAGTGTCCACATTAAAAATACTGGATTGAAATTGCATGTGCTATATAGATGCACGTCTTTATCAATCTGCGTACCTGGCTCCACCAAAATAACCATCCTGGAGTTTTCGAAGTGTAGACAGAATAGATGAATCGATGTCTGATCCGTCTTCGCCTGCAAAAGACAAGTGATCAAGGTACTAACAGATTTTCTATGGCTGATGTTGAAATCAATGCACAATCTCCTGTCTCCGTCAGGAGCCCAGAATGAGCAGAGAGAGCTCTTACACAGCATGCTTGTAGTGATCGGAAATGTGACTGTGGGACGTCCCGTCATCTTCCAGTGTGAGAAGAGGTAAGAAACATCAGTTCGGAGCATTTCCACAATCATGTGATTGTCCAGTGCCAAATAAAACTGATGCTGATCAAGAAACTATTCAAAAAAAAACAGAAGACAATAAGACCCTTAACCAGAACTCCAGAAATTCCTCGCACATGTTTACATTTTCAATATGGTAACAGCCAAGCCAAGTTTACCACACTGACCCACGGAAACGGCTTCTAACACTATAAGAGTTCCCACGGAATTTCTAACAGGGGCCAATAGAAAGAAATATCATCAATTAAATCCTGTACTCTCTGCTTGAGGCATCTATTTGAGTGCCAAACAGTCCTGAAAAATACACATTATTTTTTGTTTTCTATGTGTTTTTAAAGTAACCATAACAACAATAATACAATAAAAATGTACACGGGAAGAGTTACCTCTAATAATGGAAGTGGGTCATCTTAGCTTCAGGGAGGGAGGATGTTCCAATGGGCTTAATAGTCCTGGCTCGGCTTCCAAATTGGAGGTGGGGGGGATGGGGAGGAAAAGGTGACCGAAGGCACGATCGAAAAGGTAAGTTTTGAGATGGATCTTTAAAAAGGTGAAGGAAGGAGGGAGTCGGAGAGATTTTGGGATGGAGTTCCAGAGAGTGGGAGTAGATAAGTCAATAAGTTCTGAAATATGCGCTCCTTTATTAGCTGGGCTTAATATTAGAATAGATCTTTTGCTGCATGTGTTTAAAATCAGTTCCAAAAGTTGGGACACAAGCTTAAACTGCTTACCTGTGGAGTGAACGTAAAGATTTGATTTCTTATCATGTACAACTTGGATGTGCCGAGAACACCAATGTGCCTATACGGCCGCCCACTAAGTTTCAGCCTACTGTTATATCCTGAGAAAAGGCAAAGGAACAATTTATTTTTAAAAAAGCCCAATATATTACCTTATCACCCAACTTGCCTTTGATACTGTATGGCAACTTTATCCAGTAGATACCCACCACACCACCACCATTACTACCAACACCAACTTGTATTTACGCAGCACCTTCACACGGGATGGTTTCAGCAGCAATTTGTGTGCGATAAAAGTAGAGAGCGGGGAGAGAAAAAGGCAGCAGGGGGAGTTACAAGGGGACTGGGAGCCATTTTCTTTTTGACTGATCTATTATTTTAAAGAACATGTTTACTTACACATGGCAAACACTCACCTAGTTTTGCATATATGTGGCTTAGAATCTTTGCTGGTTGCACCCTGATAGGTAGAACATCACAAATAGTTTCTACTTCAAAGTTGTGGTGTGCTAACATTTTCTTTATCTTTTCCGTTTCTGCCAATATTGACACTGCAATGAAAACACAGGAAGCGTTACCTCTGATAATGGAAATGGGTCATCTTAATTTCTGGGTGTTAAACCCTTCCTTAAAAACAATAGGGATGATTCCTTGAATATTGATCAGTGTGCATTTATAATAATACTTCACTTTGAAAGTTCACATTTCCAAGGCCAGCAAATTGAATAATTTAGTACAAAATAACATGAATTTTCTGACATCAGAGAACCACCCCATTGAAATAAGTTGTTTATATCACAAGTGAAAGACTAATCATTAGGAAGTACCTGTGAATACCCTCCCCACAATACAGACTTTTAATTTAAAGGAACCAACACCGGTTTCCAGTTTGTCTGATGTAGAGTTTAAAAGCAAACTGATAAAATCTTCAGCAACATCAGCAACAAAAGATATTACAGTATAAATTACAATATTTGCAATCTGCATTAGTTCCATTAATTCCAATTTCTGACTTCCAGACGGCATTTTGTTTGCAAATCTTTTTCGGGCTTTGCAGACTTTGCATTTACAATTCATAGACTGTAAACCAGAAGCTACAAATGTTGGAATTAATTCAGTTTGTGAATACTGCTGACAAGATGTCAGTGAAATTTCTTGAAAAAAAGTGTCAGAAGAATGGATTTTAGTTTGGGAAAGCTAATTTTAATGCATTTATAGTTTAAATGTAAGGATTATTATTATTTACCGTGAGCTATAGCAGATTAGAGTAGGTCTACATAACAAACCTTGTACAACGACATCAGGTCTTCTGATTGTCGAAAATCTTCGGCTTATAGGGTCAATTTCCCCAGGAGCAAGAAATCCCTGGAAGAGAAACAGTCATCACTGCAGAAAGCATACTACAATTCTTAAAAGACATGCCACATTAACCTTACAGCAATGCTGACTGCATAGAGTTCGACCAGGGAGGTGCTTTGCTCTGCAACTTCAAAAGCAGCACTGCAGGAAACAGTAATCTCTGTGTCAGGCCAGTCTATCCACTATGTCTAGCGTTTGCTTCATGAATCCTCCTTACTCCCCAACCCTCTATTTTTTCACATATGCGCAGTACCTTTGCACACTTCATTTCCTGATCTAACCAACAATAGGAGAACCAGTAACAAAGGATTGCAGCAACATTTTGAGGCTATTGATAGCTACTGAAATTGTCATTTTTCTGGTGGTCGTCAACAGTAGGAAAAATATTCTATCCTAGTTTCCACACATGCTCAAATCATATAATGCATTCATGTCATAAACAAGATAACATATGTTCCATGCAACAGCTTGAATTTATATTGTGCCCTTCCTGCTGGATAGCATTTCAGTGCATCCACGGATCAGAAAATTGACCCCCCCTCCAGGTTTGTATATGTAAAAGCTGTGATTGCGCTAAGGCCACCTTCAAAGTATCAACACCTGCTCAAGTGCAGTCAGGGTTGTAATGTGAAAGCGGCTCTGATCAGTTCTTACTTCAGCCAGCAGAGACCCCAGGATGTATAAAGACTGTCCCCACATGTGAGGTAATTTTCCTTTCGGAATTCTGTCCACAGAATGAGGGTTCTTATACTCTTCATCCACCTGGTAATAAACAGTGTACATTTATTAATCAATGGCCCAAATTCACCAGTTAACTGTGATCCACCAATGATGCCTGCATTTTAAAACAACGTTGAAAGGTTCCCATAGAAACTGATTTCCTACAGTACTTCATAAATGGATCATAAAGGATAAGCTCCATTGGAAAGATCACTGTTTACATAGCAATATCCAACGCAGCAGCAAAACATGAATGTTCACGACAAACACACCATTTTATTTTACTGCAAATAAAATAAAGGCTTATATCAAGCTCGTGTATTTATTTTTTAAGTAAAATGACAGATTTTCCAAATTGATCCATTTGATCAAGAGACAAAATGTTCAGAACCAAGTTAAACTGGCAGACCTAGTGATTTATTTTGTGACAATTTTGTCAATCGGATCAATTGATATGGCAAATTTGGTTAAAATTCATCAAACAGCTGGATATCGGTCTGTTGACAGAAACATCAATACTATTGGGTGAGATTATTAAAGGACAACACATTGAATTATCAATGATTAGAGTCAGACCCCATTATAATCAGTGGTCTGGATCCATAAAATCACTCTTTTCACTCGCCCCCTATGGATCCAACAGGGATCAACTGTACATAGAAATGTTACTACAGTATTTAGAAATCAAAATGTTTTAAAGGATTTAAATTCTGTAACTAGGATTATTTACAGTTCTCTTACTTTAGATTTTGTGATTTAGGTACCAAAGTCTGTCCACATAATTTATCTTTTAGGATTCTACATTATCTCATTGAATAAAGGCAATGACATCCGACCATAAATTGATCTATGTGTTTTCAGATCATTAATCAACTGAATGCATTGAATGACCTTTTCAATCGAAACAGCATAAAGCTCTGGAACCAGTCGAACTCCATTCTTTCCTCTAATAAGAACTCCTTCCAAGGCCTCCCGGTACTCTTCAACCTGGAACAACACATAATACACATAACATGGGTGAGTAAGTTTTGAAAAATGGTCACACATGGTGACTTTCCTCTTAGATTCCTTGATAAAGGCGTCTAAGAGGGGCTCTAGCACTTTAACCGCTGCATGGTCACTGGCAAAATAGGCCCACAATTAAACAGGTTTTTTTCTAAGCCAAAATCTAGTCTCACATAAAATAACAGATTTTCCAAATGGATCCTCTTGACCAATTGACAAACATGTTCAGAACCGAGTTAAACAGAAGGACTTAGTGATTTGTTTCCCGACTATTTTGATTTCTCTGCGGTCTACTGAAATCAATAAAGACTTGCTGTGCATCTTCTAAAAGTCTAAGTAGTCAAGGCACCCTGTGCAATGGAGGGAGAGTGATTAGTATAATTACCGACATTTCCGGATTTCAGTTTGAAATAAAAGATATAGTTAATGCAGGAAAGGTCTCTGCAGTTGTCAATAGTGGTTTAAGAAGGTCCATCTCTGGTCTGCAGCACCACTTGCTGCCCGAAAGGAGAACTGCTCACAGATACATTGTACTAAGAGATACTACCAGTACTTCAAGAGATTTTTGTTTGAAGAATCACTTTAAGCTGGACAGATAATCTAAACCAGCATATACAGTACTATGTTTATTTTGATCAGCACCTTGTTTGGATTCTCTCATAAAAGTGATTTTTGAAACAGTGACTGCTCTGCCCCTCCAAGTCTTACTGATGAGTCAGGCTGGCTGTGGTGTCATCGGCAGTGCGCTAAGAGTACTGTGGACCCACCTGGCTCAGGAACCAGATTCCCGAGACTACCACAGAGGTTTGACTTGATTCTTACATTCCATTGCCAAACATGTCACCTTGGAGCCAGTTCAGCTCCAAGGAGAACCTACTTAGCCTTTTTTCACACGAGGAAAGTCACTAGTAGGGCATTTGACATTGGACAAACATGGACAATGCTGCCACCAGTTGGAGGTGAAGTGCATGAGCAGTCGTTGTTTATATCTATAGATACCAGTCAATGTGGATTCCAAGCCCTGGATGAATGAATACATGCTCATGATCTCAAACTCTAGTTAGTGCCTTCCAGCAGCTGTCACCGTAAGCCTCAAAGATTCCTCATTAGCCATCTGACATCTGCCTTCAGCATGGTGGAAGGACCTTTACAGCACAGCTTCTAACATGAGCCACAAGCTGCTTAACCCAGGTCCTCTTGTGAGGGCACTTGGCAAATAGTTGTACGGCTGTGAAAATGATTCCTGCTCCAAGGTGCTGAGCGACAGGTCAGTGTAGGCCAGAGCACTCTTCCCAGCAGTCACTTCACATGTTTGCCACTGCTTGATTCTGAACTTAGTAAATGGGTCAGAGGAAGCCTCTTCACTGCATCCCCAGGAGCTCAGAATGCTATAAACTTGACCTGCAGTAGGACCTTGCTTTCCTTGCATAGAGATGAGCATGACCAGAGTGTCCTTCATCCCTTCTCAGCACAGTCCCTCAGGATAGTGTCCATGCAGAAGCTGATGTCCAACACAACCCCCCAGATACCAATAAGGATCAATAATTGGGACCGATCCCCCTTGTATCTTCCATCGTGTATTTTGTATCCCCTTGATATACCCTCGAACTGTGCAGAACCATGATTTGACATTTGACGGCACCAACCAACAAGTCCCACTGAGTGGCCCAATGTTCAAGATGGTGCAGGAAGTGTATCAGATCCACAGTGGAGTCTCCCAGCAGCACAGAGAAGGTTAAAAAACAATGGACAACATAATTCAAATTGGATGGTAAAATACAATAAAACCCAGAATAGTATCCTACCTGAGCATGGTCTCCTTTAAACAACCCATCAATGATGAGGTATGTCCAAAATACCGGCCATTCACATTCAATGTTCTCAAACAATTTCAGTTCAGCTGAATCATAATGTAGTCTATTGGGATCCTAAAAGCAGAAAGCACCGACTTTACTCAATTACTCACATTTATTCAATGTCAGAATTTCCAAATTGAGAACAAAGTACTGAGTATGCCCAGAGGCTTGCATCAAAAAAAAGTTACAATTAATACAGAAAAAAAAGACATTGGTTTTGAAGAAGCTCTCAGCATCGAAACACATTTCAAAATTGTGGGATAAAAGTTCTATTCACCGCATTTGGCGATGTCTGCTTTCAATGAGATTTCCCAGTATAGTCGCAAATTGCCAAAATTGCTGCACATAGTGTTGGATGGATTTTTTTTACTCATAAAACTACTATATTTTTTCTATTTCTACTGACGTCTTGATTACTTGCTTACATTTCTAAATACTGGTGACCTCATTAAAGAACAGGTTTGGGCCATGTACTGAGGATAACAGCATGAGAGAAACACAACTAAACTTTGAAGTTAATTATTATTGTAGCTTTTTACGAGATGTTGATGGTGAATCATGCTCTATTACCTTATTTGATAATTCATTATGTAGCTCTTTGAGAAATTTCTACATATTGTTCCAATTTGTAGAAGATAAAAGCTCACTGAAGTCTATCGCTTGTTCATTACTTGCCTATACTAGCAACCTTTTAGTTTTCCATTTATTAAGAGGTGTTGTGACTGTGTATTTGTAGGTGAATGAACCAGCTAATTGTACACATAATGTCCTACAAACAGCCATGAAATGGATGACCAATTTTATCTGGAGGATTGTCGGCAAGGTCTGTTGGCAAGAAACATTCTTTTTTCAAAGAGTGGTGTGAGATCTTTCAATGTCCACTTGTACAGGCCAAAAGGACCTCAGGTTAATGAATCACCTGAGGTGAAAGACAGCACCTCTGACAATACAGCAATCCCCAGCATTGCATGAGGGTGTCAGCCTAGGCCAAGAGTTCAAAGTCCTGATGTGGGTCTTTAACCCTTAACTGTATGACTCAAGATCAAGACTACTGCCAATTAAGCCAGGCTAATGCGGCTGAGCCAGGCGGCTGATGCCTTCTATTTCTGCCTGATATTACATTTATGATATTATTACGTGTTGTGTCGATTAGATTGTATGTAGATGTGAAACAAAGTCAATACCTCTTTTGGAGTTTTGTAGCCATCTCTCAAAAATCTACAGCAGCCGTACCGTCCCTATACAGAAGAAACACTTTACATTAATACCCATAAGCAAAACTACATCACAGAATTGCAAGTAAAATATAAAATGAAGGGATAATTCAATGCACTGGGATAATTCAATGTTAAATTCAGGCATGGAGGAAACTCCCTTCTCTGTTGAATATTGCTGTGAGATCTCTAAAGTCCACCTGAACAGGCGTATGGGAGTTGATTTAATGTCTCATTTAAAAGACGGCACCTCCAACAATGTAACTTTCCGCCAGCATTGAAGAATTAGCCAATGACTGGACTATGAGCTCAAATTCCCAATCTTTGCCACTGGTCCATTTTCTAACTCTTGGCCAGTTTACTAGAGAGAACAGATCAAAATAGTAATATATTCCTTCTTAGGAGGGAGGTAAAGCTGATAAAAATCCTTGAGTTCCTAGTGAAATCAATGCTCCGACATGGAATCTAATAGTGGTATCGAAGGCCATGGAGCAGTCTACATCCACTCAGATAAAGGCCGAGGGAATGTCATGAGACTACAATTGATTACAATCCAAAGATTTTGGGGGAAGTTGTCCCATTGTTCGTCTGAAAAGTATGAAGAAAGAAATTGTGTTAAACCCAGATGTTTCAGCAGCATGGAATAAGAGTCAGGAATTACTGCTGCCTCTGGTGTGTTAAAAGTTAAGGCACCATTAATTTCAGGATATCTGGCAAGACTGAATACCCCTCTATTGAGCAGTTATATAATCATCTTTCCATTTGATGTAGTGCCTTATCAAGTCTTCCGAGACGTCTCAAAGCATTTCACAGAATATACTGTAAAGTGAATTGACTGCATATTTTGTGGGCGAGTTTAATTACATATAAGAGGGGGAGTAATTGTCCTAAATGTTTTGCTGCATTCAACTCAGCTCTTTCAACTCAGCTATTCTCCAAAGAACAATTAAAGCAGTTAAAGGGAAAGGAACACGTAAGAAATGCTTTAGTACAATTATGGAATCCTGCAATTCGACAATAATGGTTTGGGAAGATCAGGGTTCCTAATGTGAGATTGCTGTTGTCTGCCGATAACTACTCAGTTATCTCTTTGTTGCCCTTTCTATGGGACTCGCAGCGCATTAACGGAGGCTCATCAGTTTCTGTTACTTTTACTGACTGGATAACAACGACAAATTACATTTGTACAGCGCCTTTCACATCAGAAGGAAGTCCCAAGGCACTGGACAGTCAGGTATACATAATATAATAATCATTGCATTTGATTTAGCGCCTTTCACGCCAGGAGGGCACCGCAAAGCATTTCATTGGATTCACTGTAAATTGTAATGACTGTGTAACCAGAGGTATCAACTTCTTTGTAAAAACATACCTGCAATTTTGTAATGATTTCATTCTTTGTCAAAGTCACAAGCTCAATGTCCTCCACAGCAAAAGCGGGGTACGAGATAACCGAAAGAAGGCCAGCATCAATTTCTTTGGATGTTGACGCTCTTGGTAACATGGAATGAAGAATAGACTGAAAGAAATGAATCAAACGTTTTACAAAAGTAACCAACTTCTTTACAGAGAAACAGTGAAAATTGATAGCATCTCCACCTAATAATGTAACATTAGGATTTCTGGTTTACCTGACAATGTTCCACTTCATCAGGTAGAACGTGAATGACTGACTTTGGGCCTCCATGTGCTCCAAACAGATCAAGTTCATCGATGGCTTCAAGTGCTGCCTGCAATAACATCTAACCATTAATTAACCATCAAATCAACATGCAGTACAATTCTGTTGAACTTTGACTAGTGTGTTCAATATCAAACAGTCCATTTCATCCTGATCACAAAAATAATCTCAGTTGGAAAGGTATGTATGAATTCTGCATTCGTTCATGCATTTCAGGACTGATGTTGGTGTGTGTATGGCGGGGTGGGGGGGGGTGGTGGGGGGAGAGAGGAGCTGAAGATATCCCTATGTTCTATATTATTGAGAATTTCAATATAAAGATGTAGCAAAACGATCTTTCTTTAGTGATCAGATTGAAATAGACCCCACTGAAATGTTTCAAAGTGCTTCACAAGAAATCAAGTGTAGTGACTATCAAGTATAAGGACTCACAAAATATCATAAAGTGAATGGCCAATTAATTTGGAGAATTGTTGCCTAGGACATTGGTAGAACTCTCTTTAACTTCACCTGAACAGACGGATGGGACCTCAGCTTAAGGTGTAATTCAAAAGACAGCACCTATAATATAATGTTTCTCCCAGTACTGCATTGGGGTGTCAGCTTGCAATATGAACTCAAGTCCTGATATATAACCCGAGTGAACCTCCGCTGTTCCTTTGCCACGGCTGTGATAATGTTTCTATCAATGAAGTGCCCAAAGCTGGAAGTAACTTGCCAAACCAAATACAAAATATCTTGTCCTGTTTCTCCACCCACTTGAGATGTTCAAGAAATCTATTGCCCCATAGTTCTAAGATCAGCCTCAGCTGTGATACTACAAATCAGTTTATTCCATTATCCTGTTGACAGTTCATGCAATGGGTTCACTTGGGCTGAGGAGCAGAGGAACTACTATTTTTGGTATCATACTGGATTAACTTCTGAATCCCTGGAAGGCTATGGAAACTGCTTTCGTAGATTTCATAGCTACCCCCACAACACATCCTCTGAAAAAAAGCTACAATAACCTCAATTGGACAGATATTGTTGCAACATAGATCCATTCTGAATTCATGCATGTATTTTAGGACTAACAGGAGGGGGAAGATGTCACTATATATAGATTCCTTAGGAATAGGTTTCATTGCAGTATGTAATCCTTAGGATGTTACGAACATAACTAATCTATGTGTCGGGTTTTAATATCCTGAGCGGTTGATAAAATCAATTATTGTTAATAAATCAAATTAATATAATATTGTTTGTTGCAATATCAATCACTACATGATTTATGGGCAGTCATACCTTTCCATGGGATATGGGCATATTAGTATTGGATATGAGATAATAAGGCATGTTGTTTAGGGCCACATATCTTCTGTGAATGGGAACAAAAGGTTACACTTTACCTCTGAACGCATTTGGCTTCAAACATTTAATTCTGACGCATTTCTAAACAAACAATAATGTTCCCAAAGTAATGGAGTGATTGGGGTAAACTGCTTTGTAACAAGGCAGGTAACAGCACTCAAGATAATCATGTGACTTTACCTCTTGCAGTTTCTGTCTCATGTCATCACTGGACTGGACACCAACAAGGCTAAATTATTTGATAAATCAGCTTTTCACTACAGAGTTTGTGAGCGAATGCAATTTTCATATCAATTGCAGTATCAGCAACCCAGTTCTAATTTAGAGACACAGTGTTACACCCGAACAGAAAGGCATTAATCACCCAAATCCCTCTTGAAACTCCCTTCTTAGCAGAAGCAATACAAACACAGCAGTAGAATGCTCTAGGCTGCTGACTTAAATTGTTCTGCTAAAGAACTAGTTCAGTACAATGCTTGTTGTATAACTGACCCATTAAGATTTTTTCCCAAAATGAAAGAAGTGAGGCAGGCATTGGCCTGAAGGGTGCATTTCCACATCCCTAACCAGCTTCACTGCAGAATATGTGACTATGATCATAAGAATAATAGTGGAGCCAATTTAAAAGTACATTCAGTACTTATCAGATGTGCTGGATGTGGAGCCAGGCCAATAAATTGAACTCTTGGCACATGAAACACAGCTTTCGACTGCTGGTTAGAGAACGCCAGCTACTCAGACGTTCTTTAGTAAAAGGCCACTCACCAGCTGTTGAAAACTGCAATCCCTTAACCAGAAATCCAATATTCACAAATGTCCCACTGACAATGATACAGTTAGAGGAATCCTCTGGCACATCCAAGGTGATAAATATTAAATGCATCACTTATTGTTTAGTTATCCAGATTTAAACAGAATTTTGATTATTTTGTGATGCGTTATGTGTATTTACCTTAGCCATACCCACAGAACTTGCATTAAGCTCTGCTATTCCCTGGTTTGTTTTGTCTCCACGCTCCCACATACCATAATCCTAAACCCAAACAGAGAAAGAGAAATCAGCCTTCTTCAATTTAGTTTCAAACGTAGAACACAGAAAAATGCCTCTCAGTTTTACCTCCTTAATAGTACTTAAATCTGCGAATACTCACAGCAACTTTATAAGCAGCTTCTATGTAAAATACAAGGTTCTGTATAAACGACACTTCATCAAGGGTGAAAATGATGCGTAAACCTAAGGAGAAAAAATACTGAGTTAATGAAAGTCCGAGAAACCAAACTGAACTAATTCCATGCACGTCTGTTGGCCGGTTAGACAAATGAGGACATTGCAGCCAGTCATGGAGATTTCAGCAAGTTCATTAGCTACGAAAAGTACAATGGAACAAACTGTGTTGTGCACAGGAACAACAACTTGCATTTGAAAGACCAATAACTTGATTGAATCTACAACTGAGTAGCTGGCAAGAACATAAAATAAAACCTTTACCCAGTAAAAATTGCAAATGCAAAGAATGTTATTGATCTCATCTCTCCAGAAAATTAACCCTCCAGTCACATTTGGCAGCTCTTTTTTTTAAAATAGCTAATGTTTTTGACTATTTGCTTTCCAGTCACTATGCTAACAAATAATGCCACATGTGAAGTATTTAACATGTCTCGAAAGTGATATGGTGCCATATAAAATAAGTATTAAATAACTTAAATATTAAGTAATTTTAGGAAACTTTACCAAATATTTATCGCTCTGAGTGAATATGTCGTATGTTTGCAAGACAGAAGCCATGCTCCCGTCAACGTCTTCTCCCCTGCTGGTCTGAAATCCTCAACCTCCCCAGGCTCTCCCTCAGACTCAACGAACCTGTGCACAACTTAGGCGTCAGGTTCATTCCCAGCTTTCCTTTCTACCACACATCCATTCCCTGACGAGGACCCCTTTTTTCCACCTACGTCACATTGCCCACCTCCATCCGTACCTCACAACCAATGCAGCCAAAATCCTTGCCCACACCTTTGTCTCTTCCTGCCTGGACTATTCCAATGCCCTCCTCACTGGTCTCCTCAGCTCCACCATACACAGAATTCAATTAATCCAAAACACCGCCGCCCGATACTCACCCACACCAAACTGCATACCCTCATCACACCAGTCCTCACCAGGCTCCACCAGCTCCCAATTATTGAACAAATCGATTTCAAGTTCCTCTCACTCATTTTCAAATGCCTTAATGCCCTCCCTACCTATCCGACCTGCTTACCCCCCACTCCACCACCTTCTGCCTCTGCCCAGCTAGCTCCGGCTTCCTGGTTGTCCCTCGTCCCCTCCGTTCTACCATCGGTGGCCGTGCCTTCAGCCACTATGCCCGAAATTCTGGAACTCTCTTGCTTAATCCTTCCACTTTGCCTCCTCCCTCCCCACCTTCAAATCCCGCCTAAAGACCTCCTTTTTGATCATGCTTACAGTCTCCTCCCCACTCCCTCTTCTCCTGGCTCGGCATCAAGAATCCCCCACTGTCAAGCGCTCCGGGATGCTACCCTGGATGAAGGGCATTATATAAATGCAAGTTGTTGTTCCTGATACATGTTCAAAGTATACTTTTGTGCTCAATTTAGTTAAGTCACTGGTCCAATTTTCTTCTCTTTGACATTAATAGACCGACTTTATCTTATCAACAGTGATTTTAAAAATGACATGCTAATTACTGTCGCACTTTAACAGTCTTCTTTCTAGACTGTCATTTACTCCAATCTGATTCTTGCTCAGCAATTCTAGTGCTTTGAATCAAGATTCAAATGAGGTTAATATAGCGCTACCCCAGCCTATGAATTCAAAGTCCAATGTGGGGCTTGAACCAGAACCATCTGATTCAACTACCAACTGTGCCAAGATGACACCAAGATTCTACAAGGAGAAATTATAATCTTTGCATTTGATATAGCGCTTTTCACGTCTTCTAGACGTCTCAAAGCGCTTCACAGAATATACTGTAAAGTGAATTGACTGTATATATTTGTGAGCAAAACACAGCAGCCAATTGCACACAGCAGTGTCCCACAAACAGTCGTGGACTGAGTGACCAAATTATTGTTTTTTTTTCTTGAGGGATTATTATCAGGTGTGTGGATAAGGAAACTTGTCCAAGGTTTTTCCCTGCCAGGAATCAAACCCAGGTCTCTCGCTTGCGAAGTGAGTGTGCTAACCACTAATTACAGGACTCCTACAGAAATTACAGAAATACACTCTTCACCATTATGATCAAAATGACAAACTGATAGATATTACACTTCAAATACGGAGAGGAAAAATGCAGGTTGGAAAATAATAACATGCAACAATTTTCTCACCTGAAGCTGTCATCTGTGCCAAAAACAACAAGTAGAGAGAAGTAGCATCAACCTGAAGGTGACCCCATTGGTCATCACCAACAACTGTACAGCATGTGGTGGTGCTGTATTTGGCATGGAGAGCGTCCTTCGTGCTCTGAGTATGTTTAAATCTTTCAACCTTATCCATCTATAAATAAATTATATGCAACAAGTCACTAAACATGAATTGATATATTGAGAATACTTCAACAATAGTAAAGTACCAGTTAATTATAGCAATTGCAAAATTACATGAAATACTATTTTGGATTTCCTTTTGACAGTTAATTTAATAATAATCCTTGCATTTGATATGCCTGATCATATTGTGAAGGAGTCTCAAAGCACTTTACAGGATTTACTGTAAAGTATTGTGACTGTGTGTGTTTTGCGGGCGGATGCAGCAGCCAGTTTACTCAGAGAAATGTCCCACAACAGCCATGGAATAATTGACCCATTATTTTTTGGGGGCCAGGATTGTTGACCAATTTGAGTGATATATACACTGCCTTCACATGCATTGGTAACTTGATTATGCTTTCCACATAACGTGGTGCTCAAAACTGTATATAATATTCCAGTTGCGGCCTAACCAATACATTTTAAACAGTCATTATCACAGAAAGAAACCACAAATTGATATTAAATAATTGTTAACCATCATGGCAATACCGTGATTTTCTCAATTTTCAAAGTGTACTATACCTGTCTGATCATGCACTGAAGAAGGCCCCTCATCAGCTTCACAACGTTCTGTGGAAAGAAACACTTTCAATAGTTCACAATTAAGATCAGTCACTCATTCAAGGTCCTGACTCTCACCTATAAATTCAATTCTCAATACTCTGGAAAGAGTTCAGCAAGTTTGCAAGGCATGATTTCCCTTGGCTTCTGATTATCGAATCTGAATTATCTAAATATTCTTATAATATGCTTCTCTTAAAAATGTCTCTGAAGCATTCTTGCATCTGATATTAATTTCACTGCTCACAAGTCTCTAGATTATTATCTTCCTTAATCCCTATAAAAAGTTGCTTTAATATCTGCATTTCTAAATCTTGAGTATCTTTTATGTTTGCAGTGTTCTGTTTATCTCCTTCTCTAATATTACTGGGTGATATACAAATGTTAAGCCTTGTCCACTTCAATAATAATAATAATTCTAATAATAATAATAATTGACACAGCCCCTTATCACATCATCAAGACATCACAAAGCACTTCACAGGCTATATGGCAAAGTGGTGTGTGCATTCTGTAGACTAATGCAGCAAATACACTCTGTGCACAGCAATGTCCCACAAACAGCCATAAAGTGAGCGAGAACACTACCAATTGCGCCAGGCTGTCATACTACTGCTCCTTGCACTTTCACTATTGCTTCTAGTGAACCACTTCCACGATCATTGTAATTTTTGGTAGATAGACCATTAGTATCCATGTGATTTAGTTAGTGCTCCGGTATACTTCTATTTATATTGTATATGAAAACTAATCATAAGAAATTGCTCAAATCATCTACCATGGCCTAACTTTCTAATTATCCCGAGGACTCTAAATCAGAAAGAGGTAAATATATGTAGAGGACCTTACTTAGGGAAGCGGTAGAAGCAAACTGTCACCAAATTCAAAAGGGAAATGGATAGTGACTTTGCAATGAAATATAGTACCCAATATCATCAAAAAGTTACAGAAGTAGCTAATGTAAAAAGTGGCTGATTTGTTATGTTGCAGAAAGAGTCACCTTCAATGTTTCTCTAATGAATATTGTATTTCTTGAAACATGTGCGATTTGAGCAAATGAAACATTGTAGTGGATGCCACAAATATAATCCTGATATCAGCAAAGGTATCTCATAAATATGTGCTGTGAAAAAATTTGCTTTTTTCTTCCCTTTTGTTTCTTGACAATTATGTGTTTTGCTGAATGAATATCCTCCCTGGTGATTTGAAAACAAATGTAACACAATATAAGGGAAAATTGGATAATAATCCTGCTGTTCCTTTTGTTCCTTTAGTGAACGCCGGGTTCAGGTATTAGGTGAAAAAATCGTTTGGTTTGGCATGAAAAAGCTCTCGAAAGGAAAAACTAAGTGCCGGAAAAAGCACCTTGGGAAGTAAAGTGAGACTCGTACAGTGACCCATTGGGTACATCATGTTGGCCTAAAAAATCTCTTCACTGAGGTAATCTTGAGTCTGAGCAGAATTAGTGCAGGAGACCACTTTACGTCCAACAGTGCTTTTCCAAGTGAAGTATTATTTAAGTTCTGGTTTATCTTTTCAAGCACTTTTTCAATCCCATTGTGTTTCTATTTACTGACCTGCTCAAGTTCATACGCTTTTGCTTTGTCTTCATCTCGGTCTGCATTCTTACGGTAGGCTAATCCCAGACCCCATACAGCCAGTATGCTATAGACGTTATCACGCACCCAAGCATCCGTCTGCTCTGTGCTTGCCGGCAGCAATCCCGTGACTGGGTTCTGAAAGATAAATGAAAATATCAATTGGAAAGGTTGATAAGTTGGTGAACTCCAAATGAAGGAAAAAGGGCCTTGAGCACTGCATTGTTGTCCTGAGCAATGTACAAAAGTGCCTGTTTTTCACAAAGCAATACACACGGTCAGTCAGATTTTACATTTTGTGCACATTCAGTGCTTGGTTTTGGAATTAGCCTACACTTTTTATTACTACTTGCACAGCTATGTTGTGCTGTTTCATTTGGGCATCATTGCTAAGCAGCCTGGGTCTACTGAATTCATCGATTTACAGAAACCAAAAACAATTCAGTGGATTCTAGATGCACAAGTACCAGGCTGGTTTAGATGCTGCCACTCTTGCCTCTGTCAGAATGTTGTGGGTTTGACTCCCAAGCCAGGACTTCAAGCTCATAATGTAGGCTGACACTACAATGCACTCAAAGGAGCACATTCTGCTATCCTTCAGATCAGACATTGAACTGAGGTACTCTATGCCTCTTCAGGAAAACATTAAAGATCACATGGTACTATAGTGCAGTCTCGATAATTTAATGGTAGGAGGGTAGAACAACAAAGGGGTTAAATTTCAAATCTACCAACAACATCCACAGGGAGAAAATATTTCCATTTCATTAGCTTCACATCCTTTTTGACAATTACTGCAAAATTATCCTGCACCTAATTATATTTATTTTATTACTTTCAAACACTCTTAAACACACTATAGGCATTGCTTGATCAACAACAACAACAAACTGACATTTATAGAGCGCCTTTCACGTCGGGAGGACGTCCCAAAGCACTGAACAGTCAGGTGTCGGGTCTGAGCATGGGGGAGGGGTGGTGTAGGGGTGAGGGAAGGCAGAGAAGTGGGAGGGTGACCAAAGGCATGATCGTAGAGAAGGGTCTTGAGACCGGCTTGAAGGAGGCAAGAGAGGAAGCAAAGCGAAGGGACCGTGGGATGGAGTTCCAGTGTGTGGGGGCAGAGAGGCTGAAAGCCCGGCCACTGATGGTAGGGTGGGTTGGGCAGGAGACATGGTGCAGGCTGGAGCCCACTGAACTGAGGGAGTGGGCAGGTTGGTAGCAGATCAGATCAGCGAGGTAGGAGGGGGTAAGGCCATGGATGGCTTTAAAGGTGAGGACGAGGATCTTGAACTCGATCCTTTGGGGGATGGGGAGCCAGTGGAGTCGGGCGAGGGTGGGAGTGATGGGGTCACGGAGCCCGGTGCACGAGAGTACACGAGCTGCAGAGTTTTGGATGATCTGCAGGTTGTGAAGGGAAGTGTTGGAAAGGCCGATGAGGAGGGAGTTACCGTAATCAAGCCTTGATGTGACGAATGCGTGGGTGAGGGTTTCGGTAGCCTGAGGGGTGAGGCAGTGGCGGAGTCTGGCAATATTGCGGAGGTGGTGGTAGGCAGTGCCGGTCATGGCACGGATGTGGGGAAGAAAGGACAGTTCAGGGTCAAACAAGATACCCAGGTTCCTGACTGGCTTAGTGAGGTTGAGTGTGCAGCCAATTCCAAGCCCCTAGCACGTGTCTGTTCTCCCAAATAGATATATCATTCTAATATCTGCTTCGGTACCAGAATTTTAATCCCTTGTGCATTACGTTCTGATAATTTTACTAGTCTGGTCTTCTGCATTCTCTCTTTCCTTGGCATACATCCCTGTGTCTGCACTGAACAGGAACACAGATATTTTCAGATCAATATCACATTCCTCTGAATACAGGTTAAGCATAATAGGAATGCAACTCATGTGAACCATTGTCTCCGACAAAATTACTGAGAGGCAGTGGACAGTCACAGATTCTCCACGACATAACTATAACATATTTGGCATAAATTGCGTGATCTTCATCTGCAATCCACAGCACACACATACGCTGTGCTCTAAGGTGTGGTGAATGGAGGGAAAATTGTGTGGTATTTGAAATCAGTTTTAGTAAACTCAATTCTAAACTCTGCAAAACATATTGGCAGCTACAACCCAACAGGTGCCAGGGTGAAATTGAGATGGTGATGTAATAATCTGTAGATACACTCTCTGTTCCACAATGGTGATCAAGGAAAAACTGGAACAGATGCACTTGACCTTACCATCTCCCTTACTCAGCCCTAGTCTGAAACGTTCTAATGACAACATCCCTCCTCTTCCACCCCTCTTCCACTCACAGTGCCCAGCTCCTGCAGCACATAAGTCATTGTCCCTCATCTCTGTTATTGAAGACATCTTTATTGTGATGCTATTCAGAAAGGTGTTTTCATCGTCAAAAACATACGCCAACCTACTTGCCAAACTTTGTCGAGTCTCACTCATATTTGTTGCAAATCTCCACATGCATAATATCAATGAAAGTTATTTTTTTAAATCTGTAAATTGTTGCACTTATATAGCACCATAAATACAAGAGTTAGTTAAAATATCTGACAAGATCTAATAAACTGATGGAGCAGGCTCGATAGGTTGAAATGACAACCTCATGTTGCTGTTCTCCAATGTTTCTATGAACAAAACACAGAGGTTCCTGATTGTCTCCTTGAGTTGGAGTGAACAACCGGGGAAGTTGTAGGAGGAAGTGCAAACTTATTTTAACTTTTTACATTTAAGTGAGTAACCAAAATAATTCTCAGCTACTGATTCGCACCAATCTAGACCGTTAGCACAGTTTATTTTTTTATATATTTTTTAATAAATATTTTGCGGAAACGCCTGAAGTTAGAGGTGGAAATAAAGTCAATTTTAGTTCCTTATTTGGAGCCAACTCTCTACATTTTGAGCAACATTGGCAATTCTGTATCCCTTTACACTGCAAACTGTTTAGGGCCTGGGAAATAAACATCAGATGCCACAAGTCAGAAATAAACTTCCAAATGCTGGAAATCTGAATCAAAAGGCGTAGAAAATACAAGTTGCAAATGTACAGCTGGGTCCTCAGTACACGGAAGAGAGTGGTTTAACCTTTCCACATCCCTGAACACGACTCTCTGACCAAGATCAAATGAAACAAAGCCCCTATTATGTATGTCGGACCCTGATCGGCCGAAAGTCGTACCGCAGCGGCTGCAAAATTGAGCGCAAATGTAAATAGCAAAGAGAAATACCCACCTGGTGGCATAGAATTGTTCTCTGCACAAGATTGGCGTAGCCATCTAACCTAACACCGGAATTGCTTCTGCTCCTCATAGCTTTAATCGGATCTGGTTTATGTTCGGAATGGAGAAGCCGCTCATTGAGATCCCAGACCAGCAGCAGTCAAAAGTTTCCACTGACTCGGGCAGCTGACGCTTGTGATCAGGCTGTCATTGCTCAGCTGTCAAAATGCACACATAAATAAATAAATACAGGCATACATACACAAAATAAATGCATACATAAATAAATGCATAGACAAACAAATGCATACACAAACAAATGCATGCACAAACAAATGCATACACAAACAAATGCATGCACAAACAAATGCATGCACAAACAAATGCATACACAAACAAATGCATACACAAACAAATGCATACACAAACAAATGCATGCACAAACAAATGCATGCACAAACAAATGCATACACAAACAAATGCATGCACAAACAAATGCATACACAAACAAATGCATACACAAACAAATGCAGACACAAACAAATGCAGACACAAACAAATGCATAAAAAAACATACATAAATAAATAGGTAGTAAATAACCTGATCAAATGTTACACACACGTTGCTTTTATCCAGCCAACAAAACGCACCCCCCCCCCCCCCCCACCTCCCCCAACACACACACACACCGTTTGCAAACACCAGTTTGCGGAGTCAATGGACTTGAGTGAGATCCCGCAGCCATTATGCGGAGCGGATGCTGTAAGTAAGTGTGTTGCAGCAAAGAGCCCTCCCCACACACTCTCTCTCTCTCTCTCTCTCACACACACACACACACACACACGAGTCAACAACTCACCCCCACCCCCACCCGCTAACAATAACATGTCCATGTTAGCAAAAGCAGAAATCCCACCCCCACCACTTACTGCAGTCTCCGCAGTCAGAGAGCCGTCACTCCGCAAACAAACGAGCAACAAGTAAAAGCCCAAACCACGAGCGAAAGAGAGGAACTCCCCCCCGAGGCTTTGCAGTGGGAGCGGGACTGCGGCGGGTCCTCGCCGCTCCGGCACTCACTGCCTCTGACGTTGCTGCGGTTTGCGGCAACACTGCGCGTTTGCGTTCCGCAGCGCGTTGTGCAGTCGGGTTCCGGAGACATAAACGCCGATTCCTTATTCACTCAGTTGCTTTCCAGCCTCACATGGGAGCAGCCAGACCCCGAGCTGCACCCCCTCCCCTCCCCCCCAACCCCTCCCCTCCCCCCCAACCCCTCCCCCCCCCCCAACCCCTCCTCCCCCCCAACCCTCCCTCCCCCCCAACCCCTCCCCTCACCCCCCCCAACCCCTCCCCCCCTCCCCTCCCCCAACCCCTCCCCCCCCTCCTCAACCCCCCCTCCCTCCCCCCAACCCTCCCCCCCCTCCCCCCCAACTCCCCTCCCCAACCCCTCCCCTCTCCCCAACCCCTCCCTCCCCCCAACCCCTCCCTCCCTCCACTGCTCTCACTGTCAGCGCAGCACTAACAGCAGCCAAAGCAATGGAGACTCAAGTGAACCGATGGGTCCTGGACAGGACATACCTCTCTCTGCAGCTCTTACTCACACACACACACACACACACAGAGAGAGAGACAGGAATAGAGCAGCCAGAGCCACGCACGTATTCATCCCTATATCTGTACCGCTTCCGATCTTCCCAAAGATGGCAATCTGTAGTATTGCATTATTATTGTCAGTGTTTGCATCTACCAGGACCTGCTGGGGGGTGAAGCTCCAGGAGGGGGAGATGCAGAGTTGGAAGGACCGAGTCGTTCGACGACAAGCGAAAACAATAATAATCCTCGCGTTTGATACAGCGCCTTATCACGGCGTCGGATTTTGTCTCAAGGTGCTTCGCGGGAGAAACTGCAACGCGCTGCGACCGTGTGCATTCTGTCGGCAAAGGCGGCGGCCTGTGTGCCCACGGCAATGTTCCACAAACAGCCGTGGTGGAGTCAGCGACAGATAGACAGCAAACAAAACTAGATTTAGTGGCTCCGATGTTTTTTAAAATATACGATTTTAAGCTAGAATTGAAGTCATGCCTACAGGTAAAATTACATGAGTTGCGGCCCTTTTACACATCCATTGTTTGTTCTGGGCTTCCAGTCATAAATTGAGACTGTAGTTTCATTACACAGCACAAGGTGACACTTTTTCACAGTCTTAGCTGCTGTTTTGAGATACAATAGATAAAACATTTTGTCAAATCAAAGTAGATACTTTCAAAGTATCAACAGAAGATACATGGTTGAAGCCTTTTGATATATTTATCCAATAAGTGAACTTGTTCTAGAAGCAGGCGATCCAACAATTTTGTGCGATTATTGGTTAGAATTTGTTTTATCAGGAAAGATTTATTCAATTTTAGAATTCACGTAATTCTTTCTTTATCAGAATTTCAAGAAAGGCAAGACTATGCTTGGAGCCGATTCACATATCCACCTAACTAAATGATATAGTGTGAATTGCACAAGTCACTGAATAAAATATCTCCAAACTTGTCACTGTGTGAATTACACTGAATAACTGCTACAAGATATGCTATTTTCTGCAGTTCTCTTTCATTCTCTGCAACTTTCCTGCTGGGTGACTGAATGGGTTATATGCACCAGGCGTCTGCCAGTACATAAGAACATAAGAATTTGCTAAGCGAAAGAAGGAAACATTTTAGAATCATTGGTAGTAGTGCAGTATTTAGAGGAGCACAATATAATTAGGCCACGTTAACGTGGTTTTACAAAAGGAAAGTCATGTTTGACAAATTTCATAGAATTTTTTGAGGATATTTCAAGTAAACTAGATAAGGGTGAATCAGTGGATGTGGTCTATTTGGACTTCCAGAAGGCATTCGATAAGGTGCTGCATAAAAGGTTAGTCCAAAGATAAGGGCCCATGGAATTGGGGGGAGCATATTAATGTGGATTGGGGAATGGTTAACGGGTAGGAAACAAAGAGTAGCGATAAACGGGTCCTTTTCAGATTGGTGGGATGTGACTAGTGGAGTGCCACAAGGATCAATCCTTGGGCCTGAGCTATTTACTATCTACGTCAACGATCTAGATGAGGACATCGAAGCTAATATATCTAAATTCGCGGATGACACAAAACTAGGAGGAAGCGTCAACACAGAGGACAACATTAAAAAAATGCAGCGAGACATAGATAGGTTAGGTGATTGGGCAGGTAGGTGGCAGATGAAGTATAATGTAGGGAAGTGTGAAGTCATCCACCTAGGTAGCAAAAACAGTAGAGCGGGTTATTTTTTAGAAGGGGAGAGATTGGAATGTGTTAGCGTCCAGAGGGACTTGGGTGTCCTTGTACACCAATCACAGAAAGTTAGTCTGCAGGTGCAGCAGCAATTAGGAAGGCGAACGGTATGTTAGCATTCATTATGAAAGGATTAGAGTGTAAGAGTAGGGAAGTCTTGCTGCAACTGTATAGGGCCCTGGTGAGACCACACCTGGAATACTGTGTGCAGTCTCCTTATTTAAGGAAGGATGTACTTTCCTTGGAGGGGGTGCAGCGTAGATTTACGAGGTTAGTACCAGGGATGAAGGGGATGAGTTACGAGGATAGGCTGACCAATTTGGGCCTATATTCTCTAGAATATAGAAGAATTAGAGGGGATCTTATAGAAACCTATAAGATCATCAAAGGGCATGATAGAGTAGATAGTGGGAGATTGTTTCCCCTGGTTGGAGAAACTAAAACCAGGGGTCACAACCTTAAAATCAGAGGCCAGCCCTTTCGCACTGAGTTGAGGAAGAACTTCTTCACTCAAAGGGTGGTGAATGTATGGAACTCACTACCCCAAAGGGCTGTTGATGGTCAGTCCTTGAACATATTCAAGACTGAGATAGATAGATTTCTTATTGCAAAAGGGATTAAGGGATATGGGGATAAGGCAGAATCGGGTTATTAGGTGGCGTTAGATTAGAAGATCAGCCATGATTGAATGGCGGGTAGGTTCGAAGGGCCGAATGGCCTACACCTGCTCCTACATGTTATGTTATGTTCATCCAGTTCACGTTCCACCATTCTGGCAAGCGCTTGACATGTCATTTCCCAAACTATATCCTGAGATATTATTTTCAAGCAGAAATATATCTAATTTGTTCTTGAAACAGATGACATTTTCTGATTCCCACTGTCTCCCTAGGGAGCCTGTTCCATAAGTTTACAACTCACTCACTGAAATAGTGTTTCCGCAGATTTGTTCTGAACTTAACCCCCTTCAGTCATAGGCCATGTGGTTCTACTGTTGAGTAGAAGATAAAGCAGCTTGTCATGGTCTACATTATGAAGTTCCTTCAGAATCGTAAAGCCCGTAATCATTTCGCCCCTCAATCTTCTCTTCTCCAGTGTAAACATACCCAGTTTATCTAATTGCTTCCCGGTGTCCAGTCCCTCCATCCCCTCAATCATTTTGGTTGCCCTCCTCTGTATCCTCTCAATCGCTACAATATCCTTTTTATATTGCAGTGACAGAACTGCACACAGTATTCCAAATGCGGTCACACCAGTACTTTGCAAATGGCATATTTCTTTTCCATGCTGTTCTTTTACTCTCTCCCTCCCACACCCTATCATTCCAACATGCCGGCAAAACGACTGTGGGCATTTGGGACCCTTTCAAAGGAGGAACACTGCCGTGCTGTTCTCTCCCCTCCCCCAACTCAAAATAGAGATGTAAGCAAATAGTCAGTTTACAAATGGTTACATGAGAAATGAGGAAGTTGGTTCATTGCGTGTGTCTGTGCGTGTTCTCTTGACTGTTACGTCTATCTGCATGTGATAGTTAGAACTTTGGTCCGCCTGACCAACATCAGTCAGCGGCAGATACAGCATTTTGCAGCAGTACATTGTGTTCAGTACAACCTCCTTCGGTAACAGGAATTCCTCAGAATTTAAGATTGGATCTCAGGGAGATTTTAATTTTCAAAGAGTTTCAAGCAAACAAATCAATCTGGGGGGGAAAAAAAAGAGTCATTTGCTCATTTTCATTGGGTTCTTTTATTAGTTATCTTTGAGGCAGTTATGATGAATCTACAATGTAAAGTCAAATTGGTTGGTGTGCTTGGTTTATGCTGCTTCATCGTATTTGTGGTGTCAATTGTTAAAGATCTTTTTAAGAAGCTAGTTGATGACCAGATCAAAGAGGTAAGAAACAGCATTACTTTGATGTTTTTCTTTGTAAATACTAGATGTTGCTTTTGTTAAAAATATTGTTTGTGTTAATGGGTATTTTTCTAAGAGCTCCGAGACGCTGCCCTGCTTGAAGGGTGTTCCTGTAGCTTAGTGGTTAGAGCGCTCGCTTCGCAAGGGAGAGGACCTTGGTTCGATTCCTGGCAGGGCTAACATTGCACAAGTTTCCGTACTCCACATGCTTCTGTTCGCCTAGCAGTAAATAGGGACACGGTTGTTAGTCGATTGGTGGATTGCTATTCCTGGGGTAATAATCCCTTCCAAAAAAATAAATAATAATAATAATTTGGTCACTCAATCCACGACTGTCTGTGGGACACTGCTGTGCGCAATTGACTGCTGCATTTTGCCACAAAATATACAATCAATTCACTTTACAATATATTCTGTGAAGCGCTTTGAGTCGTTTCAAAGACGTGATAAAAAGCTATATCAATTGCAAAGATTATTATGATTATATAAATGCAAGTTGTTGTTATATTGTATGTATTTACGTAGAATGGATTTTTCATGGTGAAGGGGAGAACAATATTTAAAATGTAGAATTATTTAAAATGTATTTGTCCAGTGCACTCAAATGATGTGCACTGATTGCTCAGGAGATTCATAATAATTGCCCTCATTGTTGCACGCAAATTGGCTGCACAAAACACACAGTGACTAATTTTACATTATAGCTGTGAAGCACCTTAGGACATGCTTCTGATGTGAAAGGTGCTATACCATACGATATATTATTATATCCACCGAGACACAAACTCTCAACATTCTTCCTCATTGTGAGGATTAGGAATGACTCAGCCTTTTTGCCACATGATCAGAATATGTCAGCCTGGTTCAGTTGGCTGCACTCTTGCATTTGAATCAGAAGTTGGTGGGTTTCGGCCCCATGTCAGGACTTGGAATCTCATAGTCTAGGCTGAGACTTCAATACAGTGCTAGGGCGTGCTGCTTTGCTGGAGGTGCCAACCTTTGGATGAGACGTTAAACCAAGTTCCAGTCTGCTTGTTCAGACAGACATTAAAGATCCCATGGTACTATTTGGAAAGAGAAGGGAGTTTCTCCTCATGTCCTGGCCAACAATCCTCCAGAAAAAAATAGTCACTCATTTCATCTTTGTGGGACATTGCTGTGTGCAAGTTGACTGTTACAGTTGCTTGCAAATACACAGTCATTAAACTTTACAGTGAACCCTGTGAAACACTTTGAGACATCCTCCCAAATTGAAATGTGCTATATCAAACCCAAAGATTATTATTTATTATTATTTAAAAAGTGCTACAGACCATAACATTGTTTGCTGCCATCCCGAGCTGTTACTGTAAAATAACAACAGAAATTCTGTTTCAAAAGGGAGTCCGAAACGTGTCCTCTGTGACTATTGCGGACTGATGCAAATACCTCATAAACTGCTTGTGGCACCTGTCAACTGCCAACTCTTTCTCAGAGAAGAAGTGATTAGGGATGGGATTTCATGTGCCCAAGATCTTGGGGGTTTTACTAATAGGAAATAAATCTTTGCCTTTGATATGGCATTTCTCACATTGGGAGAATGTCTCAAAGTACTTCACAGAATTCTAAGTATTCTGTAGGCAAACTGTACATCTTGAGTGCCTGTAGGCATTTTTCTAAGTTTCATAGTTCTGCAATTTCGTACCACCCTTGCTTCCCCAAATGATGAACTCTAGGAAAACTCCTCAACGCTTGTGTTTGCAGGCAGCTCAGTGCCTCATCTCCCTATCGCCAAAACTAATGTGTATACTGCTTCTTGTCAGCCATAGATGTGCACTGCTCAGTAGTGGTCAAAATGATGGACCTTTGGTATATGAACCTTTGTTATATACCTTTGGTATATGAACAAATGTTGCATCCGGCTCATGGCTTATCTACGGGGAGTTGATTGATTTGGTGTTAGTCGCGAAATTAGTGAAACAAAACGTTCAGAGAAATTTGGTATGTATAACTATGCACACCGTGCATATGAACTCCCCAAATTAAATGACTTTTGGTAATACACACACTCTATGCATGGAGTTTTGACCTTTGTGTATGGAACCTACAAAGAATGTGTAAAAATGGGAGATCGTTTTTCTTTCCAACTTTGTAGGAAATTGTAATTTTGTTTAAAAGTGTCCAACTTTTCTTTGCAGCAAATGGTGCTAAAGTTTTCAAAACCCGATGAGGTTTATCAGAACTGGAAGGAACCGCCCATTCCAGTGTACATTCAGTTCTTTTTTTTCCACATTGAAAACCGACTAGAAGTACTTCAGGGTGAAAGACCCTATGTGAGACAAATTGGACCGTACACATACAAGTAAAGACTGCATTTCTAATGTTATTTGACTATAATTTCATTACCTGTCAATTTAATCTATTCCTAAGTATAGGCCAATATTTCATTTCAATATACTTAATATAATTAATGTGTCTTTTGAATAATTTTAAGGTAGATATGACTATGATTTTTTAAAAATCCAGGGCTGTATTTCTGGCTGTTTTGGAAAAACATTTTTTTCTTCATAGGTGAACAGATGTGATTTTCTGTTGGTATCTTTCAAACTTAATGCCCAATGTCTAGTTATGACATTTATTTCACAGTTCACTAAATTCCATTTGTAATGATTTCTATATCACACACACTGCATGCAATTTGGTAATGATCAAATATAATAACAATATAATCCTTGCTTCTGATATAGTGCCTTGTGTCAAATATCTCAAAATATTTGCTATTAAGGGCAGTGATTGCATATTTGTAGGCAAACCAGGCAGCTAATTTGTGGACAGTAATACCCCAGAAACTTCCTACTCTTTTTGAATAGTGACATGAGTTCTTTAAAGCGTCAACTGTCATTCCACAAGTTTGGTTGTTGTTCCACTAATTCTAATTGTTGATCCACTAGAACTAGTTGTTGTTCAATTGGTGTATCACCGTTCTTTGTGTGAGTCTAGACTGTGAATATCATCATTTACCTAGTGGAAGGGGAAGTGTCAGCCTGACAGGCAAGCTTGATCCTATTCTCATCTGATGATAATGCACGTGAGGTTTCTAGCAGGAGTCTTTGGACAATGATCAGGAGCGGAAGCCCTGACTATTTTTTCTCTCCACCCTACTATAGGGAGCTAAGCCATTTGTTATGTTCCAATGTCCTACTCCTCACCATATACAGGGATCAAACCCTAGACCTTCTTGTCGGTATGGTTCAGTTTAATACTGGGCAATGGCTTTAGCAATTGAGCATCACAAAGATATTCTTGAACAAAAGGTTTTCAGATGTGTTTGGTGGATCTGTTACTGCTACCATTTTTGACTATGAGTGGAAAACATTGACTGGTTGTGATATTCTCCTTGTATTCTCAGTTTTTACCATTTCTGGCATCAGAAATATTAATATTAATACACCTCAATTGATCTCATTGCAAACAGAGAGCTCAGACCCAGGGTTAATATTTCATTGTTTGAAAATGCAACTATATCAGCTTCGACATCCAGGACCTATATACTTGACCTGACAATGTCAGTAGGAGACCCCAAAAAAGACAGGATTACAACAATCAACATCCCTTTTGTTGTAAGTAAGATACTTAAACTATATTTGACATTTTTCATATGGAATATTAACATGTTAATATTACATGTAGGTAATTTGGCAAAGCAATAAGATGAGAATGGGCAGGACAAAAGCACTGGTCATTTTTATAGGTTTATTTCATGACTCTGTACGGTTTAACTTGGGGAGTCTTCCCGACGTGAAAGACAATATATAAATGTAAATTTGTACTGTGTTGTTCAACTTATGAAATGCAGTGCAATTTGTAGCCATATTTTCAGAATGTCTCTAGGCACTATTTGTGTTGCAAAGTCACACAGAAAAAATAATTGAAGCTGTGTTGATTTACACCTTCAAGAAAGAACCAGGTACATAGAAGAAGTTATCTGAATACAAGATGACCCTGTTATAACATGGTGGTCTGGATCTGGAAACTTAGACCCTGCATTAAAATAAAGCATGTAAAAATGACAACTTTCTGGGTCGTTGTGTCACTGCTGACGTCACTTCCTTCGTATCAGGTAGGGAAGGGATAAAGTTGTGAATCTACACTGAAGTGCAGTCCGTGTGACCTTTCTAATCCTAGACTCATATTTACTGATACGAACAGAATAGTCTTTGCCTTGTTATTGATTTTAAACATTTTGTTTTCATAGCATTGTTTTCAAATTTGTTACATTGTTTTCAAATTTGTTGGATGTGGCATCTTAAAGTTTTGGGACATGTTCCCAATGTGAATGCACCGTATAAAGGTTTATTGAACTACATTGTATCTGAGATGAATTCTGTAAGTTTTTTGTGCTGTGTGTTTGTGAGCAGAATTCTGACAGCTTAACTCATTTCTTTTTCCAGACTCTACTACAAATGCTAAAGTACACTGGACCATCTGAACATGTCATTGCATCATTGATCTCTATCTTAAAGAGTGAGATGCTCTTTCAGACTCGCACTGTGGATGAATTACTATGGGGTTATGAGGATCCATTGCTGAAGCTTGGCCACAAATTCTTCCCAAGCATTATCCCACACAGCCGATTTGGACTTTTTTACGGAGTGAGTAATGTGCGCAGAATTGCATTTTTTATGTGAAAGAGAATTTAAGTAGTCTCAGTTAAAGGAGAATCCCATTATAGTATAGCCTGGTGTAGTGCAGCCTTGGGTGGACTGTGGGCTATTAGGTGATTCTATGTCAGTGTATATTTGAAGTTGATATCCACAGAAATATTTCAAAATACTCTGTGAAGGTTTGTGGGACTCTGGAGTCTGCCTGTTCAGAGTTAAGATTGTGAAGTTGATTCCTGCAGGGTAATTTTCAATCTCAGCAGGTTTCTCTTTTCAGATAACAGAGAGCAACAAAAATAGAAAGTTGACATTCACAAACAAAATACCATAGAAAGAAAAGATTTGTGCAGGTCTGAGCTCTTGCTCAGTGGGTATCAGGAACTCCCCAGGAGCTTACTCCTTTATAGCACAACTTAGCATTAAATGTGTGAGAGCATTGCCTCCATCCTTCAGTCTAGGCTACACTGAAATGTAATTTGTTCAAGACCTAAATACTGTTCACATATCTAAGCAGACTCTTTTATTTTATTAATATTACTGTGGGTTGGGACATCCTCCTGACGTGAAAGTCGTTATACAAATGTAATTTATTGCTGTTTTTCTTGTTGTGGTGGTGGTGGTGGTTATTGCTCTGTTGTTTTTTCTAAGTTCCAAGTATAATGTCTTACACACCTTTCCTTCATCCTCAATATATTGCTGTTATTTACTCATTATTTTCCAGGGTCTCACGGCTGTAATTTCTTGCCTCTCTGAATGTTCTTCTACAGGATTTTAAAAACCAATTTGGGTATTGCCTATCTACTGCTTATTGACTTGACTTTGACGATGTCCTGGACTGTGTCCTTGGCCCTTTATCTCAGGGTTTTTGCAAAAAAAAAGCTTTAACAGGTTTTTTTTTCTATTTTCAGGTGAATGGAACAAGTGATGGAGAGTATTTATTCAACACTGGCAAAAATGATTACATGAAATTTACCAAAATAATATTATGGAAAGGACAGAAGTAAGTAACTTTTCTGAACTATTCAGACATCTGCACTGATGAATATTGATGCTAATTTATTGGGAGGCTTGCAGTAATTTCCTGCTACCTGTTAGATACTTAGTGAGGGCCTGAACCCTATGCTTGTCAGATGTGAAATGACCAACGAGTATTGGCCACTACTCCACGAGTGTGACATCTGCCCTACACGATGTCGGTTCAAAGTGCCAATGCAGGGCTTGAACCTACAACATCTCTAACTCAGAGGCAAGAGTGCTACCAACTGAGGCAGGCTGACACTGAGTATACTTGCTTTGCAACATGAGTTTCATTTCCTGGAGAAAATTATATTTTTCAATACCTAAGAGTTCTGCCAGCCAGGTAATGCTGATCATGCACACACTGGAGGGGTAATTCTTTATTGACCAGAATACTTACTGATCTAGGGATTCAGTGAGTCTATAGTTTCCATAAGTCAGTAAATTTACAACATTGGTAACATGATCTAATATTGACAGTTTCACAGTAAGCTCATACTACAGTATTATACATTTACACTGTCATGGTTGCCAAATTTACAAGACAAGTTCCATTTTCTTGCATACTTCAAGGCATCAGGGTGAGCACGTTGACACACAAGTGGAGCATTGTGGCCTCAAGCAACATATGTGCACACTGGTGATCAGCACTGGTGGAGGCCCAGTTATATGCACTCTGAAGACGTTTAATGTAATTACTGGTAAAGGGTCTTCACTGCTCATACAGTAAAAATATAAATGGCAGCATTGAGACATGTCTTGCTGTGATGATGCACAGTTAATTCAAAGCTACTGCTCTGCCTGTTACATCTGACTCAAGAAACCAAGCCCAGAGTAATACCCCCCACTTTGGGAAAGTTTCTCTCCTATTGGCAAAGTTGAAAGCAATATTCTGCCAACAGGTCTACACTTGGGGTTTAGTTTGCATTTGCAGTTGGAGCAATGTTGAATGTAGTGCTGAGTATTTAATAACAGGAAGATTAATGTTGCTTTATATTTTTCCCTCGTCTTAAATATCTATACTTATTTATAAGTATAGATATTTAACTATACTTATATTAAATAACTATACTTATCTATATCATCTGGAGACATGGGGTCAACTGCCATATGTATGCAGATGACATCCAACTCTATCTCTCTGCCTCCACCCTCAACTCCAGGACCACTGTTGTCCTGACAGAATGTCTGTCAGACATCAAGGCCTGGATGAGAGCTAACTTTCTACAGCTGAACGTCAACAAGACTGAGGCTCTCCGTCAGTGCCTCCACACCTCAGGCACTGACAGCGTCACCATCCAAGGAATCAAACTCCACCTCTCTGAGCCAGTCCGGAACCTTGTTTGACCCTCAACTGTTGTTTCTATCCCATATCAAGGCCCTCCACAGCCTTGCCCCCTCCCTACCTCTGCGACCTGCTGACCTCATATCAACCTGTCCGTTCCTCCGCTCAGCAGGCTCTGGCCACCCCCACCCCGGCCTGCTCCACTATCGGTGGCAGAGCCTTCAGCCTTTCTGCCCCCAACCTATGGAATTCCATCCCACTTTCCTTTGCTTTGCTCCCTCCTTTGCCTCTTTCAAGCAGTGTCTCAAAACCTTCTTCTTCGAACGAGCCTTCAGCCGCCCTCCTACCCTCCCTGCCCTCACCCTCCCCAATCCCGACCCCCAGCTGGGGTCCAAATACCTGACTATCCTGCGCCTTGGCACCTCCTCCTGATGTGAAAGGCCCTATACAAATGTGATTTGTAATGTATTGATTCAATAATTGTAACCATGATCAATGTTCTCCGTTGGATAGATCCCTAAACTGGTGGACATCAGATACATGTAATATGATAAATGGGACAGATGGAGGATCCTTCCACCCACTGCTGAGCAAAAGCAAAATTCTCTATTTATTTACATCTGATATTTGCAGGTAATTTCACATGGCAGTAGGAAACATATGAATTGTAGTTTATAATCTATCCTGTACAAAAGTTATCTTATTCAATGCAGTAATCTAGGATAGCTTGTCCTGTTGAAGAAATTAAATCTTTTCAGTAAATTGTAACAGACCCATTTAGTCTTACTTTGATTATTTTGTCTCTTATTCCCTTTAAGTCACTGTATCACTCCCCCCCACCCCACCAAATGCTAACTGCCATTTGCAATGGTTATCTCTAAGGAGGTATGCGATAGTACCTTGCTACTTCACTTTGTCTTTTCATTCACTTTTTGCTGCAAGGAAGTATCTTGACTCCACTCAGTTCAGCGAGATTGGATAATTGAATTTAACATTATAGGAAATAAGCGCAAAATATCACATCTTACCATAAATATTAAGCTGGCCACTGGTACTTAAAATGGTACTAGTCAGAAAGCACTGCCGCTGAACTCTGGTGAAAGTTCAGATGGAGCATTTAGTTGTGTTATGGCTTATAGGCTATAAGGTAAATCTAATAGGGATTCTTTCTACACCTCTAGTTTCCATTATTTCTTCATTGTACTTTTTCACATCTTCCCTTTTTTGGTTATTACTATCACTATGGCTTTTGCCTCCCCAAACTTCCACTCTTGTTTCCTCTCAAGCTTCAAATCCATTGCCAACAACAAGAAATTGCATTTCTATAGTGCCTTTCATGTCAGGAGGACATGCCAAGGTGCTGAACATTAAGGGGTTTGCACCCAAGTTGCAGATTGGGATCAACGAGAAGTGGATAGCAAGTGGGGGTAGAGGAGGAAAGATGATTGAAGACATGATCACAACAGAAGGTCTTGAAACTGGCCTTGAAGGAGGCAAGGGAGGGGGCGAGGCGGAGGGGCACGGGATGGAGTTCCAGAGGGTAGGGGTAGAAAGGTTGATGGCCCAACCACTGATAGTGGAGTCGGCAGGGTGGGGGCATTTATCCACCTGGGTATGGATTTAGTTTGTCAATTCAACAAATTCTGAGTGCTATGAAATGCTACATAGTAGTTGTAGACAACGATGAAATTCCTCCCCAACTGTTCTTTCCATTGGTGAATGAAATTCAATGCACTATTTCCTAATCTAACTACTTCTTTTCCAAGAATTCAAAATTGTGAAACTCTTACACTCCTCAGGTTTCCAATCCCCCTAAAACGTACAGGCTTTTTAAAAACGTTTTTCTCTGCTATCTTTCAAGCTTGGTACTCCACTGATGACCTTGACACTTCACTTAGTTTTCTCAATGGAAACAAGCAAATGCTTCAGCTTAAACTATTGTTATGCAATGAGCTTATTGAAAGGCCTAATGATTGAGCAGAACATCTCTCTTTGAATTATCCTCTGTTTCCTACATTCATTCCTGTGACTTGTAAAAATGCTATAATGCAGTTTAAGTTTAGATGGTGTTAAATTAATAATAACAATCCTTGCATTTGATATTGTGCCTTGTCACGTCTTCGAGACATCTCAAAGTACTTCACAGAATATACTGTAAAGTGAATTGGCTGTATATTTGGGGACAAAATGCATTGGCCAATTGCACACAGTGATGTCCCACAAACAGTTATGGATTGATTGACCAAATTGTATTCAGAAGGCACCTGCTGTACTTGTACAAAATTGCAAATGGGTTTGTCAGGTGGATGAAACAGTTAATTCACAGACCACAGGCTGTCTGGCTTCTCTAAGCTTATGTAACCAATTCAATAATTACAGGGTAAACCACAGATTGTTTCCACACAGTAGAATAGATGCATGTAAATTTGATCCTATCTGTCCCCCAAATGATGAGTTTGTGAACTGCAACAGAAATGAAACTGAGTTTGGAACAAGTAGTGGGATATGAGGAAACAGTTTTTAAAGGGAGTGGGGGGGGCGGGACATAGAAGATAAGGAAGTAAGCTGTTGTTCAGTTATTGAGTGGATTGACAGAGGCTTGGAGAAACTGCTTGCCTCTCGACTCCTCTGTTGAAGAAAGGAATGGTGTACCATTTGGAGAGAGGACAAAGCCTCAGTTTGTGCCTGAGTTAATAGTTAAAACTTTATGATTGCCCTCAGTATCCATTCTCAGGCTAGTCATAGCAAATAATAGTTAGGGTTTCCTTCCATGATTACTACCCAGTGTCCCCCACTAGATAGTGTGCATGTGAGCGCAGGGTTGACCAATGCTTCACCTCATGTATAAAGAATGTGTCAGACACCTGATTCCTGAGGACCTTATCCAAGCATGAGTCAATGCCTTGGGGTGGGTTGGGGAAACAGGAAAGAAAAAGAAAAACAACTGTTTAATTTAAATCGTTCACTTTACTTCTTACACAGATCTATGTACGCAGTGTTTGAAAAGGAGCTGGAAGTTCAAGGGATCCGTGCTTATCGATTTATTATTCCTAAAGAGATTTTTGCAAATGCCACCGAAAATCCTGATAATAAAGGGTTCTGCACACCACCAGGGAACTGCCAGCCAGGAGGTGTGCAGAATGTCAGCATCTGCAAACAAGGTGAAGCAAAGACAGTCTTGTACTTCTTACCACAACACTCTTAAGATCATTTATCTGCATCATCTTAAATGCTAAGACAATGGTTTTAAGGCTAAGACCATTAGATCACTCCCTGCACTATGTTCAGGAAGCACTGCTGAGGTCACTTTGCACAGGATTTCTATTCTAGTTAAATTCAGAAACTGGAATTGAGTGCTCTTAAGCTGCAATGGATGTGAACTGTTTGATCAGCTATTTCTTATTTAGTCAATACAGCAGATGCATTATTGATTTATTAACTAATAATTTGTTACTAAATCCCACTGTTTGTGTGACATAGCTGTGCTCCTCAAAATATACAGTCAATTCACTTTACAATATATTCTATGAAGCGCTTTGAGACGTCTCAAATATGTGATAAGGCGCTATATCAAATGCAAGGATTGTTATTATTATAATCGCTACATTTGTTGTCAATATCTATGCGGATACAGGTTTTGGCAGTTTTGAATGGCCGCTTTCCATCATTTCTTTCCAGATAATTTAAAAATAAGCCACATTATTGCATTGCAGACTTTAAGGTAAAGTTAATGCATGCATTGACAGTGAGCGTGTTGTTAATTGGACACAAACTGATACATCTGTGGCATTGATAAGTGACAAAATAAAATTCTTGCTGAGTGGACATTGAAAAAAGAATCTGATTCATTTCTTTCTTCTAAACGTCAGCTATTTTTTCTTAAAAAAATGTTGTTTTCATATTTCCAGCATCTGAGGTATTTTGTGTTTAACTTTCTTTTATTGATTTGGTACCACAGGAGCTCCTATTTTCATTTCATCTCCTCATTTTTATAATGGGGACCAGAAGCTGGTAGAGGACATAGATGGATTGAACCCCAGTAAGGAAGCTCACCAGACCTTTCTTGATATAGAGCCGGTAAGTAAAAAAGAAAAGTCTGTGTTGTTTTATACAAATGACCTCTTAGAAACCTACCATTGAAGAATCAGTACAACCTCACTTTATGGACACATTTTTACAATCTTGGATTTTCTTCATTTCAAACTAACTGTGACCAAAAACCCAAACTCACTAATAAGTGCACGTTACTAATAAGGGAAAAATACAAGAGTCAATCAACTGTCTTTAATTGAGAGTTTCCAGTGTAGCTGTTACTTGAATACATCTATACTTGGTCATGTTAATAAGTAACAGAAACTCAGTGAAACCAGATCCTTTCAGCTGACTGAATCGTTGGAACCTTTGTTCTTTATATTTTCCAATGCATCAGGAAATACTTTTCATCAATTTCCTGATTTATGTATTTGTAAATAAGATTAAGTTTACCAATAAATATGTGCCATCACTGTTATTTGCATTTGCAATAACAGTCATTAATTTTGATGCAAAAATGTAATCTTCATTTCAATGGGTTTTTAATTAAACCTGTGTCTAGTAGGTTGACAAATAATACTCATTAGACTCTTCGCATTTTTTTTAAACTTGCACGCCTAACAATAATATGAGGGAGACGCACAGATTAAAAAGTACAAACTGTTCTGCAGTAGAATTACTTCCAACACCAAGTATTGATAACTTCAGAACACATAAGGAAGAATTGTACATGTGGCTGCTAAAACTATTCGTTTTGTGTAGTTTGGGCTATTTGCCTGCAATTGCTACCAAAGTTTTAATGTGAGATTTACTGCTTCTCTGCATCTTAAATTAACACCATCCATGCAATGGTAAATGATAATTGCAGGTGGGTGTTGAAAATAATTAGAAAATAATTAATCTGTAGATATTCCATGCATAAATTATGATACTACTTACGTACATTTTGTAATTTTGGGGGAGCAACAACAACAACTTGCATTTACATAGTTCCCCTCGCGCAGGGTAGTGTCCCAGACCAGGCTTGAAGAGGGCCTGATCTGGGGGGAGGAAGCAGGTTACATACACAAAAGAGTGGGAATTCACAGGAATGTTTGAATATCTTTGAGGCTGGGGGAGTGCAGGACAAAGAGATGACAGCAACTGGATTATCTTATCGCTTTGTTATTACAGAGGACTGGAATACCTGTCAGAATAGCTAAAAGACTTCAACTCAATATTCATGTCGAGACTGTGCCGAACATTGTGTAAGTTACTCACCTCATCCATGGAGATAGTTGATCTGTTGCCACTTGGTTTAGAATGAATGTACGCACTTTTTTTAGGATTAGGTTTGCGTCGTGTGTCTGAGGATTTGTTACTGAGGCTGCCTGAATTCCTGCTTTGATCCTGAGATGCTTTTCGGTCAAATGGATATAATGTCTTGCAACTGTTTTGAAACAAATGTCTGCACTGACTTTCAGAGCAAGCTGTTCAATCAAACCAACTGCCCTGCTGTAAGCCCATACCCCTCCAAGTCATACTGTAATATGCCGAACTGAACCCCATGCCTATCAAAGTGTTATGACTTGTATGTCAAATATACTGACCTCTTTCAACCTTACAACAACAAGATTACATTTGTATAGCGCCTTTCATGTCAAGAGGACATCCCAAGGCGTTGAACAGACTACAGCATTTTAGACCTGAGCTGGGTTTGGGGGGGATAAGGGAGTGGAGGAGAAGGGGGGCGGCCGATGGCATGGTCGAAGAGGAGGGTCTTGAGGCGGGACTTGAAGGAGGCTAAGGAGGGGGCAAGGCAGAGTGACTGGTTACACTGCTAATGATGAGAATCAGACAGTCAACCCAAATCGATAAATTTACATTATGATTGTAAAAACAATTTTACTCTGCATCTGGCCACACTACACCTTATATCCTTATAAAGGCACAATTTTTTATACTGAATATGAATTACGAGAATGTGTAATAGGTGGAACATTCTCCCTCTCCCCCCCCCCCCCCCTCCACAGCACTCCCAAGCCAGGTCACACATTAGTTTTCTGGATCATTGCTTTCGTAAATAACAATAAAACAATAAAAAAGCTGCAGCTCCACTGTCCAGCAGTGGAAGTCTAGAGTCAAATTGGTGACCCACTTTCATCTGACGTGGGAATGTTTAAAGTTGACACTGATTGACGCTGACTGCCCCCCACTCCCCCACCCAAACAAATAAATTTGTGCCATTATAAGCAAGCCTCCATGTTACAATAAAAAACTAAATCTCTGCCCCAGGCCTCTATAATAATAAAAATCATCACAACACCAGTCCTTGCCAGGCTCTACTGTCTCCCTAATTACCAAATGGATTGATTTCAAGATCCTCTCACTCATTTTCAAATCCCTTCATGCCCTCGCACCTCCTTACCTGTCCGATTTGCTCCCTACCTGTCCCCACTGCCTTCACTCAGCTGTCTCCGGCCTCCTGTTTGTCCCTCGTCCCCTCCGCTCCACCATTAGTGGCCATCCTTCAGCCATTACGCCCCAAAACTCTGGAACTCTCCCTCAATCTCTCCACATTGCCCCTCCCTCCTCATTTTCAAACCCCGTCTTTCCTGTTTGATTGTTCTTATGGTCACCTTCAAACTCCCCCAGACACGGCATCAGACTCTGAGACTGTCAAGTGCTCTGGGACGCTACCCCACGTGAAGGGTGCTATATAATTGTAAGTTGATATTGTAAAAATAAACAGTCTTCATTTAATAGTGAAAACTTCTCAAAGTTCTCCACAGATAATTGCTGCCATGTGTAGTAACTGTGTATTGTAGGCAGTTTAGATGCCAATTTGTACACAAAGAGGTCCCACATAGAGCTATGAAGTAAATGACTAATTTATCAGAAGGATTATTGCCAGGACATCTTGAAAAAAGTAGATGATTATGGGGATCAAATCTCAAACATGATGTGATCAGGAGAATTTCATTAATAATAATTCTGAATGAAAGTGAACATTTTATTTGTAGCAAAGTTGAACAGTTTAATAGAAGGGATTCTAATGTCATCTTCTTCAATTCATTTCTTTACAGCCAAACCGGTAAAATTAGAACAATGTTTTTACCAGTTTTGTTTTTAAATGAGGTAGGTCACATTTTGGTTTAGATTATGCATGTCCAACATTATGAATATGACTCTAACAAATACTTGAAATGACCCCCAATATTCAATTCAAATTACGTGACTCATTTTGTGAAAACATTTCACGTGTTGCTCTCCACACCACACCTCTACAGCTGGTAAAACAAACGCTTGCTAAATCTAGGGGAAAAAGCGGTATATGAAAAGTATCAGTAACCTATATGACACATACTGCAGTGTGTATCACACAAGTTACATTATGTAAAGCTATGTAACATCTGATTTGGATTTAGATAAATAGTTACTTTCTCATGTTCTTTAGAAATTAACCAATAAACTTCAAACATCTATAATGGTTAAGGTATTGCTCTTATGGTGTTAGTGAAGATTTTATTTTGGCAACTACACTGTGAAATTCCTGTTTATTATTATTGTAATTCTTTCATTCAAAATATATTTACCCCAGGACAGGAGAAGGCGAAGGATCTTAATGACTGTATTTCTCCCATATTTCTATTAGAGCGCCTTAATTGATGACAATTCAGCAACAAGACTTAAAACCAAAATTCATGAAATGAATATCCTGCTCAGTGTTCCTTATATTATCCTGTCGATAGGAGGACTACTTTGTCTGATTTGCATTATCCTTTTCTTTGTCGCAGTCAGATGCAACAGGAGTGAGGTATGTTTATATTTATTGTGTGCTTATTTCAGAATGTGATGCAATTCAACAATGCACTGCATTTTACTTGAAAACTATTGAATAATCAATTGCGTAACTATCAGTTTGGGTGTAAAAGAAAATGTTAAAGTTCACAAGAGTGATCTTCATTGGTTTAGAACTGTTGATTTATATTGAATACAAATGTCTTATATTATATTTTGCTAGCAACGTTTTAATTTAAATATTAACAATTAAGTTCTCATTTCTGCATTTCTTGTTTGCTGAATTTATTTTTAAAGTAATGTCATTTCTTCTCATTTTCCTTTAGGAATCCATACCAATACTTTCAAAACTGAAAGAGACAAACTGATACAAAAGAGGTGTTTCAGACACAGGCATTGCTTTCGTAAACCATATTTTATTAATTTTCTCTCTTCATCTGTGGTTGTCCGGAATAGCCATACAGTGTAACAAGTAATAACAAAGCTCTCTGCGATCTAAAATTACTAAACGATTTGTGTTGCCAGCAATATTAAAATATAATTCTTATCATTTTTGAATAAGACTTTTCTAGTCAATGATACATCAGGTAAAGTCATCTTTCAAATGTACCAGTAGTGGGAGGGAGTAGGGGAGGCAACCCAGCTACCAAGAAGTACAATCCAGTCAAGGCTGAAAAATAATATTGCGATCATTGTGACTACAGTGTTGCAAAACATTGGCAAGATAATCAAAATGTTTATTTTTTTATTTGAATCATTCCTTGTAAATTCACCTTATTCTCACTGATGCCCCATGGTGCAAGTTATTTTCGATTTATGTTTGTGTTTTTAAAATAAATTATTTATCATTACATTTCTTTAAGAGAATATGTTTATTGATCTAAAGATCAATGATGAACTACAGATTCATTGTTAGGGGAGTTTTATCATAACATTCTTCAGCTCTCAACATTGCCTTAAGGCACATGAGGTAACATTGTCAACGTGAACATGTCCCAAACCCCTGATTGTCCAGCACCTGACCGACGTCTTTCCGACGTGAAGGGCGCTATACAAGTGTAATTTGTTGTTGTCTTGGTGTTAATGACTGAAAAGTACAATTACAGTCCTGTGGCTGGTGCTGGATTAGACTCCTTAATGATGAAACCCACATGAAGCCCAACCCCAAAAATATGGGAGTTTTCTTTTTTTCATTAGTGGAGACTGTTGGACTTTTAAAGAGGAAAGGTAATTTAAGCTTAATGTTTTACATTGTCAAATAAAAATGAATCAGATTTTGAAATAAAGTTCAATTTAATCGCAAGAAAACCAAATAACCAACGAGTGGAGTGGCAGCCCACATGTGAATATAGGAACGGTGATACAGGACGTACAAGAAAAACTATGGATTAGGTACTCATTCTCAGAACACCATAATCATGTTAAGGTCAAATGATTTGATAATCGTTATCATTTGAAGAAGGTATTGATTTTGCTGGTGTTCAGATTCAAGTGTGCTGACTATCCTTATCTAAATGGACATTCGTTCTGTAAAAATGTTGAGCATTAACAGGCATGCCAACCAGATTTAGTTGTCAACATTTGCCTCTGAGTCAGAAAGTTTACAGACTAGACTGGCACTCCAGTGTAGGACTGCGAGAGCACAACATTCTCAGACCCACATTAAATGTTCCTTGGATATGATATTAAACCGAACTCCAGTTTGCGTGTGTTGACAGGCGTTAAAGATCCCATGACACTGTTTGAAAAGAAGAAAGGAATTTTGTCCAGCCAATAATTCTGCAGATAAAATGGTCATTCACTTGATGATTCTTTGTGGAACCTACTGTGGACAGATTGGTGGTCAACTTTGTCTAAAAATCTACAATTGCTACACTTTACAAGAATTCCCTGTGAAGCACTTGGACTTGATGTCAAATGCAATAATTATTGTTGTGCCTTCGCTCTTCCTTCCCCCACCTCCGCAACATCGCCCGGCTCCACCATTATCCCACACCGCAGGCTGCGGAAACCCTCATACATGGACTCATAACATCCAGGCTTGACTACACAAACTCCCTGCTTGTCGGCCTCCCCAACTCCTCCCTCCACAGATCATCCAGAACCCTTAGCCCGTGTCCTCTCCTGCACCAGGCTCCGCGGCCCTATCAGCCCCATCCTCGCTCAACTTCACTGGCTTCCCATCACACAGAGGATACAGTTCAAGATCCTGGTCCTCATCTTCAAAGCCCTCCATGGTCTTGCTCCCCCCTACCTCTCCCACCTCCTAAACCCCCTACCACCCTGCTCGCTCCCTTTGCTCAGCGGGCTCCGGCCTGCTTCACAACAACAAGAACAACAACAACAAGATTGCATTTATAGAGCGCCTTTCACGTCCCCCGCCTCACTTGCCCCACTATCGGCGGGCGAGCCTTCTGCCACTCTGCCCCCACCCTCTGGAACTCCATCCCGCAGTCCCTCCGCCTCGCCCCCTTCCTCGCCACCATTCAAGACCTGTCTCAAGACCCTCCTCTTCGACCGTGCTTTCGATCTCCCTGCTCTCCCCCCCCCCACTGCCCTCCACCCCTCCCCAAGCCCGGCCCGGCCCGGCCCCGGCCCCCAGCTCGGGTCCGAAACAACAACAAGAACAAAACAACAAACAAAAACAACAACTAACAAATAAACAAACAAAAAAGCAAACACCGCCACAACAACAACAACAACACTGCCTGTCCCGGACCTTGGGACGTCCTCCCAACGTGAAAGCCGTTTTACAGATGTCATTCTGCTGTTGTTGTTGTTGTTGTTGTTGCTGCTGCTGTTGTTGTTGTTGTTGTTGCTGCTGCTGTTGTTGTTGTTGTTGTTGTGTGGATGACTCTCTCTCCGCCCCTCTTTGTGATCAGCGGATGATTGACAGCCCCAGACGGTTACCGTGGTTACCTCATTTCATTCCCGCCCCCCCATTCACAGCGCGGCTCGGGCGCAGTCGGGCCTCGGTGATGATTGACAGGAGGACCGACCAATTGGAATAGAGAGCGCGCCGGCAAAGCGCCGCTGCTGAGTGGTCGCCCGGGGTGAGCGGAGGCGGAGCGGCGTTGACTGACAGCGCGGGTGACCAATCGCAAGCAGTTGCGCCGAAGCGTTCCGCCAATGGGAAAGCGACGCGAGAGGGGTGGGGGGGCGGGTCTGCCTTAACCCTGACTCGCGGGCTGGTCCCTGGAGGAAGGAGCTGAGGTCGGTGTCCTGAGGCTGAGCTGAGAGCGCCGCGACCCGGAGAGGCAGACCCAGGGTAACAGCGGGGGCCGGGCAGGGCCGGGCCGGGCTCGGGGTGGGAGAGCCCCTGGGTGGTGGTGGTGGTGGCAGTTGAGCATCAGGTGTTGGTGTTGAGGTGAGGCCGGCAGCCAGGCCCGGCCCGGCCCGGCCCCGGGACTCGCTTTAACCCCGGCAGCGGCGCGGTGTTGCCTGGTAACCCGGGCCCAGAGTCCGCATCTCCCGCCCGGGCTCGGACCCCGTCGCCGCTAGTGACCAGAGGAAGGAGGAAGGAGGAGATTCCTCTCCCAGGAAATCCTCTCCCTTTACTATTAAGGTTCTTTGTTTCTGTTTAATATCTCTCTCTCTCTCTGTGTATATATATATATATATAATTGGTTTCCGTCCCCTCCTATCTCCACTACCCCTCCCTCTCATCGAATAAACAAACAAACAAACAAACCCCTGTATCCTCGGGCAATTTCTCAGCCTTTTTCTCTTGTTTATTACTTATCACTTTCCTCTCCCCACAACCAGTCTGCAAACTGACAGCTTTCCACGATTTGTTGTATGTTTGTGTGTGTGTATGTGTGTGTTTGTTTGTATGTATATATGTATGCGTGTGTGTATGCGTGTGTGTATATATGTGTGTGTATATATGTGTGTGTATATATGTGTGTGTATATATGTGTGTGAGTGTTTGTGTTTATATATGTGTGTGTGTGTTTATGTGTGTGTGTTTATGTGTGTGTGTGTTTATGTGTGTATATATGTGTGTGTGTATATGTGTGTGTTTGTATATGTGTGTGGTAACTTACTGTCTTTTGTGAGAATGTCACAAGATTTGGTTTCAATGAACTTTTGGCTGCACATGAAGCTGCTTTAGTGCCTGATGTGTCTGGCGTTTCCTCTGATCTCTTCCTTCCTTCCCTCCCTCTCTCCCCCCACCCGTACAGCATTCAACAAGGCAAGTCCATAACATTGGTAATTATGTTGGTTTAAGTTGGTGCAGTGCTGTCGGTTTCATGCAAGGTTTTCAGTTTACTTCGTCGAGAGAATATCCTTCTTCCTGCTGTGTCCATTTCCACTGTGTCCAGATGCTTTGTCCGTCTAATACCCCAGCTTGATCTAAAATGGAAAGCTGCTGCTTGTGAGCCTGTTAGGTTTCTTTTTGTTTAGACAACTGAAATATAGTTATGGTTTAACTTTTGATTTTTAAAATAAAGACAATTTCAAGTTGTACAAAAAAAACCTCTATGAGTAATGTTGGCCAGTTTATTACAATTGATTTTCATGTCTGATTCAACAGAAATTTTATGACCTGGCCTGGGCACTTTGATTTTTCAGGGGGCAAAAATCCAGCAAAAGGTGCATATGTGAACAGTAACACCAAATACCTCTAGAATTCAGTTATTTTATATACTCAATATACAGTATGTATTGTAGAATACCATTTAAAGTTGTTTTTTTCACCATGTCCATGTCTTTGTACAATGAGTATGTTTTTACTAATATTGGCCAATCGCTTTCACTTTTCCAGCTCTTCTCACCAGTGAACATGCTGACGTGAGACCAAAACAAAATAACCTGATCATAAATGATTTTGAAGTTTATTTTTTAGTCAGTTGTGTATTTGACACATAGAAAACAGTAAACAGTCACCGAGAGTATGCAAATCAAACTGAGAATTCCCTGCATCCCACCTACACATGGAAATTCCTGTGTGTTGGATTGCGCACTCTCCTTACAGGGACACATCTTGCTTATCTAATTCCGGAAAGTATTAGGTTTAGGCTGGGCTGGCAAGACCTTGGGCACCAAAAAGTGTTCTTTGGGGTACAGCTAGAGTGTAACATGCTAAATCGGCATTAACCTTCCTACACCCTATTATCCAGTAATCTACTTTGATGCATTTTCCAGGTTCACTCTTGCGGCTGCTTGGCTGAGAGGTATTGGTGGGCTACTGTTGCCAATGAACCATGTCTCTGTGTGTGTCCCTGGTTTTAGGAAAGCCAGGGGAGAAAATTGGTGAGGGATATTTTTGTATTGAGGCGTGTAGTTCGACAACCAAGGATTCAGAACTTGTAGAGACATACACACAAAGGAAATATAATGTAGGAAGCCAGTGATTCAATTTAACACTTTAACCTTTTCCTCAACAGATGCAGTTTATGCTGCTTTTCAGTCGTCAGGGCAAACTACGACTGCAGAAATGGTATGTTCCACTTTCAGATAAAGAAAAGAAGAAAATTACAAGGGAATTGGTGCAGACAGTTCTGGCCCGCAAACCCAAGATGTGCAGCTTTTTGGAATGGAGAGACTTGAAGATAGTGTACAAAAGGTTGGTTTTTAACTGTAATGTGTATTCAGAATCATAGAGCATAGAAACAAGAGTAGGCAATTCAGTCCCTCGAGCCTGTTTATAAGATCATGGATGATCTGAATGTATACAAATTTGTGCACAAATTCAAACGACTGGTATTCAAGCATTCAGGGTTAATTTAGTAAAATGTTACTGCAGCTAATTTATTTTCAAGTGCTGTTTTCTGAATTCTTAAAATGTGGAACATTGTAAAGTTTTATATTGTATAGAGATGAAAATGGTCACCATTTTAGCTGAGTGCTACTGCACTGTTTTTAATGTTTTTAATGGCAGATAGCAGCAGAGTATATTTTATTAGGGATAACATTAGGAAAAATATCTAAGAAAAGCATCTAAGATACCATCTAAGATGCTTTTCAGTGGTTTGTTGAGGACTATCAAGACTTTGTCTTATTCTAAAATTATACTCAAACCTGTTTCCATCATTGTAGCCTGTGAGGTAATTTTGTCTTGAAGTTCAGGATACCTTAGAATTGTGGAAACTCCTAAATTTTAATTTAGAAGCCAGTTCTTGTTAAGAATTGGAAAAAGGGGCTTCCAAATTAAGATCAAATTTAGGAACTTGTTAAAATTCTGCACAATCTTAATTTTTAAGGCAAAATGGTCTTATAGGCTAATATTAGGTGGCATTTCTGACCTTTGATGTAGCAAAATCTGGGATTCACTTCATGGCTGTTTGTGGGCCGTGTGTAAATTGGTTGCTGTGTTCGCTTACAAAATACACAAACTCCTCACGTCACAGTAAATCTTCTGAAGAGCTTTGAGACTTGACTTTATCCTGTTGTAAAAGGCACTGTATAAAATCCAACAGTTATTATTTTTGATTCCTTTCCTCCATTTTAAGTTAGAATTAGTAATTGAACCAAATTAATTTTAAGTATTCAAAACCACACTTTCAATCTTTTGAATATTAATTTTCCTCAGGGCAATTTTCGTGAGATGTAGAGAGATTTAACAATGCTTAACATTTTGTGTGTTTTGGGAGCTCATTGAAATGTATGGCTGCACAAAAATATCTTGATTATTTTTATAGGGAAATGTATTGGGGAGTTTAAAATGTTTAATTTCTGAAAGTTCAGAATGTTTTGAAATTGAAGCTTTGTTTTGAAAATGTGTCTCTGCTTGTACAAACTGGTAGATGTTTCCTAGTTATGTTGAGCTTGAGTGTACTTGAAGATTACTCCTAAAATTGCGAACATTTGTTGTAAGTTTTCTTGCAGAAATAGTATGCAATAAATCACATGAGTTGGTTTTACCAGCTTTGTGAGAAAAGCCTTTGGAAGGGATTTGTTTTCCTCGAATAATACTCTGAGAATCACTGCTTACTTTTAATTTTCCAGCTATGAAAAATGAACAACCGGAATGATTAATTTAACCCAGCTCCATTGGATCTGAGTTAACGGATCCTATGTTGCAAATGTAGCAGGCTGTTCATGTGGGGTGGGAATTCTTCCCATTCTGCTCTTGTTAAACCTGGAAGCCAAACCTCATTGGTCTTAGCTGGACCAGTAGTGGGAATCTTGCCAGATAGTATTTTAAATTGTATTTTAGCTGATTAAACCAGATGAACCCGAATATACTTTCTGGGTTCCCCAAACTTTAGCTCTTGCTAATCTGTACCAAACACTTTCTGGAATTGGATAAGTAGATTACATCCCTCTGACTACCCATTCCCGATAAATAGCAATTTTCATGCATATGTATTAGTTTATAGTTTGGTTACACTTAAGCCTAGTAATGGGTTTCTATATGTGTCAGACCCTCGGCTGACCCAAAAAAAAGCCTAGGTTGATACTCTAGTACAGTATCAGAGGGAGTGTTTCTTTGTCAAAGTTGTCATCTTTTGAATTAGGCATTTAACTGAACTCCTGTCCACCTATTCAGATCATTCACTTCATGGCTCAAAAGTTGGGACATTTAGTGTGCAAGTTGGCTGCTGCATTTGCCTACATTTAGCTTCTATACTTGATGATAATTACTTGTGATTAGCATTATTGTGTGTTACATTCCGATTGTTTGTTATCAATATCCTTCTGTCATCCACCTTCCTTGGTGCAGCATGAAACACCTTTTCATGATGGACATTTGGCAAAGAAATTATACAAAAAACTATGAAATGTGCAAAATATTTTGCCCAGGAGATTAATATATTAGGAGCACGTATTTGTAATCTGATTTAAAGACTTGCTTACTTAAAGACTTTGGTGGCAGTGAAACACATAAGTGTTTCAGCAGACATATGGAGCGGTAAAGATGGCTTAAAGCTGTGATTCTGTTTATGAATTGCTGAATGTTTTATCTATGTTCTTGGAGAACAAGTCACTTGATAGTATCTAAATTCAATGATTAGAGCACAAGGGGCCAAATACTTTGGGTAAAACACTAATTTTGATTAACTAATTTAACATCTATTCTTAGAGGATCAACAATGTTGCTGTGTTTCTCTAGATATGCGAGCCTTTATTTCTGCTGTGCAATTGAGGACCAGGACAACGAGCTCATAACCCTTGAGATTATCCATCGTTATGTTGAACTCCTAGACAAGTATTTTGGAAGCGTAAGTTTTTAAATTTTGATTTGATTTCCATGCTGCGTTGCATCTACTGCAACTGAGATATTGAAACTTCTTCAAGAAATACAGCTAATGCATTAAAATGTCTCAAATGTGTTACAAAAAGGACATGAAACTATTTTCATTTTTCATCCATTACTACCTCTTTTTCTCTTCCCTCTCCCCCTCCACCCCCCTTGTAAAACTATTTTTACTGTATTTAAGATTCATAGTAAACTGGTTTAGATATCAGAATACATTTTGCTTCCTTCTCTGAAGGTCTGTGAACTTGATATTATCTTCAACTTTGAGAAGGCTTACTTTATCTTGGATGAGTTCCTGTTGGGAGGGGAAGTGCAGGAGACTTCAAAGAAGAACGTACTGAAAGCAATTGAACAGGCTGACCTGTTGCAGGAGGTAAGAGTCCCACAAATGTGTGCACCAAAGCACCAGCATGTTGTGTTTTGGCAGAGAGAAATTTCTTTATGTACCAACCCTAAAATCTCAAATGCTTTTTAGATAGCAAAGCATGCTTTCCTTTGTTGCTTTCATGTTTAGTTGTATTTTGTTATGAATGTGTAGTTCGCAGCTGCATGTTTCTCTTGTGATAGTGTATGGAGGCAGAAATTTGTCATATTTAGAGGTTCAGATTTTGAACAGATTGCATATGTTTGCATTTTACAAATTGAAACTACACCATTAAATTGTTTTTGTCCCACATTTGCTTGTGGGGTTTTTTAAACACTATAATACCTCAAATCTGGCCATTTTTGCCTTCAGAGACTTAAGTAATAAATTCCAATTAATTACTTATTCCATATTGTGCCTATGATTCCATCTCTGTTCTGCTTTATGTTGTACTTTTTCTAGAGAGTTTGGCTTTGCTTTGTGTTTGACATTAGTTGTGTTTACAACCTTGCAGTTTAGCGCTTTCTTTGTTACTTATCTGATGTCTGTGCTTCTTTACTGTCCCATTGCTGAAATCCAGAAGCTAGACTCGCTTCTATGATGCTTTCCAGGTATAGTTGATTAACACTGTGTTACTTCATAGAACCAAATGTACAGTATTGTGGAAGATTTAACTGTAGAACAAATAGGATATTAGGTAGCTTCATGGTCCAATATTACTCTACTCATTTCAGAATAATAATTTTTTCGGACTCATCAGGAGCACAGTCTTTCTTCAATTGCAACCATATCATTAGGAGGCATTTGCATGCAAACATTACAGATCTAATGGCACTTAAATTGTTATTCATATATATGCATTCATTTGATAGACAAGCAAAACGTGTTTGTTATCTATCAGGCAATGCTACACTAATTGGAAGAATATTTGCTAGGAATTTATGGAAGATTGATGATTTCCACAGAGTTGAACACCAGAAAAACAGTTTGGTTAGACAAATCTGAGGGACATTAACAACTTACATTTATATAGTGCCCTTCACATTAGAACATAAGAATTAGGAGCAGGAGTAGGCCATTCGGCCCCTCGAGCCTGCCCCGCCATTCAATAAGGCCATGGCTGATCTTCAGACCTAACTAATTACCTGCCCTATCCCCAAAACCCCATAACCCCTCTGTTGTTTTTAAAATCTATCAGTCTTAGCCTTGAAGATGTTCATGGACTGAGCATCTACAGCCTTTTGGGGTAGTGAATTCCATAAATTCTGAGTGAAGAAATGTTTCCTCAACTCTGTTCTAAAAGGCTGATTCTTAATTTTAAGACTGTGACCCCTGGTTATAGATTCTCCTACCAGGGGAAACAGACCCTCAGTTTCTACTTTATTCAACCCTTTAAGAATCTTATATGTTTCGATAAGATCTCCTCTAAATCTTCTGTACTCTAGAGAATATAGCCCTGGTTTATTCAGCCTATCCTCATAGGTCAGTCCCCTCATCCCAGGAACTAACTTAGTGAATCTATGTTGCACCCCCTCGAGGGCAAGTATGTCCTTTTTTAAATAAGGAGACCAAAACTGCACACAATACTCACCAAGGCCTTATATAGTTGCAGCAAGACTTCTTTAGTGATCAAAGTGGTTCACAAAGACGAGGTTGAATGCCAAGCAAAGGTGGTTGGGGATGGGGAAAGGGTAGACACAGTAAAAGAGGTAAAGTGAGAACGATAGAGAAAGAGTTTGAGAGGTTAGTCGTGTAGCTGCTGAAGATTCGGTTACTGATGGTGGCACAGAGCAATCAGTCGTCTTCCTACCTCCACCGCCATTGCCCTCTACCCTTCTTGACTCCAGCGCAAGCAGTCCAGGGCCTTGGGACGTCCTCCCAACGTGAAAGGCGCTATATGAATGCAATTTGTTTTCGTTGTCAGCTAGCTCTAATTATTGAATTATTAACTATAACTACAATATTGATATTAACTATTACTACAACAAATCCTTTTTTTAAATCAGTTCTCTTGAACTGATACTAATGTATACATGCATTGGTGGAATGTAACAATAAATTTGTCCAGATGAAGTCTGCATCTTTTTTAAATTGGGAGATGGAATGGTGTTAGCGTAAGGCAGCAGATTTGTATTTGAGATAATTATGGAGTCCTGTAGCTCAGTGGTTAGAGCACTCACTTTGCAAGCGGGAGACCTGAGTTCAATTCCAGGCAGCGCGAAACCTTGGGCAAGTTTCCTTACTCCACACAGAGCCTAATAATAATCCCTCCAAAACCAAAAACAATAATAAAAATTGGTCATTTTCAAACTACGACTGTTTGTGGGACATTGCTGTGCGCAGTTGGCTGCCGCGTTCGCCCACAAATATACAGTCAATTCACTTTACAGTGTGTTCTGTGAAGCGCTTTGGGACGTCCTCCCGACGTGAAAAGGCTATATCAAATGCAAGGATTATTATTATTATTATTATACACCCAAGCCTTGCACCTAATATTCCTCAAGGTACAAACAAAAGGGCTACTTTATTTCTGTACTTGGAAGGAGACCAAGTACTCGTCAAGCATGCTGACTTCTGGGTTCAGGTGATCAAGAAGTTGGTCAATGACGGATCTAATTAAACATTAACTTGGAAGTTGCAATGTAAAGGAGCAAGTTGAGACTATGAAGGAGAAGCAGCACAACTATAGTGCTTGTTTTTTTTCCCCTTTCATGGAAAATTTGGTAGAGTGTGAAATAATTATTTGGGATAGTGGTGTCTCTTGGATTACATTAATTTTCGTCAATACTAATTGGCATGGAGGTGAAATAGAATTATTAGGTTTGTTTAGCAAACTGTAGCCCAGAGAAAATGTGGAAAAATGAAGAAGTGTGCTTAGTTCATGAATTGTTTTAGTTTGCAGTTTGAGGGGAAAATTGCCCTGCTGTGTATAATAAATAATAATAATAATCCTTGCATTTGATATAGCGCTTTTCACGTCTTCTAGACGTCCCAAAGCACTTCACAGAATATACTGTAAAGTGAATTGACTGTATATTTGTGGGCAAACGCGGCAGCCAATTACGCACAGCAGTGTCCCACAAACAGTCGTGGATTGAAAATGACCAATTTATTATTGTTTTGTTTTTTTGGAGGGATTATTATTAGGCTCTGTGTGGAGTAAGGAAACTTGCCCAAGGTTTCGCCCTGTCTGGAATTGAACTCATGTATATAAATTAAAGAACTTGTGTCTTTACTGTATTTTTCAAAGATATTAGTAAAATTGACTATCTAATAAATAACATTGAAAAACATTATTTTGTGACATTTGCACATATCTCTGATAGGAATTACTCTCGTATTCAGGCCTCTAATATATCGTTTTCAATTGGCTGGTGTTTCAACTTACCCCATGACAAAGAGTATTTATGAACATCAAAGCCTGTCGCAAAGCAACTCTGCTTCATCTCTTCGCTTATGTTATTTTATGCTAAGAGTTATTCATATTGTTAAAATATGCAAATTATTTGGATTTAATGGTACGCGCTCCCAATGCAAAACTCTTCGTGAAACAAAACCTCTAAATCCATTTTTATGTCAATAAGCATTACATTGATGTCTCTTTCTGCATTAGTTAAAAAGTAATGTTAATTAAAATGCATAAATCTGCAGTGTTTCATGTAGAATGCCTCCAAAACATGGTCTTAAATTCAATATTGCTAATGAATGCTGTCATCTGGAGAGTCTGCTTTTGTCCTGGGAAAACCTGTCACATAATTCTGTCTTTCTTTTGGTGTAGAATTTTGTTTTCAACACTGGATAGTTGAGCTAGGAATTAAATACAGTTTATATTTACATAGCGCCTTTCACATTGGGAGGACGTAGCAAAGAGCAAAAATTGTACTTGTTCAAGGCCAAGTGTGCCTTGAATTTTTATAACTTGAATAAGCAAAATGCAATTTTTTAGGAGAGGGAGAGGCAGAGAATAGATAGGATTGTGTTAAGAAAAAAATGAGGGGTTTTATTTTCTTCATTTTATTTTAGACCTAGCTTCCTTTTTTTAAAAAAAATTCTCCCTTTAGAGAAAGTAAATGGCCATGTTAAATGTCTTCCTGACAGCCAAACCTGAGATTATGACTATGTTGGGAATTGGTCAATTCATATCGCAGTAGTGCTTTTTGTAGCTTCAGGCTGTGCCATCAGCTCTCCTTAACAAATGCCAGTTTGATTCTATATTTAATGATGTATTGAATTAAGAGTGCTTGGAAAATATTATTTGCACGCTTTGTGTCAAACAGTAAGTAATTCCATCAATGTCAGTGGTGAATTCCTACAAAAAAAATTTTGACTTCTAAAGAATCTTTTTTTAAAATGGAAGAATATTGGATATTGAATGAGGAATGCTTTTGGATGTATTAGGAAGGTGCATGATCCCAAATTAAAAGTGGTCAAGCCATTTGTGTATTCCAAATTCAGAACCAACAAGAATTTGTGTAGTTTAATATTAATCACTAGCTGCCATTGTAGTTATGCCAAACCGATTAGCTATGCATTGTGTTGAAGTTATTTTTGGTTGGTTTGCCTTTAAAGCAAATGACCTGGCTGAATAAATATATATGTAAATACAGGTGAGTGATTAGAACAATGGACAATGTGATGCTGAAGTTGTACAGATTATATCATGTACTATCAGAAAATTCCTATTGTAGAAAAAAACTTTTATCGTGTGGGAAGTCAGTGTTGAAAGACTTGGTGATGTTTGGGGAAGAGTAAAGGGAATATTTTGATTGATGTCTCATCCTGTCACTACCTTCCAGCATTAAAGAATGGGGTCCACTTGGACTGGACTAGATCCGGTGATCTGGTGTAACAGTCTTGCTTGAATTGTGATCTAACCAGAATTTATTGAATTTATGACTAATAAATCTATTAATATAGCAATAGTTTTGTATCCTATCCTTCAACAATTGATAGATATGTCCTAGAAAAGACTAATAAGCTAGTAATTTTAACATGATGAAACCCAGCAT